TCTCTGCCTCTCTGCCTCTCTCTCTCTGTGACTATCATAAACAAATAAAAAAAAATTAAAAAAAAAAGTCAGGTGCTTGACCCAACTGAGCCACCCAGGTGCCCGAGAAATTAAATATTAAAAACCTATTTTTGGGACTTCAAATACCACCAGCTTCTGTCATTTTTAATGAAAAATCAGCTGAGTTTGACCTACAAAATAGATGTGTTGGTACTTAAGATTGAGGGAAAACTAAAGGATTGAAGTCTGGCTAAAATGAATAGATAATCAGAGCAGGATCTAACTGTGCTGGTCTCTCAAAATGATTTTTTTTTTAAGATTTTATTTATTCACTTGACAAAGAGAGAGAGTGTACACAAGCAGGGTGAGCACAGAGGGAGAGGGAGAAGCAGGCTTCCCCGCTAAACAGGGAGCCCAGTGTAGGGCTCAATCCCAGGACTTCAAAATGATTTCTTACTGGGGCATCTGGGTGGCTTAGTTGGTTAAACGTCTGCCTTTGGCTCAGGCCATGATCCCAGAGTCCTGGGATCAAGCCCCATGTCAGTCTCCCAGCTCAGTGGGGAGTCTGCTTCTCCTCCCCCCGCCCCCACCGACTGTGCTCTCTTTCAAATAAATCTTTTTTAAAAAAGGATTTCTTATTAACTCAGGTTGGAACAGATAAGTAATCATTATAGAAGGTAGACTATAGAAATATAATTTGGAGTACAACATAAAGGGAATATAGAGAATACCTTACCTAACTATTAATATGAAATAATCTCTGACTTTGGGGGTATTTCAGTTATCTTCTCAACAAACGACCTCAAAACTAAGTGACTCTGAGCAATAATGACTTAGAGGTTGACATGGCTCATTTGAGTGGTGGTTCTTCTCTATATGGGGAGGCTGAGATCACACCTGCACCTTCATTACAGCTTGATTGGGGCTGTAAGAGTCAAGACAGCCTCTCATTTTCCAGCTTTTTCAGAGCATAAGCGCTCCTCAAGCCTTGCCTGCATCATGCTTTCTGATGGCCAAGCCCAGAGTCGGTGTGCAATGATGACTCTAGGATGCATCATTCCCTGAGGTTCCCAGTGTAATAGCCCTTTGGAGTCTTAGGCTTTTGAAGTTAGAAGGCACTTAGATTCTGGCCTTTAAGACTGTAGAATCACTGAACCTTCTATAACTTTTTCACCTTTTCAGAGCACCTTTCTTTACATCTTCTGTTTTGTTCTGAGCTCTTCCTGCCCCCACATATACATACTCTCTCCATAAATTGTTCTTCTTTCGATAGATTCAGAGACCTTTTTACTGCTATTTTGTCCTCTTTGTGTCCCTTCTTAAACATATGGTTAGTATAGTAATGGACACTCTGTGTCCCTTCTATTTCCCCACAGGTTTATTATTTCCTTTAGATTATGATCTGGATGTCTGAGATGTCCTTCACTCATTGGTATTAATCCAGTACCTATATGACTTTCTTTGTCTGAATAGCAGGGTAACAGGCCTTTGTTTTAAAGGAGCTCATATCAGGGTGGGGAGTTTGTACCACACAAGAACAAAACCATTTCAGCTAGTGATAAATAGAAGAGGTGAGAAAATAAAACAGGATGGTGTGATAGTGAGTGGGGCAGAGGTGAGGGTCTACTTTAGTTCACCTGACAGATCCGGTCTTTCTAAGGGGGGACATTGGAGCTGAGACCTGGATGATAAGCAGCCATCCATCCTGACGGATAGGGTGACTGACCATCCCAATTTGCCTGGGGCTGAGATTTCTCAGGTCATGGAACTCTCACTGCTAAAACCAGGACAGGCCTGGGCAAACTGGAACAGTTTGTTAATCCAGGAAGAGGGAACAGCAAATCATAAGGCCTAGAGTTAAGGGGAAGCTTGGCATTTTGAAGGTGTGACAGAAGGCCAGTGGGGCTGTAAGCGAAAGTGTAGTAAGGGTGAGCAGAGGCAGGTGAGGCTGGGAGGTCTGTGGATGATGGGCCGTTTGGGCCTTAATGGTAGTTTGGGTTTTATTTTAAGTGTGTTGAGAAACCACTGCTGGGTTCTGAGACCAGAAGTTACATAGTTTTGTTTACTTTAGTGAATGATCATTGGCTGGTGTGCAGAGAGGATCATAGGAGTGCCAGGGTAGAAACAGAAGGCCAGTTAAGGAAACAGGAGAAACAGTTAAGAGGCTGGGTCAGTCCTCAACTTACGAGGATGGTGGCCTATGCTGGGTGTCGGCAAGGTGGGAAGCTTCTTGGCACTAACTTGCTGCTGCTTACTCCTTCTGGCTCTTTCCCTCCTTTCTATATCAGTAGCTTTTGCATCCTGAAAAGCTTCTCTGCCAAGTAGAGGTTCCCAGATTTACCACTTGTGCACCAAACCACAGCCCTCTTTGCTTCCCCAGATGCTTTATCAGCTTCTTGGTATTTTCAAAGTACTTGAACACAATGGTATAGTTTTTTTAAGGTCTCCATTGATTTTTCTCTTGGGACCAGATTGGGTAATGCTTTCGAATGCCAAGCTTAGAGTGATTGATTTTTATCTTGGATGCCTTTGAAGGGTTCTTCCTAGAGCTGTGGGACCTAAATATAGCTATGCTTGGTAGGGGTTGCTCTAGCCAGAGGGTGGGGAGAGAACAACATGGATGTGTTACATTTTGGGCGACAGTAGGCCATTCGGGAGGAAATGCCGGGGAGTGGGAGGCAGTCAGGGAGGGTGGGACTGGATCTCAGTAGCAAGGACAAGTCTGTTTATAGGAACGTGGGAGTCACACCAAGAGAGGTGGGATTGGATTCAAGCGGGAATGCTGGTTTGCTTATTCAGCAAGGCATTGAGTATTTATTGCTGTCTCCTGAGTGCTGAAGATGTTATGGTGAGCGAGGCAGGCAGAATCCGTTCTCGGGGAGCTGGCATTCAGTTGGGGGGAGAGGTAGAGGAGCCAACAATAAAGGAAGCAATGAGTTAGATGACTTTAGAGAGCAGTCAGTGCTGTGTGGGTAACAGAGCAGGGTGATGTGTCTGGCTTGGGGAGGGGTGGAAGAGATTATTCTTTAGACTGGTGATCAAGAAGGTCTCTTTGAGGAGGTGGTATTGTACCTGAGACCTGAATGATTGGAAAGAGCTAGGCATGGAAGATCTGGGGACAGAGTGTTCCAGGCAGAAGTCTTAGACACCAGAGGCTGGGTCTCATCCTAGGCAAGCTTCTGTTTAAGTAAGTGGAGATACGGACTTGTGTCGATTCTGCTCACTAGCAGAGTACCTTACACAGAGATAAATGTTCATATGAAAAAGACACAAACCAGGATTGTGTTCTGCTACCAAGACTGAGGAAAGAGAACCCCAAGAAGGCTAGCAACCATGGCTGCGCCCCCGTGGAAGATAAGGAAGAGGTAGATGGTTTTGGTTGCACTTAGACCATCAAGCAAGTCCACTGTTAGAGGGGGTGCAGTTAAGTCCCTCTAAAAAGGGAAGAAGTATGGCCAAGGAAATAGAACATTTTTGGACTCGCCAAGAAATCCTTTCTCTCATCACTTGTGAATGTATCATAAAAGTCTCCCCAACTCTGTGCAGCCCTCTCTGGGAACCTTTCCAAAGCTGTGCTTCTGAATTGCTTGCTTTCTCTTGCTGCTTCTCTGTTACCAACCTTTCACATTGGACTCCTTTGCTTTTTACTTGCCTTTCTGCCCCACAGCGATAGGCCAGTCACACTTGCCTCTGCTGGTGGCACCAGTTTCTGAGGTTCCAACCAGATCCAGGAACTTGGTTCTGGAACGGTGCTGGGAGATGCAGAAGCTGCATGCGATGTCATTTGAAACATTTGTCAGTGAATGGAAGTGGAGAAAAGAGATGGTACTGCAGTGGGTCACCAAGGTCCTATGTCAGGTCTGTGTCTACTTGAAACCAAGGAGAAGGAAGACCTGAGGGAGACTGATGATAATGGGGCAGGAGAGAGTTAGTTAAGGGAGCAGTTAGGAAGCAGAAGTGGGGGACACCTGGGTGGCTCAGTGGTTGAGCATCTGCCTTCGGCTCAGTGCATGATCCTGGGATCCTGGATCGAGTCCCACATCGGGCTCCCTGCAGGAGCAGGGAGCCTGCTTCTCTCTCTGCCTATGTCTCTGCCGCTCTCTTTCTCTGTGTCTCTTATGAATAAATACATAAAATCTTAAAAAACAAAACAAAACAAAAAAACAAGAAACAAGGAGACCGAAGCAGAAGAGTTAACCTTAAACCACAGGAGGCAAAACACTTCTTCCTCTGAAATAAGAGGAAAGGAAGGATAAATGAGGGTGGATACAGACATACTTGAGTTGGAAGAGGGATGAGTGGGGGCAGCTTCCAGTAAGTGGTCTGGATCTTTTTAGCAGGAAAGACAGGTGCTCTGCTTAAAGTCAAGCTCCAAAGTTGGTGAAAGAATTCTGGAATCCCCAATGTAGAGATTCTTCTGGGGCATCAAGTGTTGAAGGAAGAACTGACCAGCACCAGCAAGGACCTAGCTGATGTTGCCGTGTATTTTTAGCAGACAAAATCTGTCTTTCTCCAGGATTGCTATGTCAGTGTCCATGCAGTGAATGTTAACCGTTATCAACACAGAATTTGGATTTTAGCCACTATATTTCCAAAAGACATTATCTTCTTAGTTGTACTTAATAGTAAATCAAAAATGGATTGATTTGTTTTCCTCTTCTCTTATACCTGTCAGAAGCTTGTAATTAGTGAGAGCTGCCTGTGGAATGCAGTATAAGGAATTTTAATCAACAGCCTTTTGTAGAACCTATTAAACTTGGCTTGCTGCTTTTAGAATCTGTGCTTTTGGGAAAAATGAAAACTTAAACTTACCTTTTGTCTTTCTCTTGTTCTCAGTAGTTTCTATAGAACACTTAAATTTTGCAGTGTACATCTACTCAGATGCAGTTTTTGGAAATGTTTTTGAGCAACCAGATCACAGTGATGCAATTCTCAAATAGAAATCCACTGATTGGTAGAAACCAATATCACTGAAGGACCTCTTTTTCTTCAAATACTAGGTCGAAAATGGTGTATTTGTAGCTAATCCACTTCAGGAACGCACAATTCTAATGAGAAAAGAAGGTGAATCTGCCAAAAGCATTAATGAAATGCTTCTGAGCAGACTTTCACGTTACAGAGCTTCCCCGTCTGCAACACTGGCTGCCCTTACTGGCTCCACCATCTCCAACACACTGAAAGAAGACCAAGCAGGTATGTTGTGGCCCTTTGCTTACTGTGTTTGTTCACCTTGTGTGGCTCCATTCAGCTACGTACATATTTTTAAAGACCTTATTTTTTAGAGCAGTTTTAGGTTCATAGCAGAATTGAGAGGGAGGTAAAGAATTTCCTGTAAACCTCCTTCCCCCACACATGCACAGCTCTCCCATTATACAGTTGGTGAACCTTCAGTGACATAACATTAATCACCTAAAGCCCATAGTTTACATTCAAGTTTACTCTCGGTGGGTTTGGACAAATACATGATGACAGGTCTTCATCCTTATGGCATCATACAAAGTAGTTTCACTGCCCTAGAAATCCTTTGTGCTGTATTTATCTCTCCTTCCCCTTGTGCCTGGCCACCCCTGACTTTTTTATTGTCCTCATAGTTCTACCTTTTCCAGAATGCCCCCTAGTTGGAATCACATATCATGTAGCCTTTATAGATTGGCTTCTTTCACTTGGTAGCATGCATTATGTTTCCTCCATGTCTTTTCATGGCTTGATATATTCAGCTTGTGATTTTTGAGAGCTCCCTCTGGAATTTGGGCAGTACTTTTCTTCCCCCCAAGTCTATTTATTTTTAGTAATCTCTATACCCAATGTGGGGCTTGAACTCAGAATCCCAAGACCAAGAGCGCATGCTCCTCTGACTGAGCCAGACAGGCGCCCTGTTGGCAGTACTTTTTGAGTGCTTACAGTATGTCATACAAAGCACATTGCTTTACATAATTCACCTTTTTATCTCCCTCCAGTTATCAGTCTTTTTTTAAATTCCAAACCAATACATGTTGTTAGCTATGGACATGAATTGGCATGAATCTATAATAATTCCAAATAGCTCTGTCTTTAACTGTAAATACCTTATCATTGCTGTTAATGTAAATTGATTTCATGTTTAGCATCTGCTTCATAAATGTAAAAAACTCATGTTTGGCATTGTCTTCACTTCTTGGCCAAGCAAATAAGAGGCAAACATCCACAAGGGAGATTGCTTTTTCTAGAATTTATCATTTACTGCTTGCACCTTAATAATTAATTAATTAATTAATTTTTTGTTTGTGGACCTTAATATTTTAAAATAACGCATGTACAGAGTTTGAAAGTAGAAGCAATATAAAAAGGTATATACAAAGAAATCTTTCTTCTGTATCTTGGCATATTATACATTTTGCCCTGCACTACCTCCTATAGGTGATTATATTTATTAGTTTTTATATAACCTTACAGAATTTCTTTATGCAAATACAATTATGTGTTCTTATTTTCCTCCTTTTCTTAATAAAAGGTAGCCTACTAAACACACTGTTCTGTACTTTGAAAGCAAGAGTTCTTAACTGAGATAAGCCCTTAAGAGGCTCATGAATACACTCCCCAAACTTTCATAACAACATCTTAAGTGTATCCATCCTGATTTTCACCAGACTTTCAAGGCCATCTCTGACCCCAAAAAAGGTTAAGAAGCATTATTATTGATGAGTTTTCAGATTACACCAACTATGTGACTCTATAACAAGTCATGAACTGTAGTAAAAGATAAGGCTAGAACATATGCTGTATATATAGAAAAATGCATCTGAAAGAATAGATGTTTAATGAATTTAATGCAATTTTAGGCTTTATCCTTTATATACTGAAATGTTGGGAAGAGAAACTGATTAATTCATTTAAAGGCTATCAAATTAAATACTTCTTAGTTCATATTAGAATTTAAGGATATAATTTTATTTTCATGGGTCTCTATTATATCAAATGTAAGTGGGGAGATTATTAACAGTTGTCATAACTTGGGTATATGGATAATTAGAATGATAGGAATACTTTGTAGAGGATGGTGGGTTTACAAAATAAATAGCTTCCTGACAAGTTGAAGGCTTCATGAGAGAGAGAGAGAGAGAGGCAGAGACATGGGCAGAGGGAGAAGCAGGCTCCCTGCAAGGAGCTCAATATGGGACTCGATCCTGCAGCCTAGGATCACACCCAGAGCCAAGGCAGACGCTCAACGTCTGAGCCACCCAGGCATCCCCAAGCTGAAGGCTTGATCTGAGTTTATCCTTGGGAGAAAACTGAATCCTATCCCAACAATAGAAGTACTAAAGGAATCTTTGTTGAAAAAGGAGATATGAGTGAAATCAGAAGAACTCAGAAGGCAAGGGTACGTTTAGAATTCTGTGAAAACTGCTGTTGTATTCAAAACATGTGAGCTCATACTTTTATATACATTCTCTGCATATTCATTAACATGATGTTGTTGCATAAAAAATCACCAGTTATTAGGCTGACTTTTGAGGATTCAGCATTCAAAGGGTCTAGAATGTTTTATTCTGGGATAAACTAATATCTATAACTACGTTATTAATAAGTTGTCTATTAAAGCATCGTGGTGAAAATGCTATATTCATAAAGTTGCTAATTTTCCAATCATTGCCCCTTTTGGGTTTCTTACCTGTGGAAATTTATGCCCTTGAGTTTATGTCCTGGATGAAGATGAAGAATATACTTGTTGAGAATTTGGAGTTTCTAATGGAGCTGTTTAGAGGCACAAGCATTCAAAACAAAAATCAGACAGATTGGGTTTCACTTTTCTCCTTTTTCTAATCTAAAACATGTAAAAGCATTTTTTACATCTATCTGAGCTGTTCTGTTTTATACCCTGACAGCTTCCTAGGTTAAGCATTCTGTCTCACTTTCTGTTACCATGATCAGATCTCACTAGAGTAGTATATAGGAAGTCCTTAAATTTGTATTTTCAAATATCCCAGTGAGGAGGTGAGAATAGAGTGCATCTTTTACCTCTTGATTAGAAATAATAATTATTTAATAATAGTTTATGTCACTGACCTTAAATATATGTATAATATATTTAATATATATGTTTTATAAATATAAAATATAAGGAGTTATAAATCATGAAGATATAAAATGGTTCTGTGATAGGTATTGTGAAAACTTTTATTGATTAGTTATACATTGAAATTTCTGGCTGATTTCATGTTCAGAGCTGTTTGTAATGAATGTAATAAGCCCAACCTGTAGAATTTGTTCTGTATAAAATGAAAAGATGTCTGTTGGAATGTAGTTTCTGGGAAACACAAACAGTAGGATTCTTCTTTCATTCTGAGATCTAGTCCAAGTGAGGATTCATTCTTTTGAAAGAAGTTTTGAGACATAAAGGCATATTGAGTATTGGGAACACCTTTGAGAAATGTTCAGCTCATGAAACAGGGAGCTTGGGGCCAGGCTACTGGGCCAGATCATTATTTCTCTTTAGTTTACTGCTTCTTGTTGTATTTTCCACATCTGGGTATATCCTTGTTTGAATATGGGGGCTCCTTCATTATACTGTAATCTACTTTGGCATTCAAATTAATCTGTGTGTCAAATACTTATCACTATTTTCATTCCTTTCACCAGCAAATACTAGCTGTGGGCTACCTCTGAAAATGCTTCGGAAGACGCCCATCTATACCTGTGGCACATACTTGGTGATGCTGGTCCCACCACCAGGGGGGTCAGGCAGCTCTGCCACCCGTTCTCTTTTTGGTGGAACAAGTGGTTTGTCATCTTTAAAAAGTAAGTGCATTTTATTTGTGGCATTCTGCCTAATTGTCTCTAACTGTGAAATTTAAGGCTTTTCTATTAATAATATTAAACTTACTCTGTTAAAGTTGTTTGTAGTAGCTCTTTGATTACAGCAAAACTTATCAATATAGTCAATAGTTTAGAAAGAATCAAAACTATAATTTTTGTAGGTGATACAGTAGTACACTTCTGAAAACCATCATCCTATAAAATTACTAGAAATAATAATGAATTCAGGACTATTTTAGGGAAATAAAATACTCAATTGCCATATTATTTACTGATAAACACAGCAAGAGTTCTACCCACTACGAATAAAATTCCAAATTACTAAATAAAATATGTGAAGTGCCTCTATTTTAGGACACATAAATAAAAGGTTAAGCAAAAAAAATCTAATTCAGAAATTAATGTTGTTAATTAAGTATATATACTTTTTTTTTATATAGAAGAGGGAGGCATACTATAGTAATTAAAGCATTGTGATTTTGGCTTCAGAGTAGGCAAATAGTTAAATGGAATAAAATATAGAATCAAAATCAAGAGTCAAAAAATGTTTCAGGGCATCTGGCTGGCCCATTTGGTGGAGTGTGTAACTCTTGGGGTTGTGAGTTCAAGCCCCACAATGAGTATAGAGACTACTTAAAATCTTTAAAAAATAAAACTTTCTTTTACATTCCCATTTTGTAGCTTTGCTACCTTAGGGACATTATTTAACTCCTCTGAGCTTCACGTTTCCCACCTGCAAAGAATAAAAGGAAAATAGTATCTTACACTATTGTTTGGTGGTCGTATGCAATAAAGTTATATTAGAGTATTTCTAAGAAACAAAAAACAAAAACTCAAATGTTCCTTTCATATATGGTAACACTTTTTGTGTTTTTCCATGAAATTCGTTTTATTTATTTTTATTTATTTATTTATTTATTTTGATTTTTTTTGAAATTTGTTTAGACACATAAAATTAAAATGTTTTTAAAATCTGTTTATTTTCATTTCCCAATATTTTCGTATTCTGTCCTCTTAAAATGATTTGCTTACAGTTATCCCATTAAAGGATTATATTTAAAATGTAGTCTTTTTATTTTATTTTTTTTTAACTTTTTTTTTTTAAGATTTACTTATTTATTCAGAGAGAGAGAGAGAGGCAGAGACACAGGCAGAGGGAGAAGCAGGCTCCAAGCAGGAAAGCTGGATGTGGGACTCAATCCCGGGTCTCCAGGATCACATCCCGGGCTGAAGGAGGCGCTAAACCGCTGTGCCACCGGGGCTGCCCCAAATGTAGTCTTTTTAAAAGGCATTTCATACTCTAAGCCGGAAGATACAAATTTGATCTCAGCACTTTATACAAAATCATAAAAAAAAAAAAAATCATGTGTCTATTATAAACCTTTAGGCCCTTTCAGGTAAACACATTGTATGTGGGATTTAAATATTTGTAATAACTCAACATTCTTTTGCTTTTAGAATCAAATTGGTTGGACTTTTTCTCAACAGCTTGTTTTCTCTAACAAATCATGTGACCAAGGGCAGCCCCGGTGGCGCAGCGGTTTAGCGCCGCCTGCAGCCTAGGGTGTGATCCTGGAGACCCTGGATCGAGTCCCACGTCAGGCTCTCTGCATGGAGCCTGCTTCTCCCTCTGCCTGTGTCTCTGCCTCTCTCTCTCTCTGTGTCTCTATGAATGAATAAATAAATAAATAATCTTTAAAAAAAAGATCATGTGACCAAGATGTCCCTTGAGCGCTTAAAATAAATGGTGTAAATTTATTATTAGTCTCTTTTTTTTTAGTACAAGCTTTATTGAGCTATAATATACTATAAAATCCACACCTTTTAAGTATACAGTTCAGTGGTTTTTAGTATATTCAGAGTTATGCATTCATCACCACTATCTAATTCTAGAACATTTTCTGTCACTTCAAAAAGGAACCTCCCCCACCATACCCATTAGCAATCCCTCCCCCTTTTTCCTCCCTCACCCCAGCTCCTGGTATCCATTTGTCTACTTCTGTCTGTGCGGATTCATCCCTGGACTTTTCCTATTTATGGAATTATATAATATATATGCTTTTGTGATTGGCTTTCTTCTTTTTTAATGTTTTTAAGATTCATCCATTTGATAGTAGGAATTATTACATCATTCTTTTTTATGGCTGAATTATATTCTATTGCATGGATAATATCCCATTTTGTTGACATTTGAGTTGTTTCTACTTTCTGGCTATTTTGAGTAATACTGCTATGAACAATCATGTTAAGTTTTTGTGTAGGCATATGTCCACCTCTCTTGTGTATATACGTAGGAGTAAAATTCTGGTCATATGGTAGCTGTATGTTTACCCTCTGAAGGGACTACCAAGCTGTTTTTTCAAAGTGGCTGTACTGTTTTACATTCTCATCAGCAACATAAAAGGGTCTAATTTCTCCACATTCTCCGTGACATTTATTTTCTGCTTTTTAAAATTATGGCCATCCTAGTGGGTATGAAGTGGTATTTCTTTGTGGTTTTGATTTGTATTTCCCTAATGACAAATGATGTTGAACATCTTTTCTTGTGCTTATTGGCCATTTGTATGTCTCCTTGGACAAGTATCTTTTGAAACCTTTATTTATTTATTTATTTTAAAATATTTATTCATGAGGGACACGGGGGCGGGGGGCAGAGACACAGGCAGAGGGAGAAGCAGGCTCCATGCAGGGAGCCCAATGCAGGACTTGATCCCGGGACTCCAGGATCACGCCCTGGGCCAAAGGCAGGCGCTAAACTGCTGAGCCACCCAGGGATCCCCTGAAACCCATTTTTAAATTGGATTATTCATCTGTTTATTTACCATTAGTCTTGTTAAACTCTTTTTAGTCTTCTTGGCATGGCTTTGTCATCAAATGAAATTGGCCCCATTTGATTAAAACAGGCCTTCACGGTGCCATTTTTTCATGAGGTTATAACATACATAGTGATTCTACTTTAGGCCAACAAATCAATACATGCTTAAATTTCTTCTGTGTCTTGTTCCACATTGGTCACTGTGGAGGCTACCTAGTATGTGTAGGAAGTGGTGCTTGCCTTGAGGAGCTCCTCATCTGGTTGGGAGAAATACTGTTTGTGTGTGAAACAAATAGAAAATGATACACAGTGATGTATTACTTTCTGGAACCATGGGGAGCAGATGAAATGCTGCAGAATCTGAGAGAAAGGGTTATTGTGGAGTGGGGTAGAAAGCAGATACATCCTGAGGTCTTGAGTTTAAGTCATGAAAAACAGATATTATGCATATAAGTGGCCAAGTTGGGGAAAGATGTATGCATGGCAAACAATGAAGGAAGGGATTTGGGAGGGGCACCTGGGGGCTTAGTCGGTTAAGTGTCTGCCTTTGGCTCAGGTGATGATCCCCGAGTCCCAGAAATCCTGGGATTGAGCCCCACATCCAGCTCCCTGCAAGTGAGAAGAGGACCGGAGAGAGAAAAGCAGATTTCCCACTGAGTGGAGCGCAACTCGAGACTTGATCTCATGACCCCGAGATCATGACCTAAGTTGGGTGCTTAACCGACTGAGCCAAGCATTTGTCTCCTTTTTGTGGTCTTATGTTTGTATTCTGTCTCCTCATTGTTACTACCAATAGACAGCAAAAGTGTGATTTTTATGAAAGTCTTTTTAAGAGCCTAAAGTTTAAACTTTGAAAACTAGACCATCACCGTAAGGCTTATTAAACAGCTTAATATTTGTTTTCAAAGTCCTTGCCTCTAGCTTGGTATATAATATTTCGGATGGTCAGTTCACAAGTCGTGCCGATCTCATAGATGCTGCTGGAAGCTCACTGGGTCGTGGTGCTCTTGTACCAGGATTGGGTAAGAAATGCCCACTTTTCCTTGGAAAATTCAAAGTTTTTGCAATTTCTCTCAAAAAATCTTGCCAATTTCCTTTTCCTAGTAAGAAATAATTTTTTGATGCCACTGCTTAATTTTAAGGATCAACATAAGAAATGAGCATAGATGCCATTCCTCTGCTTAAATTGCTATTGAAAATACTGTCCAAGTTATATGATGATGCCTGTAACAAATATTTCTCAAAGTTCAGGCACCCTTAAGAGATTCATTTCCATGCTTCTTAGTGTCAGGAAGTGAACATTATGTAATATATTTGATTTTCTCTTTGCCTTGGCTCCTAGGAAGCTCATATCTAAGTTTTGGACTTGGTTATTAAAGCTTCTACTGTGTGTTAATGTTCATTAGTCCTGTTAGTACCTGGGTTTTGGTTTAAACCATTTAAATCCTTTTTGGAATTAAAAGGGTCACAAATAAGTCAGTTACTAAGAACTGTCTATTCCATGAGACCTATTCCATTCTCACACAGGAGTTAAGCAAAATAGAAATTGAGTGCTTCCTTTTGGCTGAGCCCTAATCTAATGCTTTGCTACATAAATATATGGGAATAGGGATGTGAATTGTCAGCAGTGGAGAGAACCACCCTTCTATTCTTTAGCAGTGCTTTGGAGAAATATGTATACAGGCAGATATGTATACATGACAGCTGAATAAAGTGTGCTGTTTTTGCAGGTGCCTGTTATGATACAGTGAACAACATGCTGTGGACATGCTCAAATGATTATATTGATCAGTGGTGTAATCCAGGGAACCAGGCCTTCCATTATGTCTGTCAGAGACTTGGAGTCAGCCACATCATCACTGAGCCCAAAGGTGAGGTGCACTTGTGGTCTTAGAGGAGTATATTTTTCCCTAATGAAATATGAGAGAGGGCAGCCCGGGTGGCTCAGAGGTTTAGTGCCGCCTTCGGTCCAGGGCGTGATCCTGGAGACCTGGGATCGAATCCCACGTCGGGCTCCCAGCATGGAGCCTGCTTCTCCCTCTGTCTGTGTCTCTGCCTCTCTCTCTCTCTCTCTGTCTCCATGAATAAACAAATAAATAAAAATTTAAAAAAAAAAGAAATATGAGAGAGCACAGTAGGGTAAGTAAGTGGTAACATTGCCCAAGTAATAAAAAACGTGTCAGTAGCTTTCCCTCTTTGAACTTGAAACCTAACATCCTTGTTGCCTGATTTTTTTTAAGATATTCATTTATGTATTTGAGAGAGAGAAAAAAAGAGAGAGAGAGTGCGCATGATCAGGGCAGAAGGAAAAGCAGACTCCCTGCTGAGCAGGGAGCCTGATGCAGGGCTCAATCCCAGGACCCCAGAATCATGACCTGGGCCAAAGGCAGACACTTAACTGACTGAGCCATTGAGGTGCCCCACCTGATTGGTTTATGATTAATTATTATTATTTTTTAAAAGATTTTATTCATGAGAATAACAGAGAGAGGGAGAGAGAGAGGGAGAGAAGCAGGCTCCATGCAGGGAGCTTGATATGGGACTCGATCCCGTGACTCCAGGATCACGCCCTGGGCTGAAGGCAGGTGCCAAACTGCTAAGCCACCCAGGGATGCCCGGTTTATGATTAAGTAAATAATTATGTAAATAAACAGAGGATTTGAGACTTTTTTAGAGAAAATTGTTTTGCTACTATTTTATTTTATTTTTTGTTTTATTCTTGAGAGACATACAGAAAGAAGCAGAGACATAGGCAGAGGGAGAGGTAGTCTCCCTGTGGAAAGCCTGATGCAGGACCCAATCCCAGGAACCTGGGATCATGACCGGTGCCAAAGGCAGACAGACACACTTGACCACTGAGCCCCCCAGGTGCCCCAGATATGTGTATTTCTTAATATTAAGAATCTTAATATTAAATAACTGTTACCTTAAAATCTTGTGGCTTCGAGGTCAGTTATAGTGTGGTATGGAGGAGAAAATCCTCTTCCCATAAAGCATTCTCATTGATCATTATGAGAAACAACTATTTCTAGGCTCTAGAAACTGACCAGAGGCATACACCAAATTGAGAAGTGAATATTCATAAAAATCACTGAACTTGGGTAAAAATAGTAGGAGTCTGTGGTACTCTTACTTGATGATGCTCCTGTCTCCCACCTTAAACTTGGTCAGTGTAATAATTCCATCAAAGTGGGGCAGATCATGTAAACCAGCAGCCTTGCTTCCAGAGGGGCTGACCTGATTTGGAGCAATACATGGGAAAAACTCCTGCCCAACAATGTCAGTAACAGTACCAATCTTGGTGGCAAACCAACAGAGAAGACTGGTGGCTTAGCTCACTTGAGGTTGTGGTTGTGATTAGGGTGAGCAGTGAACCAGCAAACTAGCCAGAGATTTACTCATGAGATCCAGGTAGTGAGAAAGCTACAGAGGGCCTTGTTTAGCTACCTGCACATCTGCATAGAAGAAGCTGGAGAGGGCCCAGCCTGGGTTGTTCACACAGGCCTGGCCGAGCATGAGCCTGCACATACATGCAGAGATGAGAGAGGGCCTGACAGAAAGTAAAATCCAAGACAGAGTTTAAAGCTGTCTGAAACTTGGTGTGCTACCCCAAAACATACAGACCCAGCCAGAGGGGCAGACTTACTGGCCCAAGGTATTTGAGCACAGCCTTTGACTCAGTCTAGATGATTCCTAGGAAGACAGGCTTAAAATTTAAAAAAATAAAAGTACACAAATGAAAGAAAGTAACAAAGTAGAAACAAGAATTGAAAAAAAAAAACCAACCAAACAGAAGTCAGTGGCTATATACTATAGACAGAACTCAGCTGTTGGACTTAGAAGATGAGAACTACAGCAGCCTTTGTAGATATATTGAAAGATCTAAAGGAAACTGTTGAAGAGATGCAAGTATGATGACTATGACTTAAAAAAAAATTGAGAATTTCAACAAATAAATTTTCGAAAAAAGAAAACAGTGGAAATTCTGGATTTGAAAAGGTCAGTGACTGCAAAGAGCAGCTCAGCAGCAGATTTTAAATGGTGGGAGAAGTAAACCTGCAATGTAGACATAGATGGATAGAGTCATCCTTTTAGAAGAACAGAAAAGGACACGCTTGGGGAGTATTTGTCAGGGATTTTGTAGAACATCCTTCAGTTTGAGTTCATCTTCAGTTTTCTTATTTTGAACTGAGGTTTTAGATTTTAGGGAGGAGTATTGCAGAGGTAAAGTGCTTTTCTCATTTTGTTATATCACAGGGTACATGTATCACAGGATATCACAGGGTATCATATAAACATGATAATAAACATGATTTATTATTAAAGTCCATCACTTGATTTGGGGCACCTGGCTAGCTCAGTTGGTGGAAGGTGTGACTCTTGATGTCGGGATTGTGAGTTTGAGCCCCACCTTGGGAGTAGAGATTACATAATAAAAATCTTAAAAAAAAAATTGCTTGGTTTAAATGCCAGCTTTCTTCACTGCAAAGTTACCTTATTTTTCCCTTTCCAACTAGTAGATAGTCATTGAGCCCAAGCTTATGGGAAAGGGAATGAAGCTCCACCTCTTAGAAGGAAGAGCCTCAAAGAACTTGTGGACATATGTTAATTGCTATAGTAATTAATATTTTGAGGGAGGTGATGCTTTGAGGCTATGCAGTTACCAGATTTTTTATTCTTGAGTTAGTTTGGTAATTTGTGTCTTGCTAGAAATTTGTGCATTTCATCTAAGTTTTCTTATTTGTTGATATAAAGTTGCTCATACTATTTCCTTATAATTTTTATAGGGTCAGTGGTAACTTCTCTGTTTTCCTGATTTTGGTGTATGTGCAGATTTACTAAATATCATTGAATTGTGCACTTAGAATGGGTGAATTTTATCTTAAATTCTATATTAATAAGGCTATTGAGGGACGAAGAAACAGCAGGGGCCCCTGGGTGGCTCAGTCAATTAGGTGTCTGACTTGGTTTCAGCTCAAGTCACTGTCTCGGGGTCCTGTGATCAAGTTCCAAGTGGGGTTCCACACTCAGCAGAGGGCCTGCTGGTTCTTTTCCCTCTGCTCCCCCCCACATGCTTTCTCTCTCTTTCATAATCTTTTTTTAAAAAGAGCAAAAATAAGAAAAAAGTCAACCATATATCAGTGCCTCCCTAATTATTCTCTCCAAGCTTCTTGCTTTAATCTCTAGACTGTATATTCACCTCTACTCGGTTATCTAATAGGTATGTTCGTCTTGTCAAAAACACACTCCATTTTCCCCCTTCTCCAAATCTCTACCTGCTGAATCCCCTAGATGCTACTATAGGGATCACAGTTCCTTCATATGCTTAAGCCACAAAATTAGAATTCCCTAGGACTCTCTCTCTCTCACATCTCACTCATCTCACTCATTTTCTCTCACATCTATCCAAACGGACATCAGCAAATACTGTCAGCTGTGACCCTCAAGATCTATCCCCAGTCCAACCATTTCCTACCAGCGATGCTGCTATGACTTGCCTAGGCGTTGGTGGCTTCACCAGGTTACCGGGTGGCCAACTCCCTGGTCTTCCTTCCTCCTTCCTCCGCAGCTGCCCTCCGCTGCCCCCATTTGCTCATTTCTGCACAGCAACCAGAGTCCTGTACAGTCTTGGTAGTCAGCTCTGTCCCTCCTCTGCTCAGACTTCTCCACTGGCTTCCCATGTAACTCAGAATAAAAATCAAAGACCTCATTTCTTTGGCTAGGTCCCAGAGGCTAGCTTTCAGAAAGTCTTTGGGGAGGATGAATAATACTAACCTGAATTCTATTGTAAGAGCATGGAACCCGGCCTGGCCCTCCAGCTAACATACAATTGGAAAATTCAGTTTGGGCCAAGTTCACCTTCTCTTTGATTTTCCTTGAGTCCTCTTGTCATAGTCTTCAGTGCCCACAGTCTGGGAAACTCCAAGTAACCTCTACTCGGGCCTGCCTCTCCTAGATCCCCTGCCTTCCTGGTCCTCTGAGGCAGTTCATTTCAGCTGGTTTAAAGGGAAAAGCAAATTTGTTTGTTTGTTTTGCATTTTACCTATTTAGATTATTTTCACTTCCATTCCCTGAATGCCTGTGACCATCCATGGGGTGTTTATTATTGTGTAAGAGGATGCTCTTGAACCTCAGGGTTGAACTGATGACTCTCTAGGTTGCAGTGACTAAATGAGATAAAAATGGTGAGGTACTGTGGGAGGAGGTATTTATGGACCTGGGGGCGGGGATGTGGTGGTGGTGGTGGTGGTGGTGTTCTCTCATGGAGGAGCCATAGAAGATAGATTTTACTAGACTGGTTCCAGCATGGGCTCTGAGCAGAGATGGCCTGACTCCAAATCCCAGCTCTGTACTTAGTAGCTGTGTGACCTAGGGCAAGTTACTTAACCTCTCTAAATTTGATTTACTCCTCTATAAGACAGGGCTAAAATAGTCTAAGTTTACAGCAGAGTTGTAAGATAATGCATGTAAAGCATTTAACCTATTGTCCAGTATATAGAAAGGGCTCTCTCAGTGCTCTTTAAAAACGGGAATTCCTTAGTGTTTTCATTTTCACCTCAACACTATGGCAGGGGAAAAGGATTCTCCAGAAGCAGTAGAAGAGATGGGAGCCAGCATACTCTCTCCTAGTACTAGTATGCGTGTACCTTTTGTAAATCAGAGTTTTCTGTTCCTTAGGGGCCACCTATGGATATATCTTTCCTCACTGAGTTTCTTTTTCATTTTTTAGAAGAGGCTATAACCACGAATGAGGTTATAAACCAATTATTGCACCACGTTGGTGCGATGTGCATACACCAACTCAATCTTCTTGCTACTAACCCCAATCTTCCAATCACAAGTGTCTTGGGCAAGCAGCATCCAATTGAAGCACACCATCTTAGCAGTATTTGTGACATTATGGAGAAAGCCATGGTTAATGGAGACACCTGTATTATACGCTGTATTCTCGTTGTCTTTCAGGTAAATGCACTGTTTTGACATAAGTAAGATAATAGAGAAAAAGAGACCCAAAACTTGGTTTCAGCCAGCTAATTTTCACCAGAAGAAAGGTTTAACAACATTCCTGTCTTGTATCTTAACCACATTCTAATCCTGTAATTAGAATTTTAATCATACTCATTGTATTACAGTTAATGGAGTATTGCTGTAGGTAGCTCATTGCAGTTAATATATATAAAATATTTACTGTAATTATACTGTTACACAATCAAGGAGATTGTGGTTAAAAATCCACCTGCATATCTGTTCAGAAGACTATCTACTATATGCTTTTTTTCAAAGGGATAATTTTATCCCTAGTAGAATTAGTATTTTTAGATATACCCCTTATGTTTCTGTAGGTGGTATTTAAATTTTTCTTCAGCCCACAAACTGAAAGGAATCGCGACATCATTCGACGGTCTGGATTATTGCTTTGGCAGTTGTTGATGGCACCAAAAGATCAAATTTGCTCTGAAATTCAGAAGGAAGTGTGTCTTGCCATCAGGTAATCAGCAAATTATTTTCTTCATGGTTTTTGCAAAATGCTTCCCCTGTGCTTCATTGTAATCTTTGCTGCAATTCAGTAGCATGGAAGTCTCTTACCCCATTCCATAGTCAGGACCTTGTACATAGGGAATAATTTAATTGGAGAGGGCTTGTGGCCCGACTCCCAGGGGCCCTAAGCCGTACGTGTAACTATGTTCCTCATCTTGCCTTTTGGATTTTGAGAAGGACAAAAAAAAAACCTTTTGAGAGGGTATTTTGATGGCTTGCAAGTAGATGTTCTTGTCATTTGGGGAGAGTATATGGCAAGGTGTCAAAGAAGCAGGTTTAGGCAGCTTGCAGACCTGGGTTCTAGTCTTTGCTCTGCCACTTGCTAGCTTGGTTCAAGGTTTCCATTTCCTCAGCTATAAAGTGGGCATAAAAATAACACCTAACTTGAAGAGTTTGTGAGATTTTAATAAGACAAAGCCTGATGCAAAGTGCTCAACAATGTCAGCCTTTTAAATTCTGCTTAAAACCTTGTTAGAGAAGAGGTCAGAATTTATGGACCATTTTCTGTTTATCTTTTTAATCTTTTTTTTAGTTCAATGAACATTTATCCAGGTATATAGCCTGTGACCAAGAATAATTTAGTCACCAAGAGAGAACTGAATGTTTGGTCTGGAAGAACTATAATGTGAGCAGAGAGGGAGGAGAGGAGAGGAGATTTTTTTCCCTTCAATAATCAACTATGCTTTGGGTCTCTTGCTATTGAGAATATTAAGGCAGCAATTTAAATCTGGTGTCATGAGGAAACTTCTGGGGGTGATGAGTATGTTCAGTTCCTTGATTGTGGTGATGGTTTCATGGGTCTATACATATGTCAAAACTTGTCATACTTACACTTTAAAAATGTGCACTTTATTGTATGTCAAACCTCATAAAAAAAAAGTAACAATTCTGACACAACTTGTAATGCTTTTCTTCTTGTTCTTTTGGAAAAGCTGAAATTTAGAAATTCCACTTCTCAAATGTGCTTTTGGTCACAATCTGGATATACACCTGGCTCAACTTTGACTTTGTATAGCTCAGTTCTCTTTAACCAGTTCCATATCCAGCCTCAGACAAGTTCTTAATTTGGTAACTCGTCGACATGAGAAGGAGAGAGAGCCTAGTTAGCAGGGAGGTGAATGGGCTATATGGTGATAGTGAATTTAGAGTCAGCCACTTGGTCAGTGATGAGACTTCCCTCAGAATTTTATGTAATCACACTGCCATCTTTAATATGACTACAAATTAAAATATTTAGAGTTTGGATTTTCTAGGACATTTGTTGAAAAGCCTTTTGACTTTTCTGTCCTTTCAGCTCGGGTTTAAATATCTTATACCCTGGTGAAACCGAAATCAATAACTTACTGAAGCTGGTCTTAACAGAAGGTAAGAATTATCCTTGCATTCTCCTTGAACAACCATCCTTTTTTTTTTTTTTGTCCACAAGGAGATGGCTGGATATAAAGATAATATTTCTTTTCTTTGTACTTGTTAGTGTTCTTTTTAAAATATATCTGCTGTGGAAGCGTGTATACAATTATATGCCGGATACCTACCATTCATGTAACAGCTGCAAAGATATTTAATGTACATCGGATTATTAATAAAAGAGCTTTTTTACTCTGTTATATTCAAATAAAGATTGCCTTGTGACTGAAAAAAATAATAAAATAAAATAAATAAATAAAATAAAATAAAATAAAATAAAATAAAATAAAATATATCTGCACATATGCCAACACTTCAACTGGACTGAGCAGAAACTGTGTTCTTTGTATCTTCAAGCTTTAGAAATCTTTTTCTATTCACACCACTTAGCAGAAGATGCCTGATGGTAGAAGTTTGATGCACATTAAAGATAATGACTTCTTGGGGACTTTAAGTCCATTTGTTTTCTCCAAAACCTGACTTTTAAAGTTAGAGTAATCAACAAATACAACAAAGTTCACCCTGTCAAAGACACTCTGCATTAATAAGCAACATTAATTTAAAGAATTAGAAATCACACTTGATGATGTATGAAGAGGTGAACTACACTCAGATCGGGATGTACTGGTTTTTAAAAAAGCCTGACTGGTTGCGATGTTTTTGCTGCTGCTGTTTAGGTATGTGTGCTTGGATCCCCTAGATCGTCAATAGTCTGCTTGTTTCGAAACTTGTTTTAATAGCCTCAATTTTCTAAGTGTGATTGCCACGGTCACTTACGGAGCTTTGTTCTGTGTCAGGAGAGAGGAACAGCGGCCTCTCACAGCTGCGGGATGTGATCCTAACCAATTTAGCTGAACAGCTTCAAAACAACCGATTTGGCAGCGAGGAGGATGAGCATTACAGGTGACACCAGTTATGCTGTTGACTGCTCGCCTTCTCTTTGTGTTTTTCTCAGGAATTAATTTACGCTTAAACATGTTTGATCAACTTTAGTCTCCTGTAATATCTGATATAATAATTAGCATGTTAAATTGAAATCAGATCAATTGAAAGATGGTAAATCCCGTATTTGCCCTAAGAAGCGATGTTAGCATTTTTCAGTTTTATCACCAGAGTAACTTAGGCCTGCTAGAAAGTTCTTTGTGGAAATAACAGATGGAGTTTATTTAAAAATCTTGAAGAGTGCTCTCCAAATCACTGGGCTGTGAGAGAGGGTAAAGGTGTGGTGAGAGCTAGGAAGGTGTTGGTTTTCTTTGATGTTTATAAAATACTTGGACTGGGTGTTTGGCTACCATTGTGTTTCTGTAAGTTTGATTTAAATAATACACCCAGTTGTTAGCATCATTACTGAATAAGATGATTTACTTAGGAGAACGGGCTGATTTTGTGCCTTCTATTTGATATCTTGTACCAATTGTATACAACTTATCCTTTTTTATTAAACCATCAATATCTTATTGTTACATTTTTCCTGCATTTTAAAGACTAAATGATGAACTTTTACACTACATTCTGAAGATTGTTGTACGGGAATCCTGTATCTTAATCACCAAGTGCCAAACTGTCTCTAAAGAAGATTTTCAAAAACTCCTTTCAACTGTGCCTGTAAGTAAAAATGTGTTTAATGAAGGCAAAATTATATCACACATCCTTATTTTCATGTTACCATGTTGAAGTGTGTATGTACACACTGCTGTAACACACTCTCTCCAAGGCAGTCTTAGTTGATGAAAGGTAGTGGGTGTCTGTTTCTCTTGGAAATACAGAACTGAACAAATCCACTTGGAATACTTTCTCTAAAGACTTTATTCCTCCTGCTTAAATGTCTTGATGCAGTAAATTGTTTGAGTTTGGATGTTTTCATTTTATTTAAAATAGAGCGTCGTTCATCCCCTGCTTTAATTTTTAATATAGCATTGTTTTCTAAAGCATCACTGTTACACAGACTGAAAAGAACCAAGAAATTCTCTTAAGGGTTTGGGTAGGCTCTTTTCTAGTGGAAGCATGAGAGGGGATGAGGGTGGGAAGAAAATTTACTAAGAGGGAAAATTTTAAGTAAGTATCTGTGACTAGTGTGAATTATGTAGCAGAAGGCACAAAGTTACAGTGAATGTGTCAAATAATGTACCATGTGGAAATAAGTCACCTGAGAAACTAACCTGGTCTGTTTTCTGTACTTTCTCTTTTGCTTCCCTTGTCCAAATCTTATAAACACATGAGGATTACATGACCCCTTCTTTCAGTAGGGTGTAGATCATCTAAATGCCCTTATTTGTATTAAAGGCTGCATCCTCCTGCCTGCGCTATCTGATGGCAGTTCAGAACCACCTTCTCAGTAACACTATTTTGATTAAACCTGATGAGAATGATGACAGTGACAACTCCTTGCAGGGAGAGACATTGAAGGTACAGGTAAACACCAAGCTTTCTTCTAACAATGCTTTCTACCCAGTGTGTAAAGCACAGCTTAATTGGCTAAATCTCTGTGTATTATGATGTCAGATTTCACCATGTGGCTTATATTGTTGTGAGAGGTAATATTAGGTCACTCATTTCATAGGTTTTTATGTCATTGCACACTGGTTACCATATTTGTGACACTCTCATAATGTGTCATCCATGTGCTCCTGTCAATCTTTTTGTGCCTTGTTTATCTTCATATTTTTAAAGAACTATAAAATATGGCACTTACAAGTGATCTCATACACATCTGAAAGTTATGTATATATAGATAAAATAAATCTGGGTGTATAACATTTGAATAATTTTGACATTGTGGCTGGTTTATGATATTCTCTGAATTCAAATAAATTCAAAGGTGATAATTTTCTCATAACCTTTATGCTGAATAATTTCTAAACCTACAGCTCATTTCATTCTCTGTAATTATTTTTAAGTTAGCTACTGTGTAAATTCAATAATTTGTTCCCACATGGCAATTCAGAGATTTTTTTTATTGCAGTGGTGGTTACAATTTTGACAGATGCTGGAGGCTGTTATTTGCATTGTTCTTTTTTTTTTTTTAAGATTTTATTTATTTATTCATGAGAGAGAGAGAGAGACAGGCACAGACACAGGCAGAGGGAGAAGCAGGCTCCATGCAGGGAGCCTGACGTGGGACTTGATCCTGGGTCTCCAGGATCACGCCCTGGGCCGAAGGCGGCGCCAAGCCACTGAGCCACCCAGGCGTCCCTATTTGCATTGTTCTTGAGAAGTTCTTCTTTGTGAGAGAATTAAAACTTTTGACTAAAACTTACTGAAAAATTAACCAAAGAAGCCATAAAGCTACAAGTCATCATAGTCCTCTTCTTATTCCTTTATGCATGTGTACCATGAAACCAATACACTTGCTAGTTCCTGTTTATGAGTTGATCTTATTATACGATCCTTTTTTAAACAGGCAAAAATGCATGAATTAATCATTTCAAACTGCTGATACAATTGATTAACTTCTCTTGCCCTAGTTTCCTAATCAGTGAAAAGGGACAGTAGGTCTCCTTTTACAAGACTCTGTGAGGGTCAGAGAGGACGTGTGTGAAATGCCTGCCCTGTGCCACAATCAGCACGCAGGGGCTGACAAGATCTGTGTGACTTAAACCATGGTTTAGCCTGCTGGTTCGGAATTCCGTTTCTCTTAATGATAAAAACATCTTAATTCCAAGAAAGGCCCCCAAAAAGTCCAAGCAATGAAAACCAGTGTTTTCTCTTTGAAAGGCTAAATTCCATAAGTTCTTCATTAACCCCTGGAGAAAAATACTCATGGTAAAGGCAGAAGAGGCCAAGGTGTCCAGTATTTCTGGGAAAAATTAAAAACTCAGTTTTCACCTAAAGGTTTAGGTTGGTTGTATTTTTTTAAAATAGAAAATAATTGTACACTAAACATTTCTATGATTTTTAACTAGTACTTCTAAACATAGTATTTAGTATTTGTATGCCCAGGAACTCTCTAATAGTTATTTTTAATGTTTGATAGCCTGTAACTGCCTGCTACTTTAACTGAATTTTTTAACTTGCCTGCTTTCAAGTGTAATGGTTTAAAACATTAAGTAAAAAGGTCACTTGTACTGTTTCAGAATGTTGTGTTTTGTCTCATTTTATTCACCGCCTATACATGCGCCTTTTACTGTTCTGTTTTTCTCTTTAGCTATCCTCATACCACCCAAGGCAATCTTCCACCTGGAGAGTTTCTGGGCTGGCCACCGGGAGCTCTCTTGTGCTGGAGGCGATGGGAGAAATGCCTTTTCTCCCAGGGACTCCGTGTGCTCCCCGTGAAATACTGCGTATTTCTATCAGCACTCCAGACCTTAGCCTCCCAAATCAAATTGCTACTTGACATCCTCGCGGAACTTACTGCTTTGGGCTTATTCTGGCCACCTCATTATTTAATTTGGAAATGTGTCATTAAATACATCATTTCATGTTGTCAGTGTGAATGTATACTCATCACAAAGCTTAAAAATAATAATGTGATATTTTCTACCTAGGAGCTAAAAGTCAGTATTTTGGCTCTTGCCACCCAAATCCTGACTGGATGTGATGAAGTGTTGGAAATGCTACAACAGGTCACAACTGCCCTCATAAATAGTGACCTAGCTGACCGTGAGCAGAGGTGAGGAACTAGCTCGTGAGCTGTGACCCACTGCCCTTCAGGAAACAGAATTTGCTTATGAAAGCAAAATCTTTTAGAACATCAAATGTTCATTTAATATAGAAAGATTTTTGTGATAATAGGTTGAAACAGCAAGTTGTTTCAATGCCAAGTGCAATCAAACTCTTTAATGGTGCTTTTAGGTGAGATTGGGCTAACAGCCATGGTCTAAGGGGGCAGCAAGGTTGTGGTGGCATTTGGGTCTGCCACCATCATTGTTCCCAAATGGGCCTTTCCTTCAGCTATCTGGCTCAGCACGATATGCACTGGATTTCCTCATGATAAGGACTTTAGAGAGACAGAGATGACTTAGTGATACAGAAAATTAATTGCCATGCAAAAGAGGATGTTGACACGTCTTAAGATTTTACTGTAATTTTACTGCAAATATAGGAGTGACCTATATAGAGGGTAATCTCTTTCCCAGTAATAAAGCTCATTCTTAGTCCTCCCCATGAACATTTCAGCTATAGTTTGCTGTTACATCTGTGCTTATTGACAATTTTAACATTAGAGATGCTGATCCAAAACAACCCTGCCATGTATTTTTTCCTCCTGTATCCCGTCTGTCCCCATGTCCCTGCTTCTTGCCTTTTCCAAGAGAGTAAGTGGCCAGATTGGAATTGGGGACTGTATAGCCCAGATAGATATTACACTGTGGCTTGTTAGGATGTGTGGGACCCACTGCTGGCACATGGTGCAGATTTGTCCTGGGGAGGAAGGACAGTCTGAGAGCCTGAGAGATGTGAGGTCTGTTCCCTGTTCCAATCAATCCCAGTATCCTAAGTAGCCTTGGAGAATTTACATAACCCATATATTTCTTTGGGTGAGTCACATATCTTAATTCTTCTAGCAGAGGATTGGGATATTAAGAATGTGATTTTAGGTAATCATTTTACGATGTATGCATATATCAAATAATTATATTATACACCTTAAATTTATACAGCCATATATCTTTTTGTAGCTCAATAAAAAGGGGGAGGGGATAATGTAATTTTAAAAACAAATAAAAAATCTGTGTTGTAGCCAGTTATTTTTTCCCTATCAGAGACTCTGTACAGCATAGCGCCCACAGTGCCAGGGCCAAGGGGGTGCTTTGCACATGGTAACTACCTAGAGTAGCCATTTGTATTTTAGAAACGTTTATTTATTTATTTGTTTATTTAGGAGTGATTTGAGGGAAACTTTTTTTTTTAAGATTTTATTTATTTATTCATGAGAGACACAGAGGAAGAGAGAGGCAGAGACACAGGCAGAGGGAAAAGTAGGCTTCATGCAGGGAGCCCAATGTGGGACTCGATCCCAGGACTGCAGGATCATGTCCTCAGCCGCAGGCAGATGCTCAACCACTGAGCCACCTAGGCGTCCCTTAGAAGCCATTTATAAAGTGATTCAGAGGTGCTGTGAAATGCACCATTTACACTTTTTTGGCAAAACCACGGGTTGAAGGTGACACGGATTACTAGATTTCTGTTCTCTCCCCCAATGGTAGACAGTGGGATATTTGTGGACTGAATTGCTATAGCTAGAGGTGCTCAAAGCAGCTCAAGGAAATGCAGTGTGAGAGAATTTATTAAAGATGATGGTTGCCGGTTCACGTGATTAGGAATTGCTTAAGCCATGTGTTTTCTTGAACTTTTTGTAGGTTAAAGGGCTTGGAACAAGTTACTAAGGCTACTATGCTTGGTCACCTTCTTCCAGTGTTACTGACTTCACTGATGCATCCAAATTTACAGACTCTGACCATGGCCGATGCCCTGATGCCTCAGCTAGTGCAGCTGGTCCTCTACACCAGTCAGGTACGATCCTTGCTGTGCCAAAGTGAGCTGCTCCTCGGCTGGCCTGCTTCACATTGTGGCTGTGTGCATTTATTGAAGGCCGAGTAAACATAACCATGTCTGTCAGAAGCCAAGGGAAATAACAATGGAATGAAGAAAAATACCATGTCATAAAAATAAACTGAAAATTTAAGGAAAATCATTTTATCTGTTTGACTAAATTACATACTGCATTCTTCTCTAGCAAGTATGGATTGCTGGGTAACTGTAAAAATGCTAATCTACAATGCTACTGAGATCCTACCATTATATTCAGTCTCCTGAGTCTTTGCCGGCTATTGGTGACTAATAGAAAGGATATGTGCCATTCTGGCATTAAATAAAATGATGTTAAGTGGTCTAAGTAGCAAAGCATTTCTTCGTGAAGGAGGGCAGACAAGGATTGTAAAAAGATGACTTAAGTGAGAATTCTAAATTTGGCTCTAGTACCATCCAGATACCTGACAGTAAGCACTTTAAGACATGATGATGGTTTTGTGTTTCAGACGGCTTTGCTGCTTAAAACCCAGTGTCCAGTTTTTGCCGAGGTGGGCTGTTCCCCATGTGGTGCATCAGACCAGAAGGGCAGGCTGTTCCCCGATGAGAGGTGAAAGATGCTGCTTTCTTGCAGGAACCCCTGCCTTGTTTTCTTCTGGTGAAAGCCTAGTTCTCCTTTTACAACACTGGTTTTTAGCAAGGATTATGTAACTGGAAAAAGAGACTTTAGGGTCAATGTTTTAGAGATAATTATAGAGTTGCTTTGTGGATTTACAGGACCAGGTTAGGGTAAATTCCCCACAGATTAAGAGATTAAAGATTGACAGATTTTCATATACCAACGATGGAGATGTAAAATGTGACTTTGGCAAATAGTTTGACAATTTCTTAAGAAGTTAAACATACACTTACCACATGACTTAGCTATTCCACTTCTGGAAATTTACACAGAGGGAAGAAAACATAGGTTCTTATAAAGACTTGTATATGAAAGCTCACAACAGTTTTAGTTAGGAATAACCCAAAACAAGAACAACCAAATGTCTATCAACAGGGGAATGGATAAATGAATTGCAATATATTCGTACGATGGAATCCTACTCAGCAATAAAAGAGAATGAACAGTTGATACACACAACAATATGGGTGAATCTCAGAATCCTTATGCTGAGTGAAACAAGCCAGACCACCCCTCCGAAAAGTACATACTGTATGATTCCATATATATGAAACTCCAGAAGATGCAAACTAATTTCTAGTGATAGAAAGCAAAAAGTGATTGCTTGGATTACTGAGAGGAAAGAGGAAACTTCACTAGTATATACATATGTCCAAACTTACCAAGTTGTACACTTTAAATACTTGCAGTTTGTTATGTGTCAATTATATGTTATTATAGCTATCTTTGATCAGAAAGGGACAACTTTTTGTGTTTCTCTGTAACAGTGTGCTATGCAACTGAGCTTTGTGCAGTGACAAAACTTTGCAACTGTGTTGTCCAGGACCATCAGCCATAGCCACACACTGCTACTGGTGACCATCAGTGTGGCTAATGTACTCAAGAAACTGAATTTTCAATTGTTTTTAATTCAGATTCAATTTGAATGGCCACATTTGACTAAGTGGCTGCCATATTAGCTAGTGCAGAGCTGAAAGAAGGGAATCCATTCTGCAACAGCTAAGCATCAGTTTTAGGAGTTTGTGTCACAGCCTTGGCCTGGGAAGTCTTTGAGAGTTTAATTACAGTAGGTAAGAGGACTTTGAAGGCACTTTTTTTTAATAAATTTATTTTTTATTGGTGTTCAATTTGCCAACATATAGAATAACACCCAGTGCTCATCCCGTCAAGTGCCCACCTCAGTGCCCATCACTCAGTCACCCCCACCCCCTGCCCACCTCCCCTTCCACCACCCCTAGTTCGTTTCCCAGAGTTAGGAGTCTTTCATGTTCTGTCTCCCTTTCTGATATTTCCCACTCATTTTTTCTCCTTTCCCCTTTATTCCTTTTCACTATTTTTTATATTCCCCAAATGAATGAGACCATATAATGTTTGTCTGAAGGCACTTTTCTTTGGTAAAAATTACAGTAAAAAGTAGTCATGTAGACTGATGGAATTTTCAACAATTGACATTGAGATATCATCAAAAGGGACCTTGATCCTGGGGGATTTGGAAAGTGACCAATCTTAAGGGCACTTTATAGCATCCTTTTTTTTTCCTGAGAAACTTGAAATGAGAGTTGGTGAGGTCCTCTCCTGGATACAAATTGGGCTTTCCTTCTTCAAAAGAGAGGGTGAAAATGCAAATGCATTGTCAAACAACAGCAACAACTACAAAAGAGTCTTAAATATAGGAGTTTTAAAAATGTTTCTGATTGCCACTGATACCTAGCATTTAAAAGCCGCGAGGATGTGGAAAAATAAAACAAGATTTCTTAACCTTTTACATTTTACTATGTGTACACCTCCTTTTTCCTCTCCTTGCTACTAAGCTAAATCACTTCCTCTTTGTCTGGTTTTAGGATGCTGGAAGAAAAGGAAGAGCCAGGGTTTCTCACTGGTTTAAAGATTCCTGCTCCATGGGCTGCTGGCAAGACTGTGGAAACAGTCCACCCTGTCAGAGACAACTATAAATTTAAAGAAACTGTCCACATTCCAGGAGCTCGCTGCTTGTACCTTAGATTTGATAGCAGATGCTCTTCACAATATGACTATGACAAAGTAAGCAAGATTAGCTTAGTATTGGTTCCACCTCCAATAAGTTGATTTCTTAGATGCTTCTTATTTTTCTTTGCTGGTCACCATTCTTGACTTATTTTTGTCTGCAGATGTCTCTTTGGAGAGCTTTCTTAAGATATGCCTTGAAGGATAGTGGTTGGGGAAGTAAAGAACCAGCACCTCTGTGGTCTAAGAACTGTGTTTTCATGACATGTTGAAAGTGTACTTTTGTAAGCTTTCAGAAGTTTAGATCTGAGTTGAAGTTTTCCTTACTGCTTACCTACTGCCTGCCTTCTCTGCTTGGAATTCCTGTAGACAGATAAAGTCATTAACTGCTTCTCGTGTATTCTTTGGGAAAGGGTGGCCTTTTAGAAGAGTTTCAGATATGCTAGGATCTGTTTAATTTTTATTGAGATTATTTTTTCTTTGTTGTCAGGAACTTCAGGCCCATGTAGATTTTGAGAAAAAGTAGTTTCCAACCTGGTGGTTTAACAATTTTAAGTGAAAGGAAACATTTGAGGGGTAGAAGTGTTTTCTTCTGTTTATATTGTTGCATTGCAAACTGTCATGTTGAATTTAGGACGAAAGGTGAATGAAGTTGTCACATATAACTATACAAGAGCAACTGAAAGATTATCTAATAGCTTTGTACATATAAAGGGCTATTTTTATGTAGATTGTTAGCTATCTGTCATCTCCTCTAAGAACTGAGTAAGGGCAAAGGTCTTAAATCCCATCCTGGGGGATTTATAGGTCAAAAATAAAGAACTTTTTAAGGTACATACTCTGAGATGGTGAAACACATCGCTGAGCCAATTATAGAATCCTCTTTCCCATCATCTTTAAGGATATTGAAGATACCCAGGTGTCCAGAGGGGTTTAGGGTTTACCTCCAAAACTCACTTTAGCTAGAGGCAAGAGAATTTAGACAGTGATCTTTGGTGGGCCTTTCAAAGAATAAATCTCCTAAAAAAAAAAAAAAAAAAGAATAAATCTCCTGCCATCAGCCTTCCCCACCTCATAGCTCTTGGCATCAGCTACCCCCATTTCCTAGATTAAAGTGATATGAATGTTTAAAATAGAACTGGAAAGGGGCAGCCCGGGTGGCTCAGTGGTATAGCACTGCCTTCAGCCCAGGGCATGATCCTGGAGACCTGGGATTGAGTCCCACGTCGGGCTCCCTGCGTGGAGCCTGCTTCTCCCTCTGCCTGTGTCTCTTCCTCCCTCTCCCTCTCTCTCTCTCTCTCTCTCTCTCTCTCTCTCTCTCTCTCTCTCTCTGTCTCTCATGAATAAATAAATAATCTTTAAGAAAAAATAAAAATAAATAAAATAGAACTGGAGAGGTCACCATATCAGTCGGTGTCATTTTGTTTCCCCTTTAAAAACAAGTAATATGTGTCTTCTGTCATATGCTAGCCCACACCTGTGTGTGTGTGGGGGCATCAGTGTTAAATGTGGGGGCACAGCGAGACATACTAAACAGATAAAAGTAACAGTTACTTTTCCAGTGGTCCCTGGTTGGTGTCAGCAAAAGGTCCAAACGGGTAAGAGAGCACAACATGATAAGTGTCAAGGGCAAAGTGGAGCTTCTAGATCCACACAGAGTTCTCCTGTGTAGTCAGAAGTGGTCAGAGTGCATGTTAGAAGACAGGACTTAGTATTTACAGAACCCAGAGCCTCATTCTTCCAGTGGAAGGATTTGAATGCCAAATGACCTCTCAGTATATCTCCTGCATATTAGAAAGTTGGTTAATTGGATATAAAGGAATGACCTTTATTGAAGAAAAGAATTGATATGTGAAAACTGACCCAAGAAGCAGTGGCCCCCTTTCTGGCCTAAATTTGTGTCATTTTCTTTTTTATACCATTAAGCAACATTCTAAAAATATATGGCTTATTTTCAATTTGTTGCATTTTTTAAAATCCTCATTCATTGAATTTTTGTTTTTTGTGTTTTTATGTTTGTTTGTTTTTGCCTTTATTTTGTTGTGTTAGATATAACCATCTTTTCTCTGTATTTGCTCACTTTATTAATTTGGGGGAGGACTTAATGGGCAAACTGTACCTGTTATTAATAAGTTAAATGTCACTATTGAGCATTAAAATAACTACTTAAAACATATATGTATAATAGCTGAGTTAGAACTATGTTAATGTGAGGTTCCCCAAGGCAATTAAATTGTGACAATATTTGCACCCAAACCAGTATTGCTTATACCTAAAAAATCAGGGAATATTAGTTCTATAATAATGACACCAGTACCTGGTTATAAATGTATTTTTAAACAAACATTTCTTTGCAGCCTTTTTATTTGTAGATGTTGTTTTTGTTTTTCTTTTACAGTCTAACAGTATATTTTCTGTTTTGAAGTTGGTGATATATGCGGGGCCTAACACAAACAGTAGGAAGGTTGCTGAGTATGGAGGCAACACACTGGGATATGGCAGCCGTAGTGTCTTAGGAACTGGCTGGCCCAAAGACTTGGTGAAGGTATGGTATCTAGTCAGATCCACTGCCTAGAAAAGAAAAATGAACTCCCATTTCCTCTGGGCTCGAGCATTAACTCCAATTCCAGAAAAAAAAATTGTCCATGGGTGCTTTGTTGAGCTGGGGCTCTCTTGCCAGGCATATAGATTCATGACCTCATTCAGAATGACCCTCCTTTCACTTGTAGGGCATCAGACCCCTGTCCACTCCAGAACTAGGATCCATTGTCCAGGAACTGAGTGCTCACAGTATTTCCTTCCCTGTCCATTAAAAGGCCTGCTAGTTCTTCCACTTTGCTTCTTCTCTGCCCTCTGTTGTGATGGGTATCCTAGAACCAGAAGGCCTTTGCAGTTAAAAAATGTGGAATGGGTGTTTTCAAATGAATTTGAGCCTTTGGAGCAAGACTAATGATCCATTCTCAAATTGATAAGATAATCAGCCATGCTTTGTAATTAGGGCCCTGGAACTACAACATATCTACTTAGAATATAAATATGAACTGAAATGCCCACTAAAACCTGAAAAACTCTCCAGTTTGTTCTTGGAGCCTTGCTCTCAAATGCATTACATACCCTCTTTAATTGAGCCACAGACAGCAAATTACTTCCAGCAATGTAGTCCCGATGCATCCAAATCTGCATCAGCACGACACTTTTAATTGTTCTTTCATTTCCTACGTTTTGTTTCTTACTTGTGGTGTTGGTTCTACAATACAGAGCAAGGTCTTCCAGCACTCTGTGTTCTTCAAGATACGGGCCGTTTGCCTGCCGTACCAGCACAAGTGAGGTGGTGAAGTGGACAGGGGGAGGGCAGAAAGACTAGAAGCCTGAGGAACTTACTGAAATTATGCTCAAGATTTAATCTTTACTCTGATCCTGCTATTGGGCACTTGTGGCCCTTTTCACAGATGCCTCATCCCCAAACCTGCCTGGTCAGGAGAGACACCTGGAAGATTGGTGTCCAGATGAGAGGGGATGGAATTTGAGTCAAACAAGCGATTGACAAAAGGAGTACAATATTGCTGTGGTCCTTTTGAAAGTAAATCTCTGAAATTCATTGCTCTCTTGAAAGTCATGTGTCTTGTTTTTAAAGTGTATTTTCCCCCCTTAAATTTTAAGGTGGAAGGAGATACAGTCACCTTCTCCTTTGAAATGAGAAGTGGCCGTGAACACAACACTCCTGATAAAGCTATGTGGGGCTTTGCTTGCACAGTTCGCGCTCAGGTACTTGAATCTAACCACTGCTGTGGGCATAATGTACTTTCTCCTGTGTGCCTTGGTTACATACATCATATTTGCCCTGGAAACAGAGCAGAATATGAGCCATGGTTTCATCCTCTCTTCCATTTGGCATTAGTAGACTCTCATAAGTAGTAGTTTCGTGGAATAAAACCTAAAATCCATTTGGCAGCACAGAAAGAATCTGTTGCTAGGGGCTCTGTCTTCAAAGCCTGGAGAGGTGATCTGCCTCCAGCATCTTTCCATAGGGCGAAGAAGACTCGAACACCTAATAGAAGTAAGCACTGGGCTTCTGGGTTTTTACAGTAGTGGGATCACATTTTCATTGTATTCTCAAAGGCTCATCTTCCTAGTCTAGGTCTGTCTCTGCTTAATTACACTGTTATACTCTGTATATGAGTTTAATCTACTCCTTTTAGCAGTTTCAAATAGTAACTTTCCCTTAGGAATCTATGTAAATTCTTCTTTCACCTGGAAAAAGAGAAGAGAGTGGTAGGAATTCTTCTAAACCCTAGAGTTGCCTGATTTGTAAAACCTGTTTTAGGCTTGGAGATTGCTTGAATTTAACCAAGCTAACACTCTTGAAAGTAGAAGTATCTGCCAGGGCAGCCCAGGTGGCTCAGCGGTTTAGCTCCGCCTTCAGTCCAGGGCATGATCCTGGAGACCCAGAATCGAGTCCTACATTGGGCTCCCTGTGTGGAGCCTGCTTCTCCCTCTGCCTCTCTCTCTCTCTCTCTCTCTCTCTCTCTGTCTCTCATGAATAGATAAATAAAATAAAAAAAGAAGTATCTGCCAGAATGGAAGCTCCATGAAGGCAGGGATCTTCTTTTCTGCTGTTTTTCAAGCACCTAGAATAATATGCTCAGGTACTTATTGAATGAATTCAGTAGATGGATTGACAACATTTTGGCTCAAGCACAGGATGGAGATGACAAAGCAAAATAATGATTTATACCCAGATAGGCACAGCAGAAAGGAATCAGTCCAAAGAATCTTGCATGTGATTTGTGCTGTCTCTAATATGGAGTCTTACCAGCTCTTTCTCTCTCCAGAATTGTGTTGAGACTTCCCTCTGTGGTCATTTCTCCATGCTACCATCTTGCTACTCATGGTATTGGGTACTGTCCCTGTGTCCCATAGCAGTGATATGTGGTGCTGCTCTGTAAGCCTCTGTGGTCAGGGACCGTGCAGTGCGGTGCAGCACAGGTGGAAGTGCCCCGCCATGTACACTGACCAGTGTGGTTTGCTCCTGTCTGCGTTGTAGGAGTCATCGGAGGACGTATCTGGAGGCTTGCCCTTTCTGGTAGACCTGGCTTTAGGTCTGTCTGTGTTAGCTTGTTCCATGTTGAGAATCCTGTATAATGGACCAGAAATTACCAAAGAAGAGGAAGCCTGTCAGGAGCTATTGCGGTCCAAACTTTTACAAAGGTAAAAGGCTCAGCTAGGGCTAGTTTTGCTCACAAAGGAAAAAGGACTTCGTGTGGAAAACTACTTTTAGTCCATTTCCCAGCTCATTGTGCATACTGCCTGATGATCCCATGGGTGCCATTGTCGTTAAGAAAGAAGGTGAAAATTATACCAAACTGCCTTCTGGCCCTTACTTTACTAGTTTTGAAATTATAGCTCATAAGCTTTTCTCCAACCTGCACATTATATAATTAAATAAAGGATCCCCAAAAGGATAAGTAGATGAGTGATAAAACAAATGTATCATAATGTTTGTTCTAGAATTTAGGTGGTGGGTATATGGGCATTAACCATGGACTGCTTTCAGTTTTTCTGTATATTTAAAAGTTTTCATAAGAAAATGTTGGGGAGGAGGTAGATTCCCAAAGATGTGGTTTCATATAATGCTCCTGGGTCTTTAGCCTCTGGAAAATGTTTGATAAATACTTAATACATGATGTGATCCTTCATATGTTTGATATATCTGCAAACCTTAAGTGGTTTTCCAGATGGAAGAGGAAATGAAGAACCTCTTTTCTGTCTGTCCAGGTGCCAGTGGCAGGTGGAGGCCAATGGTGTGATCTCTCCTGCCCTGACTCCAAGCCCATCTCCACTGCCACTGACCATTGAGGAAGACAGAGAATTCACCTACCCCTCTGATGTTCTTGTGCCTCCTGTTGGAAACTACTTTGACTTGCCCCGGATCAGGCTGCCTCCAGGAATTATGATAAAGCTCAGGGAAATTTCTGGGCGTGCTAGACCTCAATTCAGACCAAGTATAAAGTATGTTGCTAAATAGTGCTCTATTGCTTTATTTTTCCCATTGGAAAAAAATATTTAAACAATGGAAGGGGGTAAATTTCTTATCCTAGTGTAGCAAATGAACCTTTAATTTTACATTTACTTAATGAACACTAACCACATGCTCTGGGGGTATTCCAGGCCATCTGATATCAAGGTATAGGCCCCAGGGCAGCAGCAGCAGCACCACTGGAGCACTTGTCAGTTTTTGGGCTGCATCTCACATCTGCTGGATTAGAACCTCTGAGGGTGGGGATGTTTTGACAAGTTTGACAAGCATAGGATGCTGAGGCATGCTAAAGTTTGACAAGTTCTGAGTTTTTCTCAGGTGGTTTGACTGCCTCCTCGTAGTCCTCAACTTTGGTTTCCTTAGTCTAGAGAGAGATGTTGAGGGGTCTTTAATCTGGAATGTGAAGTCATGCAGCTACAAACGTCTTTGTGGTATTCTTGCTTAAAGTCATTTTGGTGGCCTCTGCCCTGTCTTCTGAGGCATGATGGGCCATTTCAGAAAGAAAAAACTTAAGAATAGTTGAAATTTAAAATGAAGAATACAAAAGCGCCATTCATTTTCAGCCCAACATCCATATGTACGAAATACCACAAGCCATGCTACTGCATAAAATTAATTGGCACACAAATGGTGCCAAAGACCTTTTGTTAGTCTTAGACCTCATCCAGCTTTAATATGACTCTAGCTCAAAATGTACAAATTAGGGCAGCCTGGGTGGCTCAGCGGTTTAGTGCTGCCTTTGGCCCAGGCAGGATCCTGGAGACCCAGGGTCAAGTCCCACATCGGGTTCCCTGCATGGAGTCTGCTTCTCCCTCTGCCTGTGTCTCTGCCTCTCTCTCTCTCATGAATAAATAAATGAAATATTTTTAAAAATTTAAAAATTATAAAAAATGAAGTCTCTAATTTTTTTCATTTTATCAGCTGATGTCAGTTTTGTCATCTAAACATATTACACATTATTGCCCACTTGATATGAAAGCTATCATGATGTTCATGCCTCTTTATTGTAATAAAGAAGGTATGGTGAATATTTAATATATTTAAATCAAAGCCTATACCCTTCAACCTACTGAATACTGGATTGGTAGTTTGAGAGCATGGCATATACCTGATGAGTTTCTATTGTAATCACAGAGAGGTAATTCAGCCAGATGTGATGGAGGAAATGGTGGTATCCTGTGTTATTAAGCACTTGAACTTGGTTGATGCACTGCAGTCTCTAATAAATTTCCAGTATCAAGAAGAACATGCAGAGGAATATGACTTACTATGTAAAATTATGGGTGAGACCTTCAAGAAACTCAATGCCATGGAGAGACAGCTGCAGGTAAGCGAAGGCTAATGTGCTTAGATTTCTCTTACAGCTGTCAGAAATAATTTCTTCCCTAGAAATTTAACAAAGTTGAAAAAGTGACCTGAATTTTTAAAAAGTTACAACTAAAACTTCCAAATTTGCAGATTGCACGTTTTTATTTTGCATCTCTTCTCACATTGTTTTATTTTTTAATGTATCAGAGTGTTGCTGAATTGGAACAGAAATGGCAAAGCGAGGTTGATGATGCCATGCAAGGGAAGCTGGAGAACAACATGCCTTTCTTCTATGATTACCATTTCAATGAGGTGAGCAAGTTGTGTGATTTATCATTGGGCATTGGTATTTACAGTGCAAAGGTATGTATTGTGTGTGTGTGTGTGTGTGTGTGTGTGTGTAGAGCCCAAATAATATTACCTATTAAAATGTTACACATGCCAAAATGTGCCCATTCTTTACAAAGGTTAATAAAATCAATTAGATCAACATATCAATATTCCAAATATAAATTATTAAGTTATTTTTAACTGATTGATAGTTTTATCAGGAAGTTACCATCATCAAATTTTGATTGCAAACTTTAGGAAACAAAGAGCAATTAGTTATAAGGACCAAGGAAGTCCACAGAAAGTAGTTGATGCCATTTGTAATCATAAAAATATTAAATAGGGACTTGCAAATGTGCTCTGGCATAGAAATATGGACCAGAGATAGTGGTTCTCCACCCCCCTCTCCGAAATTCTCTACTCCTTTTAACATGAACAGTAAAACTCACTTTTTACAGATCCTGGCTACCATCTTTTCTTGATTTTTCCTCTTTAGAACAAAATGAAAGAACTAGAACTTTTGTGTTCAATGAAAGAAGTCTCCTTTGATGGAAATGATCTTGAAAACATGGTCCTATCACTAAGGTTAGTGATGTTAATAACTGTGTAAAATTAATTTACTGCCTTGATGCTTAAAACAAAATGTGAAAATTTAGTCTCAATAGATATATATGTTTTTTAAGATTTTATTTATCTACTCATGAGAGACACACAGAGAGTGGCAGACACAGGCAGAGGGAGAAGCAGGCTCCATGCAGGGAGCCTGATGTGGGACTCGATCCTGGGTCTCCAGGATCACGCCCTGGGCCAAAGACAGATGCTAAACCGCTGAGTCACCCAGGCGTCCCACAATAGATATTTTTAAAAATCGCATACATTTACTAAATATTTGAGTTGGAACTCATTTGTAAACTTGGAAATTTTTATTTTAGCTTTCCAAAATTAGCATATAGACATCAGAAACTGGACAAAAGGAACTAAAATCAGTCCATTTATAGCATTGTTCTCTTGGCTGGAGAAACGGGAAGGGGAAGGATACTTTTGCTTAGTTTTCCTCTACTTATATCCTTTGTAATTAAAAAACCTTGGTTTTGGTGAACCTAAGAACGACTAAATGCACATCAGCCTTTCTTTATAGGGAGAAGTTCCTGCAAGAAGTGAATTCTCTCATTCAGAAACCCTTGCACCCACTGGCTAAAACGAAGACGTTAGTGAAGAGTTTAATGAATCGAGCCGAGCTGTTGTTACATGTCACCATCGCGGCCCAGTCTGGCCTCACAAGAAGCATCTCGGGGACCCCCGCGGAAACACCGGGTACAAAGCCAGCCCCACACAGGCATTCTGCACTAGTCTGTTCATAAAATATACATCAGCTACTGAGAGAAAAATCACTCTTGTGTTCTTCTAGGAGGGAGAAAAAGAAATGTCAACATTTAAAAATTTTTGCCTTTTACTTTTTTCCAGCCAAGAAGGACTTTTCATTGAATTTGTGTGTTTTGTGAGTCAACTGAGTATCAGGGGTTTAGTTTTAGTTTTTCTTGGGAGCCCAGGGATGTCTATTTTTTTAAAGATTTTATTTATTCATAGAGACACAGAGAAAGGGAGAGAGAGGCAGAGACACAGGCAGAGGGAAAAGCAGGCTCCGTGCAGGGAGCCCAACATGGGACTCGATCCCGGATCCCCGGGATCACGCTCTGGACCGAAGGCAGGCACTAAACTGCTGACCCACCTGGGCTGCCCAGGGATGTCTATTTTTAAAATCTAGTGCCCCTTACTTTTAGTTTATGGCTTGTCATTTTCTTTTTTTTTTAAATATTTTCTTTATTTGAGAGAGCTAGTGAGAGACAGAAAGAAGGAGAGAGAACATGAGTGGGGGGAGAAGCTGAGGAAGGAGAAGCAGGCACTCCACTGAGCAGGGAGCCCAACATGAGACTTGATCCCAGAACCCTGGGATCATGACCTGACCTGAAAGCAGACACTCAACCAACTGAGCCACTCAGGCACCCCAGCTTGTCATTTTCATAGTAACGTGTACGATTAGGCAGTTGACATTGTGAATCTTGTAAGATTTTCCTCTTACAGCCGAGTTTGCATTGCACCTTTGGTAATTATGTGGAAACTTCTAACATGAATTTTCATTATTAATTTTTTTCCTGGTCACATTTTAATTGTTAGCCTGAAAGGACATTTCTGAGGGAAATCAGTGAGTCTTCTTTCTTAAGCAGGATCCCCAATACTGGGGGATAGCCCATAATGACAAGTATTGAGTCTTACCTTGAGAGAGCAGGATGAGTAAACATGAGACTCCAGGTTATCAAACCCCATTGTCCAATGGACACTGCCAAGCACATGAACTTGTTTTCATCCTAGTTGAGTGCCCAGGGCTCTCCTCACATGGGAAAGAAGTCTAGGGTGATTGAGGTTTCCAACCCTGGTCAAAGGAGACCCCATTTGCTGAGACCATCAGGGGAAGTGTGCTGAATGTGTGCAGTATGATCACATACCAAGATGGTCTGCTGACCATGTCCCTGGTCACATTAGGCCTTGGTTAATTAAAGGTTTCGTATAAAGACTTAACTACTCAGGAAGACTGATGATGCTTTCCAAGAGGCTCTTGCCATCAGAGATCATGAAATAATAGTTTGCTGACAAATAACATCTTTAAAAATTGTTTTTAGACTGACACTACCTAATCATTCTTTTTTTTTTTAAAGATTTTGTTTATTCATTTATGATAGACATAGAGAGAGAGAGAAAGAGGCAGAGACACAGGCAGAGGGAGAAGCAGGCTCCATGCCGGGAGCCCGATGAGGGACTCGATCCCGGGACTCCAGGATCGCGCCCCAGGCCAAAGGCAGGCGCCAAACCGCTGAGCCACCCAGGGATCCCCTGCCTAATCATTCTTAAGACAGATTCAAATAATTCATTTGAATTAAGAAATTTTTGATTCCAGAAATTACTTTCTCTGTCCTTTCTGGCTTTTTAGAATGCTTATATGAAGGTGAACATTGAGTTTATGAAATTAAATGAGTCAGCCTTTTTTTAAAAAACCAAATTTAATAAAAAGATTATGGTTTTTCACACTTAAAATATTTTTTTTACCCTAATATCTAGGTTTAAACATTTTTTTACCCTAATATCTAGCCTAAAAACCATCAGTGTGCTGTACTCACTAGTTTCGTGGATGAACTCTCCTAGAAAGCGAAGATACTCTTAGAGTGGTAGCATAACTGTTGTTGCTGTCCTCACAAATCAGACAGCAGATATGCCAATCTTTTTATTCTTTTCTGTTCCAGCTTGTAAATCAGCTTCAGAAACAAAGGTGATATCTCATGCTGTGCGGCAGCCTGTTTTTCTTCGCAGCATGTCGGCTCCTTCTGACCTGGAAATGATTGGTAATGAAGATTTGGAATTTACTAGAGCAAATCAGAGGTAAATGGCTAATGGCTAAGGTTGGATTCCCACATGCAGCTGAATACATTCATTAAAACACACTCCCTGAGTGAGTTTCTTGTTTTGTGATCTAGTGTTATTTTGTTTTCCTGTAGGCGGCGCCATGTGACCAGCCACCGCAGCAGCTCCTTTACTCTCCTGCAGTCATTGGCCATTGAGGATAGCAGGGACAAGCCCACCTACAGTGTCCTGCTGGGGCAACTGTTTGCTTTCATCGGCACTAACCCTGACCAAGCTGTAGGTCATGTTTTGCTGACTACAGACGAATAGCACCTAACAGCATCGGGGGCCTGGAACAGTCACGAAGAGTCAGGTGGACTTCCTTCTCATGCCTTTCAGGTGTCCAGCAGCAGCTTTCTTCTGGCTGCACAGACGAGGTGGCGGCGGGGAAATACTCGAAAGCAGGCACTGGTGCACATGCGGGAATTGCTGACGGCTGCTGTGCGTGTCGGGGGCGTGACACACCTTGTGGGTCCAGTGACTATGGTCCTTCAGGGAGGACCCAGGTCAGTTGTTTCTAGTAGTTCATACCGTTCTGTCTAGGGGGAAAGAGGCATTTGTTCCAAATATTATTCTTAAGGCCAAATATAGTGGTATTTACTGTTTTCCCCTAAAATAATTCTGCTTTTATTTTTCAAAAGTATCCCACAGTTTTATAATAACTTCAGCTTATGTAGCAGAAAGTAAAAGTCTCTTTACTGTGCTTCCTTTCCTGAATTCCACCCTGTTCACTTAGAGCTGCTTGTATCAGCTACACACACATAAATAGCTATTTAGTTCTCTTTGTACACAGAAGTGTGTATCATACAATGATTTTTTTTCTTAATTTAGATTATGTTATACTGTTATATAACACAGACATGAAAATAATTTTGCTCAATATATCTTGGATAAATCTGTCTTTTCATGTCAGTACATTTGGGTTTGCTTTATAGTTTTTAAGCACATTGTGGACCTCCAGATATGGATGGCTAGGTCTTATTTAACTCCTCCCCTCCTGGTGAACACATGGTTCATTTTCTCTTTCTCTCCTTCATTTTGTCTGCTTTATTTCTGCATTAATAGTGATGTAGTCAGTATCCTTATACCTATGTTTTTGTGTATTTTTGTGCTTATTTTTACTGGGTCAATTTCTAAAAACATAATTGTAGATACGAACTTTGAAAAAGGTTGAATAACTTCTTTGTGGGAGTTTTGCTATACTATTCCCTACTGGGCTTCAAAGATCTTCAGAAAGAAATAGAAAAGGTGTCTGTCTCCAGGTCCTGGACTAGAACTGCCTGGGGCTACTTGTGTCTCCTGACAGCTTTTTGAGAAATTCTGGCCAGCAAGCAGAGAGCAGTGGCTGGAGGAAAATGTGTTAACTAAGAGCTAATATCTTGAGAAATTTCTGTGTCAATCAGGAGAGGCCAGGTTACTTTTCAGAAACAAAACTCTCCAATATCTCAGCGGTTTACAAAACAAGACATCAGTTCTTACTTGTGTCCAGCACAGGTGTGCCCCAACACATGCTAATCCCAGAGAGCCTGGGTAAGAGAAGAGTTCTAGACCCTCCTAGACTGCTATCTCAAAAGCTGTCAGTCACCTTGTCAGGCTAGTCACATGCTCACTCAACCAAAGTGGATGCCCAGAAAGCCCATTGAGTAGCACTGGCCACTACAGCTTCCTCCCAGAATAATTTCTCCACAACCCGGGGAGCATTACTCCTTTTCCCCTTGGTTATTAATGTCATATATCAAACATTTGAAAAAATGCAGAAAATCCCAAAGTATATATAAAGTAAATCCAGCATCTTAAGATAAAACCTGTAACATTCTAGTGTATGTGTCTGTCTTTATCCTAACCACGGATATCTCCTATAATGTTTTTAGTGGTTGCATCATATTCCCGAACCTTTATTCAGATTTAATCCCTATTTTCAACCTTAGGTTTTATTTACATATTTTTGCTATTATAAACAGTATTCTGTAGCATATCTTTGTAGATTAATCCACACAGTTCCAGTTTTCAACTAATATTAGTTACTGTAGAATCTACCCTAGGATGATGCCTGGGTGGCTCAGTGGTTGAGCATCTGCCTTTGGCTCAGAGCGTGATCCCAGAGGCCTAGGACCAAGTCCTGCATCAGGCTCCCCACAGGGAGCATGCTTCTTCCTCTTCCTATGTCTCTGCCTCTCTCTCTGTCTCTCAAGAATAAATAAATAAAATCTTAAAAAAAAAAAAGAATCCAGGTTGTGTGTTTATATTGGGAAAGTCTTATTTCATATCAATTGGATTCTCATAATCTGCTAATAATCACAATGTGAACTTGAAAAGGACACTTAGCTAATCAATTTAGGCCTTGATTTTCTCATTAGTACAATTGCATTTACAGAATTCAGTGCTGCATAGGATATTGTAGACAAGTTTCAGATGTTTCCTTATTAAATGCATTTGGGAAATGTGGAGTACCATTCTGTTGCTCTTAGAGATATTGTGGACTTTAATCTTGTAAGGCTCCGAGTAGTCCTGCTTGACTTGACTTAGGCTGGGATTCCCCACACTTTTCTAAAGTTTGGGCATTGTCTGTGAGGCAACTTAAGAAATGCTGTCTGGTAGTCTTGTGTGGTCCTGGAGTCTGGGAAACAATGGTAATTTCTAAGATCCCTTCAGTTCTGGATTCATCTAGACACCCTTGGGTTTCTCACAAGAACATTCCTGCTCTTATGTTCTTATGTTTACCATCACTCTTCTTGCCGTGGTTCAAGAAGCCTGCACTTTGGTTCTGTTTCATAGAATTGAAGAACTAACCTGTGGTGGGATGGTCGAGCAGGTCCAGGAAGCCTTTGGCGAGACCATGACCTCTGTTGTGTCTCTATGTGCTCGTTACCCTATTGCATGTGCAAATAGCATCGGACTCTTATGTACCATACCTTATACCAGGTAAATAAGGCAATGCTTTTTATTGTGAGTAAGTAACACTGCAGTGTTTAATTAAAAATATTTTTTAATTTAAAAATTGGGATTTTTTTTTTTTGCTTTGATTATCCAATGACACTACCACTGTGATTAAATGAACTTACCTCCCTGACAGACACCTAAGGTTACTGTGTAAATTCCAGATTGTTGAATTCCTACATGATCAAGAGTGGCCAAGAGGGATCATATTACATTGTCAAAATGGAGAGGTTTAAAGGAACGTAAAAGATCTCTAGGAAATTACTTAACATTTGGCAAAAAATCTTTGCAAATACATTTATTTTCTCACCTTATAAATCCCCCTTTTTTTCTATGTAATTTTTTTTCTTTTATGGGAACTGTGAGTTGATTCTATCAGTTTTTACTTATTGTTCTATATGAACAAACTAAAATTTGAAGTTCCTTATTTATGAAGGAAATCCTCATTGTAAAGACATATTTCTGTGTTGAGTTATGCATGGTAGTATCCTAAGTAATAGACAAAGAACTATGCTGTTTTTATGCCCCTTTGATAACCTGGGTCTTAAACCCGAAGGCTGGTCAGTGATGTTTATTTCATGTAACCCTTTCCACCTGGCCCAGGAGCGAAGAGAAGTGCCTGGTGCGCAGTGGCCTCGTTCAGCTCATGGATCGACTCTGTAGCTTGAGTAGTCAGACGGAATCTAGCTCCAGTGAGAAGCAAACTAAGAAGCAGAAAGTGGCCACAATGGCCTGGGCAGCTTTCCAGGTGCTTGCCAATCGCTGTGTTGAGTGGGAAAAAGAAGAAGGTAAGAAGCAGGATTCCATTCTAGAATTCATTGATTTCTTCTGTTGACATGTCTATTTAATTATTTGTGCTGGCTGGGGGAAAGAAAGGCTATATTAAATTACATAATCAGATGGGTCAAATTAATGATTTCATGAGAGCCTCTTCATCAGCATGCTTCTCTGAAAATTTATGGCTACACTATGACATTAAATAATATTCTAACCTAGAGCACATTGTGCTAAGTGAAATAAGCCAGACGTAGAAAGACAAATACTGAATGATCTCCCTTATATGTGGAATCTAAAAAAGCCAAACTCCTAGAAACCAAGAGTAGAATGGTAGTTGCCAGGAATTTTAGGAGGAGGCGGAATTGGGGAGATGTTGGTCAAAAGGTCAAACTTCCAGTTATAAGATGAATAAGTTCTGGGTCTAATGTACAGCATGGTGATTATAGTCAATAATACTTAATCATACTCTTGAAATTTGCTGAGAAAGTGAATCTTAAATGTTCTCAAACCACACACACACACATACTCCAATAACTAGTGAGGTGATGGAAGTATTAACTAGATTGTAGTAATCATTTCACAATGTATATACATATTTACATATATAATCATGTTGTATACCTTTTTAAAAAAAATCACATTATACAATATAAATTGTATACAACTGTATTTGTTAGTCATCCCTCAATAGAGCTGTGGGTGGAGGTGAGGAATGATAACCACTCTGGAAGAGTACAGTAAGCCAGGAAATTGAGAAGATATTTTTCATTTCTATTTTGTCAACACTGCTAACAGTCTACAAATAACATGAAATGATTTAGTTGCATTTTCAAGTGCTATTTCCAAATTATATTTTTTCCAATCCAGCTGAAAAAGTAAAGTTGAAGGATAACATCTCCATAATATCCCAGGCCTATGTATATACCTTGGTTATTTGTTTATTCATTCACTGCGTGTTTTATTATTTCTTATTACTATTTTTAATTTAAATTCAATTAATTAACTATAGTATATTAATAATTTCAAAGTTAGAGGTCATTGATTCATCAATCTTATATAATACCCAGTGCTCATTATGTCATCACATACCCTTAATGTCCATCACCCAGTTACCCCGTCCCCTTACCCCTCCCCTCACTGTGTGTTTTATTATCTTGAGAATCAGGCATAAGATGAACAAGGGCATTGCTCTTAAGAAATATGATGCAGTGGTGGGATAGACCAGTGAGCAAATGATTGCGGTGTGGTCAGTGCCATAATTGAGGTGCATGCAAAGTGTTGGGAGCACAGAGGTTCCTACAGACCAGCTGTGCTAGAGTAGGCAAAGCTCCCCCAAGAAGGTGACGAGTGACTTACTCTTACAGGATAAAGAATGTTTCCATGCACAATAAATAGTGTGTGTAGGCATAGGGATCCCAGAGAGCATGGGAAGTTCAGGAAATGACAATTAATTTGTGTCATTTTTTACAAGAGCTGCTTGGAAGGGAGGGGCTTCTGGAACTACAGTGAAAATGGAAAGATCCGAAAAGGTCTTTAATTGTGTTTGAGCTAAAAATCAAGGTGTGTTCATGACAGTTTAAAAAAAAAATGGTGATTTTTCCCTGTTAATAAAAGTATGTTCCTTGTTTTGTATGAGTTCTATTCAGTTTTCATTAAGAATAATGTCTTTCCCCAACATTGAATCATTAACCTTTTATATGTGCAAATGTTACCTAATGAGAAGACACTAATTGGATAGCTAGTGGAATCCTGAGCAGGTTAAAGAAAAATCAGGCAAGAGAAGGGCTTTAAGTAGGGACACAGAGAGGGAGGACTTGCCACACCTGCAGGCTCACCATGGCTTCTTTGAGTTCTCACTTCACTCTTTCTTTCTTTCTTTGAACTCTAAAGGTGGCTCCACAGAGGCAGTACACTCAGGTCTGGCCCGTCAGGTGTCCAGCCTTCTCACCAACCATCTTGCCCGAGCAACTGAGTGCTGTGGCAACCAGGCTGCTGGGAATGATGCTCTCCAGGATGTCCTTAGTCTTCTCAATGATCTCTCAAGGTATAGAGAGCTGTGGAAAGAGGTGGCTTTCCTCCTGAATGATCGGGGCTTCTCTTGGGTGGTGATTGTCTTTTGAAACATCTAAATTACAAGGCCATTCTGACATGCTTCTGCTTCCAGAACAGTAGAGAACAAAACTATTGACAAACAGTAGCTCTAAAATGCGAGGATTGTTTAGGTGAATCTCTACATCATAAAATGATACCATTTGCTTTAAAACTTTGCTGGTGACAGCTGCTAGCCTTTCAGGTCTATGCAGGTACATTGAGTAACCCCAAATCTTACCCTCATTATAGCAAAATAAAGAATAATCAGTCAGGACCTGCAGTTGACTCATGTTCTCATGCTGTGTCTTAAGACAATCTGTGGAGGTTTGATACCATCCTGTGTGAGCTGTGAGGCCCACAACTGCTTGTCCACATAAGGCTACTTGTTCTTTGGCTTCTGCTGGACTTTGTTTTCTTCTCAGTGAGATGCCACAGGATCAGCTATGTCATATTCCACACTGTTGAGGCCTGTGCAACCCTGTGTGAGATAATTTGGTCTTAAAGCACTCCTTAAAAGGAAATAAAAGACTAAATGGAAAGTCTCTAGTTTGGTTCATACAGTTGTAGTGCTCCATGAACCATGCTGAACTATAGCATCGCAGTTAAGTAAACATTAGGGATCAGAAAATATTCAAAAATCTTTCTTTTTAAGTATTATTGGTTGGTCAATTGTGAACTTACATTAGATATTTACCAAAAACCTTCATTCTCCTTCCTAAAAACATAGTGCCAGATCCGTGTTGTCCTCGTGAGTCATCCTCACGAGGGAATCATCCTCATTTAGGGAATTCTTGCTTCTGAATGTCTATAGACCAATATGCCCAACGTCATTTACCTTTTTTTCCTTCTTTTCCAGGAGTCACATAGGTAAAGCCATCCTGAGCCAGCCAGCTTGTGTGTCCAAACTCCTCTCCCTGCTGCTTGACCAGCGCCCATCTCCAAAGCTGGTCCTTATCATTCTTCAGCTGTGCCGGGCTGCGCTCCCGCTGATGAGTGTAGAAGATTGTGGGAATGTGGAGCTCCCACCATGGAGCTACTCTGTTCCTTCCCTAAACAGTGAGCAGGAGGATCCCAGTGACCCAGCATCCAAGATCGCTTCATTGCTCTTAGCAAAGCTGGCAGATTACGTGGTCCCAGGTGAGAGGCTGGCCGGAGGATGGTACAGAGGTGCCTGCTTCTTGTGGCCGGCCACACTGAGCTTCCTGCTGTCTGTAGCTGCTGCTGCTGCTATGCCTTCTGTGATGAAAGAAAGGGAGGTGGGAGAGGGAAGAAGAGAGATTCCAAAGCCAGAGTTTTCCCTGCGCAGGGGAGCTATACCAATAACACTGCAATTGTTCTGTTTGCTTTTAAAGGATGTCAGACAGTTCTTTCTCCAACTGCTTCTGAACCTGATACTACATTGACAAAAACCAGCCCCAAGAATTCCTTAAAAGGAGACAAAGATCCTGGAGAAGAGAGTGAAGCAGTGGATGGCAAGCTGTCTATCTTTATCCATAAGCGGGAAGACCAATCATCCCATGAGGTTCTCCAGCCGCTACTAAGGTGACTGACTGTTGTAATAGCCACATGTCATTAGGCACTGACTGTGTCCCAGGCACTGAGCTCAGTAAGCCCCTTACATACATCAACTGTCTCAGCCCTCTTGACGACCCTAAGAGGTAATCACTATTACTGTCATCCCTGTTGTTACAGTGGAGAAACTGAGGCAGAGCTGAACCACAGACGCAGGCCTCTGACCACAGAGCCCAAGCTTTTATCCACAACTCGGTACTGTTTCTTCAAACCCAACAGAGAGCAAAAGCCCTGTTGAGAATGTATTGTTTGTGCTCAATGGAGAGTCTACAGTGTGATTTGGGCTTCAAGAAGGAATAACGCAGTCTGGTTTTAGTCATTGGCATCCTTCAGCCATTGGTAAATTTAAGGATACCATTGACTGTGAGGTGGAGAGATAAGAGAAATTTTTTTTAAACATGGAGCCCTGTCAGTGGGAGCCAGGAAGGTCTTCCACAGAACATAAGGGAATTTAGGACACGTATGTATGTCTCCGGGGAAGACTTCTTTCTTCAAATAAATGATGTGGTGATGGTGTCATCCTCATAATTGGTCCCTTGGCTGCCATCATGGCAACTGAAAGCACTAATGGGCTACTGGCGTAAACTAGGGTTCCAGCAGGTCAGTGCTAGATGCAGGAACCACCAAGAAACATTCTTAGGCATTGCAAAACCTGACAGTGCAAATTTGGTGAAGGAGTTTTTGGAGGCCAGGTTTAAAAGACAGAGGAAACTGAATTTTTAGAAAGATCCAGTCATTAACATCAAGGCATCCGGGATCCCTGGGTGGCGCAGTGGTTTGGCGCCTGCCTTTGGCCCAGGGCGCGATCCTGGAGACCCAGGATCGAATCCCACGTCGGGCTCCCGGTGCATGGAGCCTGCTTCTCCCTCTGCCTGTGTCTCTGCCTCTCTCTCTCTCACTGTGTGCCTATCATAAATAAATAAAAATTAAAAATAAAATCAAGGCATCCAACCCATGCTATTGTTTTTTAAACAGTTTTTTTTTTTATTTACTTATGATAGTCACAGAGAGAGAGAGAGAGAGAGAGAGGCAGAGACACAGGCAGAAGGAGAAGCAGGCTCCATGCACCGGGAGCCTGATGTGGGATTCGATCCCGGGTCTCCAGGATCACGCCCCGGGCCAAAGACAGGCGCCAAACCGCTGCGCCACCCAGGGATCCCCAACCCATGCTATTGTTAAAGTCCCCTTATTTTGGGATTTAGATCACTCACCTCCTAAGGTCCTGGCCTCCCAGGTGCCCAGCCTTCCCTGTATTGTAGGCTCAGATTCTCGATTTTGTTCAGCTATTTTGTACATCATTTTCATGTAGTATTTAAATTATCACTACAACTCTCTAAAAACAGCTGGTGTTTTGATCCCTAAAAGTCCTGTAATTAAACAATAATAAATTCTTTCCTTTTTGAAAAATTGAGTCTTACTATGGGTTTTAAAATCCTGTTGTAGCATATAGTACTGCTCTGGTTAATACTAGATTGCCCCATGGTGTGCAGCCTGACCTTGACCTTGCCTGGAAGATCATCACCTCTCTCTGCTTTCCCTTTTAGTAGCTCAGAAGGACGGCCCTTCAGACTTGGCACTGGTGCCAACATGGAGAAAGTTGTGAAAATGGATCGAGACATGACAAAGGTAACTCTAATTCGGAGACACCCACTCTGACAGGAATGCTTGATTGAGAAACATTTGCCATGCTTTAGGTTTTCAGAGACATTTAAGAAAAAAAATTCCCATAAGGAGGCAGAGTGAAAAATTAAAGTCAGTGGCTTAACTGTAGCCATTTTTAAGAGAACCAGTCAGAGTCAATTTGTCATTGATGTTAAAATGTAAAAGAGAATTCTCGTTCTTGACCTAGAAGTTTTTTCTTAGTTTTATTAAGAAAGTTTTGCAGCCTATGGGACGCCTGGGAGGCTCAGCGGTTTAGTGCCTGCCTTTGGCCCAGGGCATGATCCTGGAGTCCCAGGATTGAGTCCCACATCAGGCTCCCAGCTTCTCCCTCTGCCTATGTCTCTGACTCTCTCTCTCTCTGTGTCTCTCATGAATAAATAAAATCTTTAAAATATATATATATTTTTTGCAGCCTATTAATGCCTTAAAAGTGAGGGGTACCTGTGTGACTCAGTTCGTTAAGCATCTGTGAGATTGAGCCCTGTGTCGGGCTCCACACTGGACATGGAACATGTTTAAGATTCTGTCTCTCTCTCTCTTCTCTGCCCCTCCCCATCCCACATGTTCTCTCTCTCTCCCTAAAAAAAATCAAATACATAAATAACAATACTTTAAAAGTGATAATATGTAAAAGGTTAGAAGAATAATAGATTTTAAAAAAGAATAATAGATAAAAGAACTAAAGATACATAACCCATAAAAAACATTGAAATATGCTCATGTTTACAGATTATACAATAAATAAAGAAATAAAAATAGTAATATATAATTTTTCACCTGTCAAAGTTAAAGAAAATTGATAGGGACACCTGGATGACTCAGTAGTTGAGTGCCTGCCTTCAGCCCAGGGTATAATCCTGGAGTCCTGGGATCAAGACTCACATCCGGCTCTCTGCATTGGAGCCTGCTTCTCTCTCTGCCTATGTCGCTGTCTCTCTCTCTGTGTGTCTCTCATGAATAAATAAATAAAATCTTTAAAAAAAAACCCTGATAATACTCATTATTGTCAAGGTGAGGGTAAACAAGCATTCTCAAGGGTCCAGAGACAACCATGCTCTGCACAGCTCTATTTATTTATTTAAAACAAAACAAAAAAATATAATCTGTATACCCCTAAATGGGGGATTGATTAAAGAAATTGTTGTATGTCATTTATACCTCAAATTTTTAAATTTAAAAATTTAAGTTGGGGCAGCCCTGGTGGCGCAGCGGTTTAGCACTGCCTGCAGCCTGGGGTGTGATCCTGGGGACCCAGGACCCGGGATTGAGTCCCACGTCGGGCTCCCTGAGTGGAGCCTGCTTCTCCCTCGGCCTGTGTCTCTGCCTCTCTCTCTCTCTGTGTCTCTCATGAATAAATAAATAAAATCTTTAAAAAAAAAAACACAAAACTTGTGTTCCGTCTTTAAAAAAATCTTAAAAAAAATTTAAGTTGTATGCCTATGATGAAATACTATACAATTATAAAAAGAGTGAGGTCAATCTACATATATCAGTATCAAAACACATGATAGTTTGATAACTGAGAAAAATTAAACAGAAAAAACTGCGTAGTGTGATCCATGATTATGTGTGCCAGAATTTGCATGGAAACAAATTTAGAGGATTCACAGTTATATGTGACTGGGTGAGGACATGGGATGTTTATGGGAAATTAACTTTCTATATATAGTATTTTAACATGTGAGTCTTTGAGAAATGAGCCTGAATTGCTTTGGTAACGGGGAAGCAGGTTTTAAAAAGTAGGAAGCGGGGATCCCTGGGTGGCGCAGCAGTTTGGTGCCTGCCTTTGGCCCAGGGCGCGATCCTGGAGACCCGGATCCAGGGTCGGGCTCCCGGTGCATGGAGCCTGCTTCTCCCTCTGCCTGTGTCTCTGCCTCTCTCTCTCTCTCTCTCTGTATGACTATCGTAAAAAAAAAAAAAAAAAAAAAAAAAAAAAAAAAGTAGGAAGCAGAGTATGGTGACGGTCTCAAACCTCCCTACAGGGCGGCTGTTGTGAGGTGATTACAGAGGAGGCTGCAGCTGCTCTTCGAAAAGCAACCAAGTGGGCACAGTCTGGCCTCATCGTCAGCATTGGGCCGCCTGTAGAGTCTGTCAACCCAGAAACTGTGAGCGGACTGTCCACAGGTGACAAAAAGAAAACTGCCCAGACCTCCATTTGCCGAGAGAGGAACTCTGAACTCGCAAGGTAGTCTTTTCCTGTCCAGACTCTTCTAAGGTCTACTTAGTAATGGACTTGTTTTTAGGGTTTTAATTGTATATCATCCTCTTGACCTGCTGGAAATGAGGACTTCGGGGTTAAAATACCCATCTGAGGTGGTCCTGGGCAAATAGGGCAGCATTCCTGGCTGAGTGGGCATCTACAGCCAGAGGGTGGTCTTTTTTTTTTTTTCCCAGCATGTGAGGCAGTTTATTGACATTTACTTGCCCAGATGACTTTTCCTCACTGTTATGGGGTTAAAAGAATTGAGGGGAAAGAGGACATGTACAGATGAAGCCAAAAGGCACACACTGAATACACCATGATAGGCTGAAATGAGGTTGCTCTGAGACTGTCAAGCCCCCCATTTCAGAGGCTAAGAAAGTTTGAGCCCAAGAACATGCACTCATGTAGCCAAATCCCTTCTGTCTGCCAGAGGAGAACCAGGCAAACCCTGGCCAGCCAGCCTGCCTGCTGGCTCTGCCACCAGGCATCTTCAGACCTGGCTGTCATGCTTGTCTTGGACCACTGACATCGCAGTGGCCATGGCGTCCTGACCTAAACAAACAGGGAAGGCCTGGCCTGACCCCATCTGTATGGCAGAGACAAAGGTGACTGATTAGCAGATCTGTGGTGCACAAGTGATGGGAGGGGCGGTGTGTGTCAGCATGAGATCACGGCTCTAAAATGCAATGTAAATCCACAAGGTGTGGGTCTGAAGGCTGGACACAATGATTAAGTATGGAAATGTCACTCGGAGCTGACCCAACTTCTGGACAGACAGACTTCTTGCACAGCCTCTGTACACAGGGTTTAGTCCCTGTGGCTCTAAACTGTCTCGGAAGCAAAAGGAAGAGGAAGTGGTAGGCTGCCCAGCTGGGGCCAGGGGACTGTCATGATTGTCCAGATCTCTGTGGTCAGAGAGTAGCCCAGCCACCTCAGCCCTGACCCTGGGACGTCGGAGGGAACAGGACGTTGAGTCCCAGGGGGCTCCCCGTCGAGGCCCCTGCCTCGCCCGCCTGGCTCCACAGGCCTCCTCTTCTACCACTTCTTCTTTGCCTCCTTCTTGGGCCTCTTGCTGGCAGAAAGAGCAGCAGTCTTGGGCTTCCTCGTCACCTCCACATTTCTGGGCTCAGAGGGCTCTGCCTCCACCTCATGGGACTTGGGAACAGGTACAATGATGGCCAGCACACAGATGAGCTGGAAGATGGCCCCCAGGAAGAGTCCATACTGCAGCAGGTTCTCTAGGAAAGTGGGCTCAGGCACCTCGGGAGGTGAGAAGTCCAGGTCGGAGGCCATGGCCTCGGCCACCAGCTGCCTGTGGTCTCCTCTGATTCACCACTTTCCAGAGCCAACTTCTCCCACGCCGCCCAGCCGCTCCCCCGGAAGTCGAGGGTGGTCTTTTTTTGAGAAAGGCCACTAACCAGGAACACCAGCTACAGCTTTTTTGAGTATTAGTAAACTCAGGTCTTGATGCCTTTCCTTCCAATCAGCCTAGCTCTACACAAAAACTTCTCTCTGGGAGTAGACAGGAGGAAAGAGCATTGCTTCTAGGGAGTTTGCGAAGTGTTCTATGTTTGCAAGCCAGGAATTGGTGTGCCATAGGGTCCTTAGGGTCTTTCCTTGATCCTGATGGTTTATGCCGTTCAGGTTTTGAGGTCTGCTGTTTTAGAGGATTCTTTAATTAACAGAAAGACTGTGAGAGAACTGATCCCCCCGCTCCCTCCATGATAATTTAGCTGTTCTTTTTCTTAGTCAATGAAATCCACTTTTTCTTGTATCATTAGAAAATTTTTCCATCCGATGATAACCCTAAAAGCCACCTCTGCATTCTTAACCATCGCCTGGACATTGACCCTTTCCCTCTTGACACTTGCAGGACTGATCCCGTCCGACCCTTCATTAGTGGGCACGTGGCGAACAGCATGGCCGCAGAAGTGATCGCCTTGCTTCATAGCTTGCTAATGGCCCCCGAGTCAAATGCTGCCCAAATATGGACCACAACAGCAGAAAAGGTTAGCACAGAGTCCCTGCTTAACTGGGGAAACAAGGGGGAGGTTTGTGATCTGTTTTAGCATTTGAATCCTGCCTAATAAGGATCCTATTCTAGTAAAGATTTCCCAAATTGGTCAGACAGACTTGTTAGCAGTCTTATCCCCCCACCCCCCCGTCAAATTTGCTTTGGTTTAATCGTTTCCCTTCCGCTAACCTATGCCTCCTGTCACTGCCAGTTCTAATTTTGCAGAAGATGAGACTATATTCTCGGGGAAAGGAATAGCATGCCTTGTTTCTCATTCTTGCCTATGTTCAGTTGGTACTGACATTAGGAAATCACACAGCCTTGGTTTATTGGATTTGTTAAGTGTATTTACTAAGTTCTAAGGCCTCTGTGATTTATACTCCCTGAATGTTCTGTCAGTTAATTCATCATTACACGTAGTAGTCTAGTTTCCTGAAAACTAGGGACCTGTAATCAATTCCCATTTGCCCATAGTCCTTTTTCAAGTGAGTGCCTTAAGAAAATTGGATGTTGAGTTGTAGGCAGTATGCTGTGATGGTTTTCCTTCAGATAAGCTTTTGCCTTATTTTAGGAGTTTTGTCAATGCAGTGTTTGATTCTCCCACATTCTGAGGTTGTGTGTTTCCAGTCCTGTCTCATTATATAAGGCGAATATGGCAAGACATCCGTGGTCACACCTGATAGTTACTTCATCCCTCCCATAAGCAGAGTTCCTGCAGTACATGGGAGCCAGCCACTGTTACAGATAACAGATACTTCATCACTCTTAGTGTTGAAAATGACCAAAGCTTTAACTCCTACTACATGGCTGCTTCTTATGTTTAGGTTCTGTCTCGTGCGCTGATGTACATTCCACAGTTGGGGAAATACGCAGAGAGCATTCTGGAAAATGGGAGCAGCAGTGGCAGGAAACTTGCCAAACTTCAGAGAATCGCCCGCCAGGCTGTCGCTGCACTGTGTGCCCTTGGAGGCTTCAAAGAGACCATCAAGATAGGGTCTGAGGTTCAGGTAACCAGCCAGCATTTCCCAAGTTCCTGCATCCATTGATTAACTGATCATCTGTAAAGACTGTATCATCCACCCAGTTGGACAGGAATCCTTGTTCCTTCAAGCTAAACAAGGAATCTGAGAAACTCATGAATTCTAATCCACACTGTGCTGCAGGTTATTCAAATATTATACAGTACTGTATGGTTTTAACTATGATATCTGTGTCCCTTGGTGTCACTTAAGTTTTAGAGTTGGAAGTTTGAGATTCTGTCATATTGTGGTCACCTTGACATAGGTTTTAGGACCTACTATTTTAACTCCCCATTCAGTGCTTGGTATCTGCATTGTGATAAGCTATTCCTATAATGCCACTAACAACAGCTGAGAATTCACTCTTCCACACCTGTCCCATGAGAGTGTCGTATACACCATCAGAGCCGGTCAGTAGTGCTAATCATAATCCCTCTTTGTCTCTAGGTTTTAGGTAGAGGAATATCAGGAAGCATCGGAGTAGTGGCTTCTATCAATGAACAGGAAGGTATAGCTACAGTCAGATTCCCACCCATAGACTGTAGAAAGACTTCGCAAGCATCAGACACATTGACTATTCCATTGTCTAGACTTTGTGTTCCGAGATCGGAGGTAAGGTGATTTTTAAATGCATTATTAAATGTCACTGCAAATGGTAAACATACTGTGATGAAAAATATGTGCACACACAGTACAGAGGCAAAAATACTTGGTTATCTTAAGTGTTACTTGGGAGGTGTATTTATATATTGGGTGTAATTACTTAATAGTAACGTTTGTGTGAAGATTTTTACGTAGATGACAACACTCGTTTCTTTGGTTAGGAATATTCCACAGTGTATTGTATTTTTAATTGTTTTGGTCTAGTTTGCAATTTTCTGTATGGTGATTTTATTTTTTTGACTGAAATTTTGAGAATTAACTCCAAATAATAACACCCTCATTTCTTAAAAACTAACTACTTGAATTTGACTTTTTGCCATGCCCCCCCCCCATCACCATCAGGCACTGCCTCTTCATAAACTGTCCATTACTGAGAAGGTAGTACAGGCAGTCCAGTCCATGTTGCTTCCTCAGGAGGGAAGTCTCTCTATTCATACCTCACTTCCTGCAACAGGAGATGGGTCAGCTCCTGTGATGGCAGTCGTTCGGCTCCTGGCTGAAATAAGAACAAGGTGAGCACCCCCCAGAAATCCCCTAAGGCTGAGGTGGTACAGGCCAGAGAGGCAGGGGTCCTTGCTGGGCCCCTCCACTCCTGATTTAGTGCGTCCACAGTATGAAGTTCATGCCAAGCTGAGAACAGAGACTGTTCTGTGCTGTGTTTACTACATTTTTGTTATATTCCCCAATTTCTGCAAGTTTTGTTGCATTGTGTAATTTCTGCACTTTGAAACAGTTTAGCTATTCCCCCCAAAATAATAAGTAAGCAGTCAAAAAGTGATCTATCATACACAAGGCTCCCACTGCTTTGCTTTGGTAAAAGCACTTTGTTCTATTCCAGTGGACCTCTCTGCCACTTTACCTTGTTCAAGTGGTTCAGGCTACATTAACATACATCTGATCTATCACTTTTCAAACTGAAAAGGAGAAAACTAGGGAATGCTCTCAGGTGTTGGTGTCAGAAGGAAAAACAGTATTTTCTTGCGAATACATTTATTTACCACAGTAACAAGTTTCTCTTTTGGCAATGGGACTTCTTAGAAAGTTCGAATACGTGTTATGAATTAGGTAAGAGATCAGCATACAGATTTTCTAAGTGTCTGGGTTCTTCTTATTCCCAGAGCACTAATGTTGCCCATGGAGCACAGTTTAGGAAATGTTTTTTAAGAGATAATGCTAATTTCTCACCTGGCACTTTGTATCTGCATTTAGTAGAGATGGCAACCATTTACCCCTCTTCTTGTCCATGCACTGTCAGCAATTACTCTGGGGGAAAAGAACAGTTACTTATGCTTCCATACAAATCTAGTTCAGAAAAAAAAAAAAAAAAAAACAAGAGGAATGAGGAGTTTAAACCTTTTTTGTAAGTTAGGGAACAAAATTGATTAAAATGTTCTTCATAGTTAACTTTTTAGAGAATGAACGTTGATGATTTTGAAATATTATAAATCTTTTAACATTAAGAGCATGCCTGGTCATGGCCCAGCTTTTAGAAGACAGCTTATTCTGTGAAGAATTCATACAACAGTGTCCAGCAGCTGTTGAAGTGCTCAACCTAGTGGCCCAGGAATGCAGTGCTGGTAAGTACCTGTGGCTTTCCTTACTGCTCCAAGTGTTGTCAGCACATTTCCAGTTTGACAATGGAATGCTAACATTTATATACACACACACACACGTGTGTCAAATAGCTGAGCTCTGCAGATAGCAGTTATCACAACTTTTATCCCAGATCTAGAAATGTAAATAGCTTTTAGTACATACGAAGTAGGAAATCGGCATTTTTCAATTTAATTGAGGACCGTGCCAGCGTGTTTTCTTTCTTCCATTCATATTAATTCATTGCATTAATTTCTCTGTTAGAACTGTTTTTGGGTACACCTGGGTGGCTCAGTGGCTGAGCATCTGCCTTTGGCTCAGGGTGTGATCCTGGGATCCTGGATCAAGTCCCGCATCGGGGTCCCTATGGGGAGTCTGCTTCTCCCTCTACCTATGTCTCTGCGTCTCTCTCTCTCTCTCTCTCTCTCTCTCTCTCTCTCTGTGTGTGTGTGTGTGTGTGTCTCTCGGAATAAGTAAATAAATCTTAAAAAAACTATTTATGAACCCTTAGGATTGCAGATACTGTCTGACTCTTGTCATTGTCGACATTTGAATTCACAGTCCGGAGTTTGCACTAACATCCATCCCTGTTTGTGTATGTGTGTGTATCTATGTGTGTGTGTGTGTGTTAATGGAAAAGTTTAAACACAAAAATAGGGAGACTAGAATAGTGAAGCCTCAGGCTCAATAGTTAACTCATGGTCAATCTTCTTTCATCTATGCTGTACCCCCTCCTGGATTATTTTTAAGCAGATTCTTAGATATTATTTTACCTAAAAATTTTTTAGTATGTGTCTCTGAAAAATAAGGACTCTTAAAAAAACTGCAATACCATGATCACATCTGAAAAATTAACAATTCTTTAATATTAACTGTCTTGTCAGCATTCAACTTTCTGATTTTCTCATAAAGTCATACTTGTTTTTGTATTTGTTTATGTAAATTGGGATTCAAATAAAATTCTTACATTGTAATTTCATTGCTGTCTTTTCATTTTATTTTATTTTTTTATTTTTTTTAATTTTTATTTATTTATTTATGATAGTCACACACAGAGAGAGAGGCAGAGACATAGGCAGAGGGAGAAGCAGGCTCCATGCACCGGGAGCCCGACGTGGGACTTGATCCCAGGTCTCCAGGATCGCGCCAAAGGCAGGCGCTAAACCGCTGTGCCACCCAGGGTTCCCTCATTTTATTTTAAAATATAGATTCCCCTCGTTATGTTTTTTGCCTTGCAATTTATTTTTTGAAGGGTTTCCTATATCTGGATTTTGCTGATTGTATCTCTATGGTATCATTTATTGTATCTCACAATCTTTAGATTTCCTGTAAATTGCTAGTTGGCCTGGGTATTTTTAAGTGAAAATTTATGCTTTGTCTCCAAGGATATAATTGGACTCTAAATGAAATTGTTCAGAGTTAAATTAGCATCTTCCAGTACTCAATTGTTAGCATTTTCATGAAACTGTAAGGAATAAATGAATATTCTTTAACTTCCTTAATGGTTTTAGTGTTATCCTTTGTGTGGGGGGTGAGGTCATTTTTATTATCCATATTATTTACTATTTCTCATGCCATTTGCTTTTTCAGTCACTCCTTAATCTCTTCTCTGTCCTTCAGTTTTTGTTCTTTTTCACACGGCACCAATTTCTTTTGGTTGGTCTTTGCTTTGGGTCTTCACTCTGTATGTGTCTTACTCCTTAAATCTCCCTCCTCTTTTAAGGGTAGCACTGTGGAACCAGCAGCCGGTAATAAAGCTCAGAGAGATCCTGAGCATAGAGAATAAGAACAGAAGAAAAGGAATTTACTAGGCTTCTCAGGGGAAATTATTTGCGACTAAATGCCCATAATTCAGCTTTGTACTTGTGGTTGGGCCTTCGTTCCCTGCCTCTGCTTTTTCTTGTTCTTGGCCTACATGGCGTTGTAAGACTTACGTGACTGATTTTTAGCCAGCATGTACTTGCTTGATTGATTGCTTGCTTTTCTATAGGGCTCTGAGTATCCTTTTATACAGTTTCTCGAATAAGGGAGTCTTAAACTGTGGGATTAACTTTGGTACTTAATGTACAAGCTAGGAATCATAATAATTTGGAGCAGTGGCCTCAGATGGCTTTAATAATAACCCACCTAACCCATTTTCTCTAATGGAAGAGAACTTTGTGGTCACAAGAGTTGGATAGAAATGTGGGGAAGTGTTTATTAATTGCCATAAAAGAGAAGACTGTGAGTTTATATACACCAATTTATATCCTAAAATCATGTCTTATGTCAAGTTTAATAGTCACTTTCATAACTCACTTATGAAGTTACCAGAAAGAGCTCTGACATTTAAGGTATATATCAGAGTTTGCCGGCTTCTCAGTCCTTTACCTGTGATGAATCAACAAACCCTGCATCGGGGTTACTTTCTAATATGATGGTGGATTCTTAGAGCCCACAAGAGAGTCCTGGACTGTGCTTAGAAGAAATCCTGTTTAATAAATGATTCAAGGTGATGGGTGGAAGAGAAAGAGTTCTTTGATCTTTATTTTTGAATATATAAAGACTTTTACTTTCATGTATGAAAATGTCATGAAATTTACAGGTAATAATAAATTTTTGATTCTTTAAAATGCGGAAAAAAATTCAATGATTTCTTCCATTATTTGACTTCCTCTGGGATGAATTAAGCAGAAGTCTTGGCCATTTTGATGTTGACTTACTCCTATCTCACTATTATAGTTTCTCTAATCCAGGGAAAAGAATACCTAATTCCATTTGGCCTGGGAAGATAGCACTACATCACAGAGCTTTTCCCCATGAGAAATGTTTCTGTGAAGGTCACTGGATCCCTTGGTTGAAATAGCATAAGAAACAGATTTTAATACTGAAGAAAAGACATGTAGAAACAAAACAAAACAAAAAAATTCCCAACTGTATTTTTTTATAGAAGCCAGAACCTGTCTAGTCCAGCTGTTTTTTTTTTTCTTTTCCTACTCCCTACTTTCTAAATATTCACATTCCCTGAGCCAGAGAGGTTCTTCTCAAACTTGGAAAATTCACAAGTCTCCCTCGGAAGCCTGTTTAAAATGCTTTCCAAGTTCCCCCCAAAAGTCAGAATATTCAGTTGAAAGTAGGCCTGGGCAGTTGTGCTAGGAGGGGCCCAGACCTCACTCAAAGAAACTGCTCTAAGCTTTGTTGACCCACCTTCTTTGCTTGTCTCTCGTCCCTAGTGCTTTCCATGCTTCTGTTATGGGCAGTCTCTCTCTTGCTAGTCAGGCCTCTTGGCTCTGTAGCTTTTAGGATTACCAGCCTCACGAATACTCCACATTTAAAACCAGAGTCATTATTTCCTCTGGAGTCAGTTCTCCTTTCTGACCTCCCTGTTTTAGGTCATACTCAGACTATTTCTGACTCTCAGATACTGAGTTAAATATGACAGGCACCTCCTTCCTATCCTTACACATCCAGCCATTTGCCATGTTCTAATCTTCCTTTGAAATGCTTCTGAAATCTATCCCTTTTCTGCTCATTTCCACTACCAGCTTCCTAAGTCAGGTGCCTTTTCTCTCGTATTTAAACATCTACATTATGCTCCAAACTTTTCCTTCCTGTACCTTGTCTTTCCACATTGTCATCACTGTTGGCTTCCTGAAACCCTGCTTTGAGAGACTGTCAAGTGCATGAAGCTATCACTGAGATGCCGCCTTTCCTAAGCATCCTTACTCCTGTGGAGTTGTCATTTACAGACTGGAATGAGTTCACAGCCAGTTCACAGCTGTTAATTGTTGCTCTGGCCAGAGTACAGTCAGTTTTACCTTTCCTTAATTGGAAGTATAGGAACTTTTTACTCTCACCCTAGATCCTGTAAAATCTCCTCTTGTGTTAAGCCTGCTCATGTCAGATATGCTTCACTTCTGCCAGATAACCCCCATTCTAACCCTAAGAATTGCTTTTCCCTTATTTGATATGATTCTAGCCAATCCCACTGAAATATCTCCGTGACATTGGTTACTGCTTGATGGAAAGGACATTGTTGTACATGTTACTCACTGGGTCATTGGATCATCCAGTATTCTATGTATAAATTCTCTTGGAATAAACTTTTTTTAAAAAAATATTTTATTTATTTGAGAGAGAGAGAGAGAGAGAGAGAGAAAGAGAATGCAAGCATAAGCAGGGGGAGAGACAACTAGGGGAGAAGCAGGCTTCCCAAGGAGCAGGGAGCCTGATTCAGGGCTCGATCCTGATCCCAGGACCAGAGATCATGACCTGACCTGAAAACAGACGCTTTACCAACTGAGCCGCCCAGGGTCCCCTTACTTTGAGTCCATTTTATATTTTCCTCCTCTTTCCTGTTGGCTTCTAATCCATATCCTTGGATTATATTAGGTGTCTAGGTGTCTGTAGGTGTAGATGTGGTATAAGTCAATAAATTTCTCAATATCCTAAACAAACTCTGTGCTTTACTTTTATTGAACTATATTTTATTTTCCTAAGACCTTTTTCACATAGCATGTGAATTCAGGTATAATTCACATACCATAAAATTTACCATTTTAAAGTGCACACTTTGGGTTTTAGTATATTCACAGAGTTATGCAATCATTACCACTATATATTTCCAGAACTTTTTCATCATTCCAACCAGAAACTCAGTACCAATTAAACATTAACTCCCCATTATCCTTCCCTCAGCTTCTGGGAACCTCTAATCTATTTTCTGTCTCTCTGGATTTACATATCCTGGGTATTTCATATCAACAGAATCCTGCAATAGTTGTCCTATTTTGTCTGGCTTCTACTTAACATAATGTTTTCAAGGTTCATCCATGTTATAACATGGGTCAGTACTTCCCATAACCATGTTATGGTTGAATATGATTCCCTTGTGTGCATAAACTGCATTTTATTTATTGATGAATTTATTTATTTGTTTGTTTATTTTAAATATTTTATTCATTTATTCATGAGAGACACAGAGAGAGATGCAGAGATACAGACAGAGAGAGAAGCAGGCTCCATGAAGGGAGCCTAACATGAGACTCAATCCTGGGACTCCAGGATCACACCCTGGGCCAAAGGCAGACGCTCAAACCACTGAGCCACCCAGGCATCCCTATTGATGAATTTATTGATACTTGTTTGTGCTTTTTGGCTATTACCAATAATGGTGCTGTTAATATGCATATATAAGCACTTATGTGGACAAATGTTTTCAGTTCTCTTGGGCATATGTAGGAGTGGCATTGCTGGGTCATATAGTAATCCTGTGTTTAAATTTTGAGGAACTGCTTGCTTTTTTGAAAAATTGTTTTCCACAGCAGCTGCACCATTTTACACTGCAACCAGCAGTGAATGGGGGTCCTATTTACTCCACATCCTCATCAGCACTAGTGTTGTCTTTTTGATTATAGTTATCCTAGTAGGTGGGAAGTAGTATTTCACTGTGGTTTTGATTTGTGTTTTCCTAATGACTAATGATGTTGAGCATACATTCATGTACTTATTGGTCGTTTATCTTCTTTGGAGAGATGTCTATTTGAATCCCTTGCCCATCTTAATTGGGTTGTCATCTTATTGTTATAAGAGTTCTAGGGTGCCTACGTGGCTCAGTCAGTTAAGTGTCTGCCTTTGATTCAGGTAGTGATCTCAGGGTGCTGGGATTGAGCCCCGTGTTTGGCTCCCTGCTCAGTGGAGTCTGTTTCTCCCTCTCCTTCTGCCCCTCCTCCCACTCATGTGCGTGCTTTTTCTTGCTCTCTCTCTCAAATAAAGAAAATTTTTTAAAAATTATAAGAGTTCTTTATTTTTTTTAAGATTTTATTCATTCATTCATTCATTCATTCATGCACATGTGAGCAGGAGGAGGGATGGAGGAAGAGAGAATGAGAGTTGGACGCTTAACTAAGCTACCCAAGCACCCCAATTGTAAGAGTTCTTTGTAATTTTAGCTATACTAGTCCCTGATTGGGTAGTACATAAATCTTTTCTCCCATTCTGTGGGTTGTGTTTTCTTCTTTTTTGGGGGGGGGGTTGTGTTTTCACTTCCTCAGTAGTGCCCTTTGAAACACAAACCTGTTTCATTTTGGTAAAGTCCAATTTATCTCTTTTTTCTTTTGTTGTTTTTACTTTTGGTGTCATATCTTAAACCATGGCATAATCCGAAGTCATGAAAATTTACACCATTATTCTAAAAGTTTTATAGTTTTAGCTGTAACACTTTTTCAGGTCACTGATCCATTTTGAGTTAATTTTTGTGTGTTGATTGAGGTACTGCCAAGACCCCTGACTCTTGACTCTCCTAGACCATTGCTCATATTGCCAAACCACCTGGAGTTCCCTTCCTTCTCTGCTTATTGAAACCCTACCTTTTCTAAGATCTAATTCAAGTCTGTTTTTATGAAGCCTTCCTGGGTCCTGGAATGAAGTCGTCAGCTGCTCCTCTATGCCTGTGTTTGTGCTTGGATCCTATCTAAAAGACCCATACTGTAGCCTTGTACCACATTCTTTCTTTCTCTTTTTCGTTTTCGTTTCCTTTTTTTTTTTTTTTTTTAAGATTTTATTTATTCATGAGAGACACAGAGAGAGGGAAGCAGAGGCACAGGCAGAGGGAGAAGCTCCCTGCAAGGAGCTCGATATGAAACTCGATCCCGGGACCGCAGGATCATGCCCTGAGCCAAAGGCAGACTCTCAACTGCTGAGCCACCCAGTCGTCCTTAATGTTCTTTTTTGTACATGTGAATGCATGTACACATCTCATCTGTCCTCCCAGAATAGGAGCTCATGTATCTTTGTATTCTCCAGCATCTAGCACTGTACCTTTCTTAGGAGATGTTAAATAGATAGTTTTAAAAAATCAGTTTCAATGATGAGAATAATAGCTTCCATTTATTGAGTGTTCGCCCAGGGACTTAGCTAAAAGCTCCACTTGTGTTACTTCATTTCATATTCAGGACCTTGAACAGGTGCTATTGTTACTCTCATATTATAAGTGAGATGGTAAATATTGAGTAAAGAAGCCAGATTCTAAATCCAGGCAATCCCACTTCAGAACTCATGCACTTGACCACATTGCTGTGCTGCTATGTGTAGTAGACATACCTCAATCTGTTTGCTTTTTTGGTAAGAATTTGAATACTCTCTGAAGCAATTTATTGCTTTGATGCTCCTCAAGAAGAGCTGGAGCTCTCTTGGGGCTTTTGGGACTTATTTTCACTTGTTTGATGTATCCCCTCCCAGGGGAGCGACTGGCAGTTGTGGAGGTGCAGTGTGAACGGCTGCGAATGCTCTACCGTGACTGTGCTCGGCCGCCACCACCTCCGCTGCAGGCTGACCGGAGACAGGTGAGCCCCACGCCATGCGTACCACTGCCTGCCCATTTGCAGCATGCTGTATTAGAGAATGCCAAGTGGCACCTTAGTAACTAGCGTGAGCATTTGCAAATCCATTTGGAGGTGCACACCCTAATGACATGCTATCATCTTTGAATGTCAGAGTACATTGATTTGACATTCTGAATAATGAATGATGACAACAAAGGAGCAGAACTCATTCATTTGTAAATAATTTCTTACTCTATCAATAACGGAAAAGAACTTTCAGAATTTTAGATCTGTAGTCCATCTTATAATGATACGGGTATGAATAGAGACTGAGAGGTGATTAAAAAGCAAAGGTGGCAAAGTGTTCAGAATTGGCACCTCTGTGAATGTTCTTAGCAGCTTATTTGTAATAACCAAAAAGTGGAAACAACCTAAATGTTTATAACCTGACAAATAAATTCATAAAATAGGGTGTATCCCCATAAAATGGAATGTTATTCAGCCTTAAAAAGTGAGGAAGTAGTGATCCATGTGACAATATGGATAAACCCTGAAATTATGTTAAGTGAAAGAAGCCAGTCACAAAAGACCACATATTATGGAATGTCACTTACTTAAAGTGTCCAAAACAGGCAGATCTAGAGACAGGAAGCTGATGAGTGGTTGCCAGGGACTGCAGGGGTACAGGGGATAAGGAGTGACTGCTTAAGGGGTAGATGCTTAAGGGGGACAAAAACACTCTAAAACTTTACAGTGGTGTTGGTCACACAATTCTTCGTATACAAAAACCATTGAATTATACATTTTAAATGGGTGTGTGTTATGTGATTTGTATCTCAAAAACTCAGTGCCTTTAGTTGAGAGTGTATAAAAATTGCCATTTTCTTACAGTTTTTCGGTAGGTTTGAAACTTTCAAAATAAAATTATATGAGACAAAATGTCACCTGAAGTCTCAACATCTCCATTTAGCATTGTTAGTGTGTCAGCAAGCTGGATCACCTGTACTTTTTCCATGACAACGGATCTCTGTTTTGCATCTAGCTACTCTGCCTCCATAGATGATGAATGCCTTTCCATGTTGACCAATAGAAATTTCATGGTCCGGTGTACACTTGAGCCTCAGTTTCCCTACTTAGGCTTTCCTTGATGCCCATTTGTGTCATCTCCCATTCCCACCATAGCAGTGATCTGATGGATGTCCTTGGAGCTAATCATCACATGGATCTTTCAGTCCTCTGGATAAAAACGAAATTAATGGGCTAAAAAAATATGCTTTTATTGACAGAGAAGCATGAACCTTATGATTAGATTTATTAAAATTACATAAGTGAAAAAAATGAAGCAATTAAGTTAAAAAATGAAATGTAATATTACTCTTTCTTGATGTCGAGCTGAATAGTAAGTCACAGGATTATAAATTCTGCCCACTGATGGGTCTGAAACGTGGCCTCTAATTACACAGCCAGGATGAGGGGCTGAGGGTCCATGCTGCATGTGTGTAAGGAGGAGAGCTGTAGGAATTGAACCTCATTTGTCATCACACAAGTTAAGTGATGTCCTAAAGGAAAACTAAAAATGGCATTATAAGCTTAGGAGGAGAATAGAGGTAAGTATCAGAATGATTGGTTCTAGAGAGCAATGCTGGGCCTAGAGACTGCCTTTTTAAAAATAAAGTTTACTTTGGAAATACAAGGTATGTTCTTAAATAAAAGATGTACCTATTTTATAATACCACTAGATAAAAATTTTTCGAGACTGTAAAGAGATTAGTGTTTGCAGTTGTATTGAACAAGGCACTTTCTCCCCATTGTAGCCCAAAGAGATCACTTGGAGCCCCTCGCGAGTGTTCCCGCCTGTCCGAGCCTGCATGTTCTCATCGCATCTTACTTCTGTCACCTTCCTGGCTGACCCCAGCGCTGGGGGTGGTCTTCCCCGGGGCACATTTATCTATGCCACCTCGGCACTGCCAGTTCAGGTGAGAAATCACAGTCTCTTGCCTCTTTCCTTCGTCTTTGAAAGACAAAGCAAGTTCTAAGGGCCCGAGAGGAGCCCTCTGATTGCCCACTTCTGGTGTTTCCTCAGGCCCCATCTTTTTACTGGGAAATTGAAATTGTTTCCTATGGAGATACTGATGATGACACTGGACCAATAGTCTCCTTTGGCTTTGCCACAGAAGCAGAGAAACGAGATGGGGCTTGGACCAATCCAGTGGGCACTTGTCTTTTCCATAAGTAAGTGGCTACTATTGCTGTTACTACCAAAAAAAAAAAAAAAAAAATAGTGGGGGTGGGTGTTCTAATGCTAAAATAATATTATTATAATCTCAATCTCCAAAGATGTATAAAACACCAGTTGGAAATATATTCAAATTTAGACAAAGAGAACCGCTCTTAGGATTTCTCTTCTAATTACTCTGGTGCTGCTGAAGCCCTCAGGCCTGTTCACTACTTAACTGCCTCTGTGTTGGTCAGTCAGCCTTGTCTTTGACTTTGCTTTTTTTCATAGCAATGGCCGAGCTGTGCACTACAATGGCTCCAGTTTATTACAGTGGAAGAGCGTGCGCTTGGACGTGACTCTCTCTCCTGGTGAGTGCAGCGGGAGCTTTTTTTTTTTTTTACCCTATGTATTTGTTGTTTCCACATTTTGTCTAAATATGTTAAAAGTAAAGAAACTTAGCAACTGGAAATGGGCAATTTGTCTTCTAGTGAAAGCCAAGTAGGTCACTGCTGTCTGCTAGTTTACACCAAACCACTCCTTTCGTGAGGCCCTTATCATTGAGAACCCTTCAATTGGTAGGGTAGGAGTCACATTTGCTTTCATTCCTCCCTCATTAGAAAAACCTGAGATTTTGCTTCTTTGAAGTTTAGCCTTCTGTCAACTTTTCATTGATGAGCAGATAAATAGATTCCAAAAAGGGGGAAAAATAAAAGAGGAGCTCTCCCACTTGCCCTGAGGCACTCATAGAATGTGTTATGTAGGTGATGTATTGTGGACTTGGTTCTTGGGAGCCTAAACATCTGGTCCTGCTTCATCAAATTTGCCCAGAAATTTCAGTCACAGAGATCATCAATTCAATTAAGACAACAACAACACTAAAAATCCTTTTCCCTTTCCTTTTTATTTTTTTTAATTTTTAATTTTTTTTTTTTTTTTATGATAGTCACAGAGAGAGAGAGAGGCAGAGACATAGGCAGAGGGAGAAGCAGGCTCCATGCACCAGGAGCCCGACGTGGGATTCGATCCTGGGTCTCCAGGATCGCGCCCTGGGCCAAAGGCAGGCGCCAAACCGCTGCGCCACCCAGGGATCCCCCTTTCCTTTTTAGCCTCCATATAAGTATCTTGCTCTGTGTAGACAAATTAGGATCAGTCCTACCTGTTTCACCAGAGGAGCAGGATGTAGGTATTGTCCTCTTGCTGTTAGAAACCCCCAGACATGTTGGCTACTTATTTTCAGATAGTACATCTTAGCGTCGTCTCTGATGAAGCAGATATTGTTCTGTGTGGTGGGTGGTCTGGGCTGCCCAGACGGGGCATAATAATTCACCCTGTCCATCAGGTAACCTCACACAGCCAGCTGGGATCATTTTGCCATCACTTAGGAAGCTGCTTGTTAACATTGCACCTTTTAGGGAGTGTAGTGTTTTCAGTTATGGTCAAGTTATGACTTAGAGATAATTTCCTGGCAGTTACTTCTCTTTCACTTCCTGGAGAACTTGGACATTTCAGCTGAATACTTAAGTGTTTTAGGCACAAAGTGTTTTGGGGGAACACATGGCAACCATAGACAGAGTTTTTATGTGTTGCCCTCATTTGTTGTGTTTGATCACATTTTGTTGTTTGAGAAAGTCTGGGACTGGACCACAAGCAAACACGCCATCCTCTTCCTAGAGAAATGTGTCTGCGTAGGAATCAAGAACTCATTTTTTACAACTGAATCTCAACCTCTGTACCAACACTTCTGGTGTCTTCATCAGCAGATACTTCCTGGACATCTCCTGTGTGCTGGGTACTTTCCTGGGCCCTGGAGATGCCATGGCCATAGTGACATAAATAGTGACAAGTCTTCAGCCTTTGGGAAGCCCATCCTAGTGGTATCTGAAGCATAGGAGACTCTATAATCAAAAGCAGAATCGTAGAACTTCATGCACTTTCTGGAGAGTTCACAATAAGAGACTAATTATACAGCTACCTATGCAAGCAGCGTGCCTGAAGCAGCCAGTGTGTGACTGCTGATGTGGTAGACATGCTCCTCTTGGTCTCTGAGCTACTATGCCCTCTTCAGTTGACTCATATGAAAGCAGCTTGGCTTGTCTTAGCTTCTCACAGAAATGCCTTAGATACATAAAAGTAGCAGGTGGGACATAATGTGATTTAACAATATACCTCTAGCTTATGTTGTGGGTTGGGTTTTATATTATTAAAACCATTTCTAAATCTTCTGCAAACTTACTGAGAAAATACTGCCTTTTTACCTTTGTGCCGTAAGTAATTTTACATGTGTCAAAGAGAAAAACTTGTATTTCTCTATTTTAAAAAAAAATCCTACCCATTGTTTTCCCTTTTTGTCTTGGCTTCCAGGAAAATAAAGGCTAAATTTAATGTGTAATTGTGGTAACTGACTTAGACACTAGGTATTTTCTTCTTTTTTCTCTTTTTTAAGCATTTTTAAGTTTATTTATTCATGAGCGACACAGAGAGAGAGGCAGAGATATAGCCAGAGGGAGAAGCAGGCTCCATGCAGGGAGCCTGATGTGGGACTTGATCCCGGATCCCAGGATCACGCCCTGAGCTGAAGGCAGACGTTCAACCGCTGAACCCCCAGGCGTCCCTAGGCATTTTCTTCTGAATAGTTTGACTTCTCTTTTTAAAATTATTTCTTTTGTATTTATACTCAAGTATAATACATAACTTCATATCTTTTTCAGGATGTAAACAATGGCAAAAATAAAGAGGGTCAGGGATATGTGGCTCCATCACACTGGTTGCAGTTTGGAAGTTTATTTAGTAATCAGTAAAGGGGAAAACAAAATGTTTCCTTCCTGTTCTCTGCCATAGGTGACGTGGCAGGAATTGGCTGGGAGAGAAGCGAGGGGACCCCACCTCCTCCAGGGCAGCCAGCCAAGGGCCGAGTGTACTTCACATACTGTGGGCAGCGTCTGTCCCCATATCTTGAAGATGTCTCTGGTGGGATGTGGCCTGTGGTTCACATTCAGAAGAAGGTAGGTTATCTTACTGGGAAGGAAAACAAATTCTCCTTAGTAATTTGGATAATGCTCAACCTTGCTGGGGAGGGCAGTCTACTCAACTGAATCTACCATTCAAATGCTGATCTCACCTGGAGGCACTGTTCCAGACACACCCCATAATGTTTAGTCTGGTATCCTGTGGCTAAACTGACAATAAAATTAAGCTTCTCAGTATGATTGCAAACCATAGACTTTATGGAAACAGATCTGACCCATGTCCCCATTACCTTGAAGAAGCAATGCTTGAGCCAGGTCTAGACTATTAACTGGTCTCAACTTGGCAAAATTGGAGAAGAATGTCCTCAGTGAAGGGGGAGCAGCTTGTGTAGTGGCATCAGGCAGAAAGGAACAGTGTTAGAAATAGGAAAGGTCACTGTCCGAGTAGCAAAGGGTTGGGAGAGTGAGATGGAGGGGAGGGGAGGCGGGCTGGCCTGTGCAGAGCTCTGTCTCAGCGCCAGGGCTCTCAGTTACATGAGCCACTCTGCCTTGTTCCAATGCTTTCCCAGAGCTGGGGCCTTCTTCTGGTTTGATGTTGAATAACATTCACCTTGGAGTGCTAAATAAATGAATAAACAAACCTAGCCCCTCTCAAATCCTTTACTTGATTACCTTCCCAGAACACCAAGACTCGTGCTAACTTTGGCTCCCGCCCATTCGCCTATGCTGAAGGGCAGGCCCACCGTAACGCCGCCGACCTGTGCACCGATCTGGCAGAAGAGATCAGTGCTAACTTTGAGGCGCTGCCCTTTGCCATGGCATCCGATAGTGACAACGACGCCGGCACCAGCATTGCTTCAGACCCGGGCACTCATGGGCCGCCTTGCCGCATTGCTGCTGTGGCTACTGCTCAGCAACGTAAGCTGCCTCCTCGCAGGGCCCCACTGCTTCCTGGGAATGCAGATGCTGCTAATTCAGAAGGCCATCCAACTTAGGCATACTGTAGTGCCCATGGCTGTGGAGTAATGGGCCTGGTGCAAAGAAATTGGGGAGCAGAAGTGTGGCAGAGCAGAAAGTGCATTCCCCACATACAGGAAGCCTGCCATTACTCAGTGTGAGCAAAATATTGCCACATGGAAATGCAAGCCTGAAAGACCATCGCTTTTTATAAGATAGCTAAAAACCTCAGAATTTTATATGAAATCTTGTTTTTAAAATATTAATTTTTAAAATTATTTTAAAACTGAGGTCATTAAAAAAAAACCTGAGGTCATGAAAGAATAACAAAACACTGTGGAATCTAGGTGGTAGGTATTAGGTATGCACTAAAAAAGCTTTCCTAATTATTTGAAAAACTTCATAATTGAATAAAACCAAGCTTCCTAAACTAAAGATGTGTGCAGACTTTAACTGGCCCTTGGGATATTGGTTTGCAAACTGTTCTAAGACTCTGCCTGATGAAGAACTTTTCCTAATTCTTCTCTGAATTAAATGAATCATATCCATAAAAAGGACTTTAGGTTTCAGGAGAATGATACATGATTGTTATCCCATGGCTCTGCACTTCAAAATCCTTCAAAGTGCTAGGAGTCTTTCACACAAATAGATTCTGGTCTAAGGGGGAGAACTTCATGGTTTTCCTGGCCTTCTCTTGCCTAGAATTCACTGTCACTGTGCTCTGTTGCAGAATATGACAGTGACACTTCCTGTCATTACAAAGTAGAACTCAGCTATGAGAATTTCATAACCTCGGGCCCAGACCCCCACCCACCTCCCATCGCAGACGACGAAAGTGATGACGAGGACGAGGACGATGTCCCCCAGGTATGAGGTCCACAGTGCTTGCACAGCTCCCTGGTGACAGGGACGAGCCACCAGGAATGATTTTGATCTGAGGGTGCAAAGCTGGAATGGTTACACTTCTAGTTATAGTCACTGTGTTTGAATGGTAGCTCTGGAACATTCATCTTTCAAACCACATATCAGTAGCAATATCTGCTGGACTCGTCTGCCTGGTACTGATCTGAGTGTGGGAAAAATGCAGTACCTTTAGTGATTCAGCAGGAAGGTTGGGGGCTGTGTGGAGTGCTTATTTAGCTTTAGAAGGAAAGAAAGGGCTTGCCACAGTCTGGCTATTGCCTGCCCTGATATCTGAGGATGTGTTTCTGAGAGCTATAGGAGAGCTATAGGTCAGAGAAGGGCTGCCGACCACACAAAGCACTCCTTCTCCGTTCATGCATTTGCCTTCTCCTTCCAGGAGGACCACTACGCCCTGCTGGTGAAAGCATGGGAGACCAAGGTGTTTCCTACTATCCGAAGACGCTTCCGCAATGAGGCAGAGCGGAAATCGGGCCTGGACCAGATAAAGGGTGCTTTACAACTAGGTCTGGTGCTTTACACTTTTCTTGGGAGCTACTTCATAACTTGAAGAGCTATGCTTATATTGAAACTCAGATGTAAATCAGAAAAGAAGGGCTCCCCTAGAGTCAGGCCAGACTTAGCCGTGTCCTTTACTTTTCAGTAAAAGCCAGGCTTTTACTGAACTCTGTGGTCTTCAGCTTTCATTGCCAGACTTTTGCTTGTCAACCTAACTCCACGTTTGGGTTGATGGGCTACTGAAATGGTTGTACTGCAACCACTGGAAAGTTGAATGGCCTGATGGTTAAATAATTTGGGCTCTCAAGTCACAGCTATGCTACTTACTGTCTGTATGACCTGAGGACAGTTACTTAACCTTTCTGGTCTTTACTAGCCTTTAAAATGGAATCAGTGTTGGTGACCGCCTTATATGGGTATGAAAAATAAGTACTTTAATACAGGTAAAGGTCCTAGGAACAGTGCCTGGCACATAGTAGTGTTCAGTTAATATAGTTCTAGATGCCACCATGTTAACAGTGATGGTGGGATTTTTTCTTCCACTAGCATGATTCCTCTAGCAAAGAATAATGCAAAGTTTGACCCCAGATGGTGGACTGTTAGTGGGTTTTTGTTTGTTTGTTTGTTTGGTTTTTTTTTTTTAAGATTTTCTTTATTTGAGAGAGAGAGAAAGAGAGCATGAGCAGATAGAGGGAGAAATAGACTCCCTGCTGAGCAGGGAGCCTGATGTGGGGCTTAATCCCAGGACCCCAGGATCATGACCTGAGCCAAAGGCAGACACTTAACCAACTGAGCCACCTAGGCCCCCTTGTTAGTGAGTCTTGAGTGCAGGCAGCTGATTTCTGTTTTGAGGATTTTCCTCATCTTGTGAAAATACCTGCTTTTCTTCCCCCGACATGGTGTTCTCAGGGATGGTATAAGAGGTTTCATTTTTGTCCTGTCAGCAGCATTGCTCCTCTTTTAGCTTGTTTGGAGATTAGGACCAATAAAGAGCAAAGCCCCCACATGACCTTTGTTTTTTGGCCAATTTATATTGAGTCCCAGATTTCCAGTATTACTTTTTTTCCCATGTTGGCACCAGGACTTGATCAGTATGTGTAAAGCTTGTTTTTATTTACTTATTTCCTTTCATGCCATCTCTCCCCAAAGCTAAGACCTATGACAGTGGAATGGTCTTGTTTAAACTTAACCTTGTTTAACCCTAACCATGTCACACCTCCCATGACATGGTGGGATTGCTTCCTGCTTTTATCAGATTCTGGCTGCCAGCCCAATTCTGGGGCAGATCATTAGTAATTCTCCTTTACTCAGGTTGAGGCAGAGGGAGCAACATTAGGAAGTCCCTTGGCAGGAGTGCACTTGGGTGGTTGGGCGACCAGCAAAAAAGCCAAGCAGGTGTAGCTGAATAGGAGAGCATGAGGGAAAGGCAGCAGGACACGAGGCAAGGGGCAGGGATAAGCATTGGGTACATGAGGACTTTGGATTTTATTCTCTGCAAGATGGGAAGCCACTGGGAGGTGGTAAACAAAGGAGCAACATAATTCAGTGTAGTCGATCCCAGAGAAAAAAGAGAATTTGCTCTTCCCCATTTGTTTTCAACATCAGAGCTGAAATACCCTTATGTGGTTTGTCAGAGTGCAGAACCGATCTTCTCTCATGCACAAATGACTCTCACTTAATACATGTAATGCCAGATGCACTGCCTCGAAGCACCTATGCAGCATTGATTTCAGTGTTGGGAGGGCTTCAATTCAGTGGCATCTGTTCAGCCATCCATTCATCCACTTACCCATCCCTGCAGTCAGCAAGCACCTCCCAGGTGTCGGGCCCCTGGCTAGGGAAACATTCAGTGATCAACAGCAGATGGCATGTGATCGGGGTTGTGCAGTACATCGAGAGGCCACAGCATATGTAGCTAGGCCAGCCTGATCTAGTGTGGCTTCTTTGGCAACCTGCTATTTAAGTGAATATCTGGAGCTTAGTGACAGCTGGCTTACACTCAGAACAGTGAAGCCCCCAGGGGACTAGTGCCTCTTAGTACTTTGGAGAGAGTCAGAAAGGGGATAAAATTTACAGTGTGCAGATGGAAAGCTCTTGAGTACGATCACTGGTTGCTATGCCTTCATTTTGACATCAGTTCTGCTTCAATTTGGATTTCTTTTCATGTATCTTTTGATGCCAGAGCCACCCTCAATGTCTATGGCCAAGTGTGCCTTCTCCTCCTTTGCTCCCAGTTCAATTATGGGAAGGTTTAGACAGCACAGCAGGAAATCTGATCATCCAAAAGTGGCCCCTGGGCCAGAGGCAGACTGATGACTCACCCAGAAGTGCCTCCTACCCCTGAGGTGGCCTCTTGCCAAGGCATTCTCTCAGGATCCGTCTGTGTACTGTGACTAGTCATATGAACTATATTAATTTAAGCATAAAGCATTTACCTTTTGAATATAGTCTCCTTCAATATAGCAGTGGCAGAGGTGAAAAAGAGAATGGCAGGCGGCTCGTGGTCCCCAAAGAGCCACCTTGGTGAGGTGGATCAACCTCCTGTTGTCAGGTCCCCTAGGAAGGCTAATGAAACTGCCCCTGTGCTGAGTGTGCTTGAACTCGGCAATCTCCTCATGCTCCTGTATTCCTGCTAAGGAGACAGCAGAGAATTTTTTTCTCCTCTCCCCAATTCCTTTGGAAAATGTTGCAAAGATGCTTTTTCCATCATCTTCCAGTATCAGGCCACATTTCTGGTCTGTTCTGACAGTTCTATCTCTAGGCATCCTTGTCTGATTGCAGCCCCCTCCTCCTAAAGTATGCTTCGAAAATCACCACGCCTTCTCCCTCCAGCAAGGCTGGCAAATGAAGGAGTGGGAGAGCAGTGTGAGGAAGATCAGCCCCTGCGAATGTACCTGTGGCCACACCCATGTATGCTCCCAGGCTTCCCAAGCCAAGTGGGAGCCTAGGCAGTGCTGGGCAGATGGAGACACTGCTTCCCATGTCTCTGTACATCCCACAGTGCCCTCTCCTCAGGACTTTGGACATTCTTTGACTGCATTTATTAATGAATAGTGGTAGTTGCTGGTGAACTCAATGATGTGTTCTCTTCCTGGGAAGGAAGAACATGGCAGTTTCTGGTACTGAGTAGGGGAAGTTGGTGGAGCTCTGTCTGAAGCAGCAGATGTTTGCTGTAAAAAGTCACACAGTACAAAAATATACAAAGTAAGAAGAAGCCTTTCCCTCACTTCTTACTCTCCACTTGTCCTCTACTTGGTTCTTTTGACTCAACTGAAATGATTACATAATAATGTCCCATGATTTTTAGCCATTCTGTATTGATGAGTACCTTCATTTTTTCCATTTTGGGATTTCTCCACAGTGCTACAAAGAGTGTTCTTATATCTTTATACACTTATATCCTTATACACTTATATCTTTACACACTCATGCTTGTGTTTCTATAGGAAAAGTTTGAGCACTTCCTACAAGTAGGGCATTGAGTGTGTTAAACTTGCTAGACGCCCCATAATTACCTTCCCCAAAAGGCTATGTACTCCCATGGCTGGTGTTTGAGAGATTCTCTTATGTTTTCTTTCTCATTATGACTCAGTGTTATGGCTGATCCAAAGACCTTGTACTCTTCGGAGAGTTACCAGCCTGGTTATGTTTTTTAGGCATGGTGGACATTGCCCGACAGACAGTTGAATTTCTCTACGAGGAGAATGGTGGCATCCCAAGAGACCTGTATCTTCCTACCATTGAAGACATTAAAGACGAAGCGAACAAGTTCACAATTGATAAAGTTCGAAAAGGTTCTTCTTACCCTCTTACTTCATCTGTGAAGCTTCCTATGAGATGAGAAGTTGGGTTTTCACTTGAGTGTGAGCAGAGCAACTGCTAGCTCCTATGGGCTGACTCTCCTTTTTCGGAGTGACAGGACCTCTCACAGCCTCTCGTCTGTGAGGCCCTAAAGCTTCCTGTTGGTCTCGCCTCTGGTGGCCTCCTGTACATTCCCCGAACTCCCTAGCATGCACAGAGTGAGACAGGGCACCTGTGCAGAGGGAGAAGTGGAGCATGGGTGGAGGCTTCCAGATAGGCCTACCAGCCTTAGTCGTGGCTGCTGAGCTATAATCATGAATGTGTGACCACACTCTACTTTTTAGAATTTTAATAGAACACATTTATTCTTTTGATTAGAAATCTATTGCATATTTTGAGGAAATGAAAACACAGAAAAGAAAAATGGAAACCACTCATTATCAGACTTTCACAAAAATATGAGAATGTCAGGAACAGAGGAATATATATATTTTCTTTCTTTTTTAGATATGATTTACATTTTACATTTCGATATAATTTACACTTACCATAAAATTCACCCTTTCAAAGTATACAATTCAGTTTTTAGTATATTCTTAAAGTTGTACAGCCACCAAACCATTGCCTCTAATTCCAGGACACTTTCAGCCTCCAAAAAGAAATCCTATACCCCCGTCATTTCCTGTTTCTCCTTCCCTTGAGCCTCATTAATTTACTTTTTGTAGATATAGGTTTGCCTCTTCTGGACATTTCCTATAGATGGAATCATACAACATGTGGTTTCTTTTTTGTGTCTGGCCTCTTTCATATAGCACAGTTTTTCAAAGTTCATCCACGTTGTAGCATGTGTTAGTACTTTATTCCTTTTATGGCAAAATTATATTCCATTGTGTGGATAATACCCCATTTTTTTAATCCACTCATCAAATGATGAACACTTGGGTTGTTTCTAACTGTTGGCTACTAGAAGTAATGCTGCTCTGAACATTTGTGTTCAGGTTTTTGTGCAGACATGTGTTTTCATTTCTCTTGGGTAGATATGTAGGAGTGGGATTGCTGGGTCCTATGATAAGTTGAACTTCTTAAGGAACTGCCGGAGGATTTTCCAAAGTGACTGCACCATTTTACATTCCCACTGGAAATATACAAAGCTTCCAGTTTCTCCACATCCTTGCCAACACTTAATACGGCCTATAGTTTAGATTATAGCCATCCTAGTGGATGTGAAGTAGTGTCTCATTGTGGCTTGGTCTTCTGTCTCTCTAATAACATGGAATAACTTTTCATCTGTATCTTCATTTTCCTTTGGAGAAATGTTTATTTGAATTCTTTGTCAATTTTTTAGTTGGCTTATTTATTTTTTATTATAGTAATTCTTACAACATTTAGTTGTATAATCTTCAAGACTGAGCTTTATACCTTTTTAGTTACAACTAAACTAAGATATTGTTAGATGCTATAGAGCTATTTTCAGCCCTAAAATATAGGGTCCCAAAATAATAATGGTACTTGCTTCTGAAAAACCTTCTCCCTCTGCCCTCCTCAGGTCTCACCGTAGTAACCCGCTCTCCAGACAGCAACAATGTAGCCAGCAGTACAGTGGGAACTGCTCTGCCAAAATTCGCCATCCGGGGGATGCTAAAAACCTTTGGGCTTCATGGAGTTGTCTTAGATGTTGATTCAGTGAGTAAACAACCTTTTATATACATGGAAACTTTCATGCCCAGATGCCATGTGCCTTAAAAAACAATCATGCTGGGGTGCCCGGTTGGCTTAGTTGGATAAGTGTCTGCTTTCAGTTCCGGTCATGATCTCAGGGTCTTGGGATTGAGGCCCAATCCAGCTCCCTGCTCAGCGTGGTTTGCTTGTCCCTGTCCCTCTGCCCTGCCCCCACCCATGCTTGTGGACCCATGCTCTCTCCCTCTCTCAAATTAAAAAAAAAAAAAAAAGTTTTAAAAAACCCATAATCATGCAGATGGATTCCTCCTCAGACTAGGGATGAGGGAAGTGAGCTGAATGCTCATACCAGATGGCTCGCCTGAGGTTTTCTCATGGGCCCAGATCAGGGCTGATGATAAGCTCTTTTTTTTTTTTTAAATTAATTAATTAATTAATTTATGATAGTCACACAGAGAGAGAGAGAGGCAGAGACATAGAGGGAGAAGCAGGCTCCATGCACCGGGAGCCCGACGTGGGATTCGATCCCGGGTCTCCAGGATGGCACCCTGGGCCAAAGGCAGGCGCCAAACCGCTGCGCCACCCAGGGATCCCCTGATGATAAGCTCTTAATAGTCAGTGCTGTCAGCCCCTTCAGACCACGCTGCCTCTGCCATCATTTTGTCAGCCATGTTCAAACTGTCCCTACCTTCTACCCACCCAAGTCCCGGGGACATTCTCCCATGGTCCTTAATAAATGGATCATCTGTCTTTGTCATGACTGTTACAGACACAAGTCAAAGAAATAGTTTTTTAATTTTGATCATATCATCTCACTGGTTCTCTCAGACTCCGTTTCCCAGTATGCAACATGAGTGTATTAAACCCATGGGCTTCTCAGCAGGGATAGGGACCGTGAGTGGGGAAGAAGGAACAGAAGATGAGTGTTGGGAAAGCCAAAGCTTTCTTTTGAAAACAGTGTCCTGTGTGAAAGTGATGACTCTGCGATCGAAAGATCGCATGCACATGCTGGCATTTGAGATGTTTCCCATGCAAGAAAAACTGATAACACATAGTTCAAGCCTAAGAGTCTCTGATGAAAAAGGATCTATCACCACGTAGATAAGCTAGAATCTAGATAGAGGGACGCCTGGCTGGCTCAGTGGTTAAGCATCTGCCTTCGGCTCAGGTTGTGATCCCGGGGTCCTGGGATCGGGTCCCACATCGGGCTCCCCACAGGGAGCCTGCTTCTCCCTCTGCCTGTGTCTCTGTCTCTCTCTGTGTGTATCTCATGAATAAATAAAATCTTTAAAAATAAAAAAAATAAAAATGAAAAAAAAAGAATCTAGATAGAGATACAGAAATAGGTAATGTTAGGTACCATTAATGTTTTGAAATGGGAAGTTTACATTATTACTGACTCTATTTTACCCAAACTTAATTACGAATCATTATCATTAAATTTTTTAAAGATGTATTTATTTGAGAGAGAGCACACATGAGCAGCAGGGAGAAGAAGAGGGAGAGGGAGAGAATCTCAAGCAGACTATTTGCTGAGCACAGAGCACAACATGGAGCTCAATTAATGACCCTGAGATCATGAACCTGAGCCAAAACCAAGAGTCAGCACTCAACCAACTGAGCCACCCAGGCGCCCCCAGAATTATTAAATATTTAGAGAGGCTATTGACTGGTGGTTTACTAAGGTGAAGGTCCAAGTAGGAAATTCCATCAGTAATACTATTAATCTCCCACTGCCTTCTGATACAACCTTCTGATTCTGGTTGTCAGAAAATATATAACCGACTGTGTTTTTCAGCAGTTGGAAATATGTGCAAGTATAAATTAGAAAAATAAAAATTTTGTTAAAATAATAATTCTGTTATTTCTCAAGTAGAGTCTTTTTTGTTTTAATAATAATCCCTAAACAAAACCTACATTCGTATTTGAATCCAAAGCTTATATGCATGAGTTTACTTTTTATTTTCGTGCAATGAAATAGAGCTATCAGATTCTCTGCTTTTCCAAAATTATTATTTTTTAAAAAATTTATTTATTTGACAAGAGAGCATAAGTGGGGGGAGCACTTAGGAGGGAAGGAGGAAGAGCGAGAGAGAGAAGCAGACTCCCCACTAAGCACAGAACTCCACATGGAACTCAATCCCACGACTCTGAGATCATGACCCAAGCCCAAATCATGAGTTGGATGCCCAGCCACTGAGCCACCCAGGTGCCCCATCTTTTACAGAATTATCAACATAAAACCAACATAAAATAATATGCACCAAATTATTGAAATATAGCACTGTTGTCTTTAAATTTCTTTTTTTTATTAGAGTCGGGGGGGAGGGCCAGAGGGAGAGAGAATCTTAAGCAGGCTCCATACCCACCGCGGAGCCAATGCAGGCTCAATCCCACAGCCCTGAGATCATGACCTGAGCCAAAACTGGAGGCAGACACTTAACCAGCTGAGCCACCCAGGGATCCCTGTGTTTAAATTTCTAATTCATGATTATATACCAGTTGAAATTTGAAAACCAGTATGAAAAAACTAAACACGCTGTCAATACTAACCAGAGGTATTTGACCTTTTAGAGACTCAGTGACATGAAACTAATACTTATTAGTGTAATCTATATATGTATTTTAAAACTTGAGGGGGAAAAGTCAGTGCTCAAAAAAATCAAACAGGCCTTTCCTTTAACTGTTGTAGGTAAACGAATTGGTGCAGGTAGAAACATACCTCCGAAGTGAAGGTGTACTGGTCCGATACTGGTATCCCATTGATATGCTGGAAAGGCCCCCAGCAGGCTACCGAAGGACGGCCACCAACGGGCTGGTCACACTCGACAATACCAACCTTCAAATACACAGGTAGAATTAAGCCCTTTTTTCTAGTGGATCACAGAAATTCACTTATCATATTTTACCACAAGAACCTTTCATCATAAATAAGCTTTTCCTTCAAAGCTAAGAGAAAGAGAGAAGGAAGCTTGTGACAGCAAAATTGCAGGAGTTGGGAAGAAATGTTGTAGGATCTGGCGTTAACCCAGACTATGTCACAGGCACTCAGCTGTGAGCCGGCAGCAGGGGCAGGGAGGGGATGGTATTGAGGAGTAGCTGGAGATTGGAAGAATGTGGAAAAGTTATCAAGAGCAAAGCCAGCCCAGTAGAGAGAACTAAGATGATGTCCAGGCCCCACGTGAGCACCCAGCTCATTTGTCCGTTAAGCTAGCCAGGTGTTTTCTTTCTGAATGCATGCACTGTGCCTAGCACTGGGTGGAGGTCACCAAGGAAACATGGGCTTGCCCTCAGTAAGTTGTCTCTCTCTGCTAATTCAAACCTTCTATGGCTTTCCATTTCCCCTGGAGTAGAATCCAAACCATTAACCTGGCTCATAAAACCCATACAAGGGCTCCAAAGTCTCTGCTGTTCCATGTACTCTGTCAGCAGTGCTAGCCTTTCGGGGTGTCTCAGACACACTTGTGTCCTCCACAGTGTCTCTACATGTGCTCTTCCCTCAGTCTGAGGTGCTTTGCCTAGAACTTTGCATGGCCGTCTCTTTCTTGTCATTCGGATCTCAGTATGTCACCTTTCCAAAGAGGCTTTGCCTCACTATCTAAAGTAAGCATGAAGTCACATGTTGTCAAAGCACTGCATCTTACTTCCTGTCCAGGACCTGATGTTTTTGCCTGTTAGTTTGGTTTAACTTATTGTGTTGTGTTTCCTCCTCCTTGGCTATGAGGCTCTGAAAAGCAGAGGCTTTGTCTCTTTGTTAGAGCTCCCAGTGTCTAATCTGGACCCTGGCTCACACTGAAAACTCAAAATATCTGTTGAAAAGGATCCCAAAACATATATGCTTAAATATCAGTATGATAGTCTTAAAAGCTTTTAAAGCTTTATTTCATAAGTCAGTTGTATTTTTGGCAAATGTCTCTGATAGATGTAACTTAATGGCCTTTGACTAGCAACTGAACGAGAAGGCAAGAAAGTGCTTTGTAAGGTTACAGTCAGGCTACAGGTGTAGGACATTTATTCTCAGTATTATGGTGGTGATTGCAGTATCAAGAGAACTAACAAATATGCCACATGGGTTTCATTGATTAATAAAGTGACTGAATTTCTGGGATGTTCATCAGAGGTATGCTCTAAGGCACTCACATGGCTTTGAGAGAAAACTTAGAAAAAGCAGAAGAGGGCTCAGCTGTGACTTCAGAGACATTAGCAGTCTGCAGGAGCTGCTGGGCAGAGCCAAAATAATCTCCCTGCCAACTGCAGCCTCTGAAATCTGAAGAGAAAGCTGTGGGGAGTCAGTAAGGGCTTTCAGCTTGCATATTCAGACCTCCTCTGTTTTACTGCCTCGCCTCTTCTGAGCTGTGCTAGTGCCACCAACAAATGGACCTCCGCAGAAGGAGGAAACAGGTAGGTAGAGGTGGTTTGTTTTAAAGTCTGGCAAAAGAATATTAGAGACCAGTGGAGATGAGAAATAAACCACCTAAATGCAGCATCTTAGCTGTGTTTGTTAGTTTTCTTAGCTGTACAAACTCATCAAATCTTATGTGGCTTAAAGTTAATTGCCGTTATGCCCAAATCTGAGTTATGATAGACCAGTGGTAAATTTAATTCAAATCAGTAGGTGATACAGAATGAGCCCTTATGGCTCCAAGTGGGTTTTAAACCTAGACTTTTTAGAGACAATAGGGCTGCTTCTAACTTGATTTTTTAGTTAGGTGGTTAATACCAGGAGAATTTTTGATAATGGTGATTAGCTTAAAGAAATACAGGGAGCCTCCCCTATGCAAATAATCTAGTATTAGATTATTTGCCAAGACATGTGATTCTAAATGAGACTTGCTTAGCCACTAATGAGCTGTTATTCTATAACAGCTGCAGTGAGCTATAGTTCACATACTGTGAACCCATTTAAAGTCTGCAAGTCAGTGGTGTTTAGTATGTTTACAGAAGTGTGCAGTACTCACCAAAATCACTTTTAAAACCTTTTCATCACCCAAAGGAGAAATTCCATGCCCATTCTCTCTTCCAGCTCAACTCTCTTCCATTTCTATGGATTTGCTTGATTCTGGAGTCTGTGAAATGTAATAACGTACTGTGTGGTGCTTTGCGTCTGGCCCTTTTCTCTTGGCATGGTGTCTTCAACGATGTGGATCGTAGCAGGTGTCAGTGCTTTATCCACTGTGTGGATTTACTGTTCTTCACTTGATGGACATTTGGGTTGTTTCCCTTTTTTGGCTACTCTAAGTAGTGCTCATGTAAACATACATGTAGAAGTTTTTGTGTGGACCTCTATTTTCATTCCTTTTTTCCAAAGTGATTTTTGAGTAGAGAAAATCCAAACATGCTTAAATATGACTATTTAAGACACAAATGACTAGCTTGGTGTACAGAAGCCAAGGCTGGAAGAGTGGCCTTGCAGCCCAGACCTGGCACTCAGTGCTTCTCCCACTTTCCTCGTAGAGAGCTGCTTCGGTGCGAGGCGGCGCTGGCCAGGCTGTACTGCCGCATGGCCCTGCTCAACATCTTTGCCCCGAAGCTGCCACACTTGTTCACCCGCCTCTTTCACATCCCTGCCATCCGGGATATCACCCTGGAGCACCTGCAGCTGCTCTCCAATCAGCTCCTGGCTCCTCCCCTCCCAGGTGAGCCTTAGCTTCCAGCCATACCTGGTGATACCAGCTCAGGGTGGGATAATCCTGAAAGTGAGCTGGCCCTAGGCAGGAGACTGGGAGGGTGATGGACCTGCTCTCCACTCTCCATGTGGTGCAGGGCCTCCAGATTAGTACAGATAAACAGCTCTGAAAAGTCTCAATGATTTGGGCTCTACTTTCTCACTTTGAAAAATGGAAGTAAACTATATGACCTGTTTAGTCCTTGACTTGTTAAGCACTCATTGAGCTTCCTGACCAAATTGTGGATCAAGGAAAATTAAGCATCACTTAGGAAGTCCTGTCACTGTACAATTCTCACAGACATTCTCACAGGCATTGTTTAGAAAGGAAAATGTTCTTTTTAACAAGCTCCTCCACAGCAGACTTTACTGGTTCATTGTGACTTCCGGTGGAGCTGTTTCAATGGGCCAGGTTGTGTGTATCTGCTAAGCTTGGAGCCCTTGGCAAGGCCCGATGCTGTGTTTGCTCCCTGGCAAATGCTAAATGGTGAAGCTGCTTAGCCCAGTCCAGGACCCTCTGTCTTCCCCCAGCACCTCAGCCTTTGCCTGCTCATCTTGGCCTCCCAGAAACGAAGATAGGCCTAGCAGGCATCTCCCAACTGTGGGCTCCCAGCCAGTGTGTGTGTGCTGGGGTCCCCAGACCCACCCCAAGAACACAGAGGCTCTAAAACATCTGGAAAGCTGTAAAGTGTGTGTGGAAGAAACTTTGTTGTAATGACCTAACACTTGCTTTACAGACTCCCCAGCAGTTCCTTGGGGGAGCCTCGGGGTGGGCCAGGACACATGAAGTCAGGCTATGGGAACCCCTGCATCTAAGCAGCTCCACTTCTGTTTAAGAAACTTGCAAAAAAAGAAAAGAAAGGAAGAGAAAGAAAGAAAGAAACAAACAAACTTGCGCCTCCACTTCAGATTTGATTTTAGGAAACAGTTTTGTTGCTTAAAAGAAAGGAAAACTTTAGACCACTGATGTGAACCCCTTCTTCTAACCTGACAGTCCGTAGGATCTGATTGGTAATGTCTTATCCGAGACATTGTGTCTGAGCTACCCTGTCTTGGTTAACTGGGCAGGCTGCTCATTGTTACCCAGGCTCTACCCGCCATTGGCTTCTGTTCTGGTGAACTTAGATTTTCTTCCCTGACCCCAGATGGCACCATCAGCTCCAGCTCCATCCTCTTGGCACAGTCTCTGCACCATTGCGTCCACTCCCAGAACTGCTCAGCCACAGACCTCTTCTACCAGGGCAGCTCCCAGACAGTAAGAGAGTGGCTCAATGTGGCCATCACCCGGACTCTGCATCAGGGTGAGGAGAGCCTGTTGGAGCTGACGAAACAGATCTGCTCCTTCCTCCAGGTAGAAGTCTAAAGCTCTAAGTTCCCTGAATTGGGGTTATAATTCTTAATCAGAAGTCTTGTTGGCTTACTAAAAATGACACTCTCTCTTCCCCAAACCTGCCCCCTTCCCCTAACCAGTCTCCTTTTCCTCAAGGCTTTCTCCCTTGTCCCATCCGTAGTGGCCTTTCTCCCCGAGGGCTTTCTTGTCCCACTGAGCCTGTGACTGCATATGCATTGGCTCCATCCTTTGCCTGGGAGTTGGGGAGGATGATATGCTCTCTTGTGTGTAGCCCATGGCTTTCCTTGTTAACTCTCTTTGCAGACAGCACCTGAGCAGTTCCCCTCTGAAGAGTTCCCAATTTCGGAGTCCAAAGTCAACATGGATGTTAATTTCCCTGGGGCAGCTTTTGTTGTCGTGTCTTGCAAAGAAAGTCAGTCTGGATTCCGTAAAGAGTAAGTTGCCCATTCTCCAGGAGAGCTGATGGGAGAAAAAAGAAAACTGGAGTCTGGTGAAACTGACAGGAGAAAAACTCAAATTGTTTTTACTCTTTCACATGTACCTAATTTGAAAATAGTCTATAGTTCTTCTCATATTTCCGCGTTTGGGAAATTCACCCTTATACAGAACGACCCTCTAAGATGTGGAAATGACCTCCAAATGCCCATTCTTACCCTCCATTTCATCCCTGGCATATGCGGCCGGGCTCTGCTGACCCTCCCTTTCGCCTCCACAGCTCCTCCCTGTACAAGGCGCCGTGGGCGCGGGTGCTCGTGTACGGGCTTGGCCACAAAGTCAAGCGAAACGGTCAGCTAAACCTGATCGAGGCTGTCTGTTATCCACGGGATGCGTCTCCGGCCAACACTGGCCTTACACCGCCGCCTACCGCCAACCAGTACCCCTCTGTGATCCTCTCCACAGACAAGGTCCACATCAAACTGGGTATGTCTCTGAGTTAGCGCTTGATAAGAACAGCATGAAGTCATTTTTTGCTTTCCTTCTTTTTGACAATAGAAAGGACTTTGTACCTTGCTGTGTTCCGGTTTCTTGCCAGTAAAGAACAAGAGGTGCTCAGGACAGTGTACTTTAGGGGCAGGAGATGAAATATGCTTTTCTTGCCTGGGGCAGGCCTGGCAGATGCTGCTTAGACTTCAGTGGGGATTTCCTTTTCTTTCCTTTCCTTTCACAAGCGTGCGCTCTGTGGAATGACCTGAACAGAGTGGTCATGTAGTTGCCGTAATTCCAGTGGCCTTCCTCCAGCGTTCATTAAAACTTAATTCTCTCAGGAGTGGGTGGCTCCCTGGGGTGCAGGTAAACAGCCTGGTGGCCAGGGGAGCAGGCCCAGTTGGTCTTGTCTTCCTGGCATTCTTTGCTAAGCCTGCGCATGTTTATGTGGGGGCTCCCCCTCTGCTGACCCCTGCTTGTGTGCCCCATGCCCTGGTGCCAGCTGACTGTTTCTGAGAGAACACAAGGAGGCAAGGAAAACCTGGTCAGACTTCCACTGCACTTCCTTGTCGTGTTTGACAAGGAAGGATGGATCCATGTTCATTAGAGACAAATATAAATTTATTTGACCTCTGAGGAAAAACAAACAAACAAAAAACCACTTTGATGATATCTTTTCATTAGGGCTGATTTATAGTGCTTTGCCTTCACTAGCTGCTCTTTAAACTTTATAATTAAATAAGCAGAAGATCTCTATCTTCTCACTCCCCAGTTATCACAAGATAAACGTTCACCCCAAAATGCAGCCCAGTCCAGCATGGTTCCTCCTGACTTGTCCCAAGATCCCCAGGCCCCTAATGGCCTGACTTATGTCTGATCAGAACTTGCAGCGGGCCTTGGGGTGTGGTGCAGGATGTGGTAGAGGGTGGGTGTCAAGCCTTGGGGTCTTTTCCCTCTCACTGTAGCATCTCTGGCCAGATTTAGGCCGTGCAGTGACACAAGGTAATGAGGAAGAATCCAAGCCGAGGAGTCTGGTAGCGCTAGTCCACTCTGTAACCTGATACAAGCTTATTGGTCTCATGGGATTGCAGCCACACCCCAGCTGCAATCCAGGTGATTAATAAACAGCTGATTATTCCTTTACCAAGCCAGGAATATTCTAATGAAGCATCTTTAAGGTCTGACTTAGTATTTCCATGCTGGCTTATTAGGCTGGCCAGTATCTAAGCAGCTAGTGAGTATTTATCCTCCCTATTCTCGTCTCTGCCCATTGTCCCCTCATTCCACTGATAAATGGACTCTTTGGAGGGATGGCCTCTGACTTCTCCCGCACCTGCAGCGGACTCTGTGTGGGGGTTATGTTTCCTTTCGCCTCCAGAAGATGAGCAGATTGGCTTTCCTTCCAGCTCTGTTCTTCCACACACACCTGGTGGGTCCCTTTCTTAGGCTTATTTTGATCAGGTGCTGCCAATTACGAGACTTCTTCCTTGGCCTCTCTTCTAGGGGTGTCTCCACCTCCTGGAGCTGTGCTAGTGTTGCATTCTCTGCCCCTGGAGTTCCCTCTGGCTATGGCCTTCACGGAACAGCTGCTGTCCTGGAGGTCAGAGGATGGTGAAGGGAGATCCGAAGATGAGCCTGACACCATCCCCACATCTGTCCTCCTGCAAGTTGTGGAGCTGCTGGGTAAGGCTTACCTTCCCCCCACACTGGGGCTGGGAGAGCTAGCTTAGTGCCTGAGGAAGGGGCTTGTCACTGGTGGTCTCTTGTTAGGTGGGTGTCATTTGAAAAGGGCTTATGGAGTTGACAGTCATATAGAGCCTAGCCTTCTTGGTTTTTTGAAAATTTATTTATTTATTTTGAGAGAGAGAGAGAGCACATAGGAGGGGGAAGGGATGAGTGTCTCAAGCAGATTCTGGACAGAGGCCAACATAGGGCTTGATCTCACAACCCTGAGATCACGCCCTCAGCCGAAACCAAGAGTCAGACACTTAGCTGACTGTGTCCCAACAGACGTCCCTGCAATCTCACCTTCTACATACATGACAGTGCAGGGTATTATTATTTTGAGGGGTGGCAACTAACCATGAAAATTAGATTATTTTTTATCATACTTTAAAACATGAATATGTGCCATTTTCATAACTTTGGAGATGAAAGGTGGTGTAGGAGTAAATAATGTTGCAGGATTAAACATTATAACTTCATAGTTCCTGAAAGGTTAAAAGGGGTTGCATTTTGGTAAAATTCAATAGGAAGGTAAACTTCAGAGTTGTGTATTTTTCCATATGTAAATTCACCTCAAATTCTAAATAAATATTGAACTTCATTAGTGATATATCTGCCTAAGTGTTCAGGGATAAAACAGACTAACGTCTGCAACTTATTTTGAAATAACTCACCAGATGAGTTTCTGGGTGAATAGAGGGGTAGATAGGTAGCTACATAAGAGCAAATACTGCAGAGTGTTACTAGGAGAACCTGGTGGTGTATGCACAGGTGTTTACTGTATAAGTAGCTCAACTTCCCTATACTTTTGAAATTATTTATGATGTAGGAGGGAAAAAGTCTGCTTGTATGCCCTCAGGGGTCAGACAGATGTCGTCAGTGGGGGACATGAGAGTGGGCCAGAGCACCTCATGCTCTGCCAGTCTCTGAGCCCTGTCACTCATTGCTACATGAGAAGGTGACCCCGATCCTGCCAGGTATTATTACATTTTATTTCAAGAAAAGCCAGTAATGTAGATATTGATGTGAATTTCCCAGTTTTTCAATGTTGGCAACTAAATTTTTTTTTTTTTGTAAGATTTTATTTATTTGACAGGGAGACAGCACAAGCAAGGGGAGTGGCAGAGCGAGAGGGAGAAGCAGGGAGCCTGATGTGGGGCTCAGTCCCAGGACTCCGGGATCTTATGACATGAGCCAAAGGCAGATGCTTAACCAACTGAGCCACCCAGGCACCCTTCAAATTCCTTAAAATACTTTGGGGCATAGGATCAAGGAAGGTGAGCAGGAAACCACTATGAGAAGGAGAGGTCTGTGGGAAGTCTCCACTCACGGCTGCCATTTGCAATCTGGGTGGAGGATAATTCTCTCTAAGGCCAACCTCTTACAGAGGTGGCAAAAAGCAGAGGAAGGACGATGGTGAGGAGGTCACCTGAGCATCCGAAGGGACACCCCTGAGGCCCATAGACACTTGCTTGTTCTCTGTGAATGGTTTCCTGGGACCCCACGTGGCATGACCAGCATGAGTTTATTTTCAGTTAAGTTACAAAGCAGCATCACCCCTAGGAGATCAGGCAGCTTAATGTGAATTTAAGATGCACATCTGACACGAAGGGGATCTTAGAACAAACCTGTGACCCATCTTCTTGTGCTAGACCCTGTTTCCTGAACTTCAGTCCTCCTCATTACAATCTTTATGTGATTGTTGTGCCTGTTGGTATTTATTGTTTTGGTTTTTTGGCAATCAACTCTTTTCTCCTTTTTTTAAACTTTAATTTTAAAGGAAACTTTATGTTGCCACTTTAAATGAAAAATTAGTATCCCTTGCCATAATTAGAAGGTTTACTATAAAATAGTTTCCGTTAGGAAATTTGACCATTGTTGCCTGTCAGAGGCTCTGGGTCTGTGGCGCATTCTCTATGAAAGATACACTTCCTGCAGTAAGACTTTTTTGTGGACAAAATCAGGACTGGAAGGGGAGTAAGGAAGGAATACCTTGGGGTGCCTGGGTGACTTGGTTAAGTGTCTGCCTTTGGCTCAGGTCATGATCCCAGGGTCCTGGGATTGAGCCTCACGTTGGGCTCCCTGCTTAGCAGGGGTTCTGCTTCTCCCCTCCCTGCTCATTCTCTCTCTCTCTCACTCTCTCTCTCTCTCTCAAATAAATAAATAAATAAAATCTTAAAAATAAAAGGAATATCTCATCAGTTTGTTGTTCTGGGTTGTCTGAGAAAATTGGATTGTGTGTCTCCAATAGTAAGCATCTCATGATTTGGGAAATACTATTCTTGTGACTTGTCACCAACTCATTTGATAAACCTTATGAGAAAGAAAGAAATATTTTTTGGTGTGAGCCATAGAACCCAGCTCTGCGCAATCATGTGGCATAGGGGTTAAGACCATAGGCTCTGGGGGCCATCAGCCAGGCTTCAGCTCTTTGAGCCTCTGTTTTTTCATCTGTGAGATAGGGATTGATAACACAGCGCCAGGAACAGTCCTCAGTAAGGAACAAGTGCCATACAAGTGACAGCTGCTATTACTGTTTTATATTTGCCTCAGGAAACTTCCTGTGGACCACAGACATGGCGGCCTGCGTGAAGGAGCTTGTTTTCCATCTCCTGGCGGAGCTGCTGCGCACAGTGCATGCCCTGGAGCAGAGGAAGCACCCTGCTGGCCTGTCCTCCTCCATTGCCCTCCAGCTGAACCCCTGTCTGGCCATGCTGATGGCTTTGCAGTCAGAGCTCCATAAGCTATACGATGAGGAGACCCAGAGCTGGGTCTCGGGCAGCACATGCGGAGGCTCAGGGTCAGCGGTGACCACCGACCAAGGCAGGTTCTCTACATACTTTCACGCACTCATGGAAGGTTGCCTGGCAGTGGCCGAAGTGACCCTGCCCACCAACATGAGCGTCACAGCCAGCGGGGTGACCTCGACAACCACTCCAAATCTCAGTGACTCCTCGTCCTCCTCATCCTCCTCCCCGGGACAGACACCACAGAGCCCCAGCCTCCTGTCTAAGAGGAAGAAAGTCAAGATGAAGCGGGAAAAGGCCTCGTCCTCTGGGAAACGCCAGTCTTCCCGCTCGGTGGAGTCAGACTCTGCCGTGCTCAGCATTGGGGGCAGCAAGCCAGAGGACATGCTGTGGTTTCATCGAGCCCTCACCCTGCTCATCATTCTCCGACACCTCACCAGGAAGGACCCACAGGGGCTGGGTGTGACAAGCGATGCCATCGCTGACGCCTGCCAGGCGCTGGTAGGCCCCACTGCACACAGCCGCTTGCTGGTGATCTCTGGAATCCCCACCCACCTGGACGAGGGTGTCGTCAGGGGTGCTATCCGTAAGGCCTGCAATGCCCACGGTGGGGTCTTTAAAGATGAGATCTACATCCCCCTGCAGGATGAAGACCCCAAGAAGCCAAAGGATAAGGCTGAGGGTGGTGATGGAAAAGCTGAACCAGAGAAGACCCTTGGCTTCCCCAGCACGGACAGTTTGGAGGTCAGCACATCCAGCAGCCTGACCCCTGCCATGAGCATCAGCGCATCTGCTTCCACCAGCCAGGCCTCCATCTGCAGCTCCCAGGGTATCTCTCAGACAGTCAGTGACCTCTCTGTGGATCCACTGCCCTCAGGCCTCGAGCCACCCATCCCTCCTGGCTTATTGGAGCCCCACGTGGTATCCAGCCAGGAGAGTCTAGACATCTCCCTATGCAGCACTGGCAGCCTGGGGAGCCTGGGGAGCCTGGGGGAGCCACTGGACAATGCAGAGACAGCCTCTGTGTCAGACATGGGCTCCATGTACACGGTCACATCCCTGGACAACCAGCCCCTCGCAGCACGCCCCATCAAAGGCTTCGCAGTCGTGGAGGTAACAGTGCTCATGCCTTGGCAACCACTAAAATCATGAGCAGCTTGAATCCCTCCCCCCTTGTAAAACATCCCAGTATTATTTCCAAGGGATTAAGCGATAGGTGATATTGGGGCTCCCTGAGGCAGCTCTTGGAAGCTGCCATGATTTATTATGTTGATTATCTGTGTCTGAGGTCACATTTTGAAGAGTGAATTCAAGCCTGATGTCATGAAGTAAATGTGGTTTGTTGCTGAGTATGGGAGGGAGACAGAGGGGATCAAGGGCCTGACCTTTCCCGGTGGATGGTCTTTATCAAGTGCATTCCAGCTCAGGCCCACCGGTATATATCTGAGTGGCCTTAGGTGGTTTTAAACATTGCTATCAGCAGGAGGGATCTAAGCTGATCCTGTGAGAACAGACTTGCCATTCTGTTCTGGGTGATTCTGAGTTTCCAGGTCACATTTCCACTTCAAAATCCCATCTGCTCTCAAAAAAAAAAAAAAAAAAAAAAAAAAAAAAAAAATCCCATCTGCTTCTTGGGCCTCCTTGTTCAGAAATCCTACATCCAAAAAAAAATAAAAAAGGAAATCCTACATCCTGTGTCTTCACCCTTGTGTGAGGGGAGTCAGGCTCAGAATAAAGCTGTCCTCCCATTATTGGATATGGTGAGGAAGGCACTAGAAGGGAAAGGGTATTGCTTTGCTCTTCCAGAGAACTAACAGGAGAGCTCAAGAACCCAGTGGTTGGTTTATTCCCTGGAATCACTTAATATATGCACTTTCTTCCTGGGGGCTTTCTCAGAGCTGAGTGTGGACTTTAGCTCCTTGGGCATGAAAGTAAAGCTGCAGACCTGATTGGGGTTTAGCAACAGAGATTTCTGGCTGAGATGTCCCCCTCCAGGTTACTGCAGTTGATGTGAAGCAGAGACATTCCCAGTGAGGCCAGCTCGTGTGAGTCAGCACTCACAGCACTGAGACCAGGAGAGGATTTCAGGGAAAGGTGGGAAGGCAAGCAAGGTCATTACTCCAATCCTGACCCTTCTCTCTGTTCACACAGATAAGATCCCGAGCCAAAATTGAGAAAATTCGAGCAAGTTTATTTAACAATAATGACTTGATTGGTTTGTCAAGTTTGGATGGTGAAGATGAATTGATGGAGATGTCAACAGAAGAGATTCTCACTGTGTCTGTAGTAAATCAGAGCCTGTTTGATACTCAGGGGAGCCCAGGGTTAGAGGATTACTTCAATGATAAGTCAATTAAAGGTGGGTTATGGAATTTTTTTTTTAATTAACAGACTTTTTTGGGAGCAGTTTTAAATTTATAGGAAAAAATGAGCCTAAGTCCTCTGCTCTCTCTGTACCCAATATCTACTACTTTTTTAATATCCTACCTGAGAAAGGAATTTTGGCAGCCACCCGAATTGAGAAGATGCTGGGGGGCTCTCGGGAGATGGGACAGATGTTTTCTGTTTGGCTCATGGAAGCTGGCAGGGCTCTGAGGACCATGAGGGCACCCTTGCCTCTAGCCTGCTGTGCTCCAGCCTGCTGAGAGAGCGCCAGGAACGATGTGCCACAGCCTGCCTCGGGCTCAGAAGTGGTCTTGTAAATGAAATTGATGAATCAGCAAATTCTGCCCCTGAAACTGATAATACAAATACACTCTATATTAACAAAATCGAATTTAAATGAAAAAAAATTTTTAAGTGGGCATCCCTAGATAAATAGTATTTTGTTTTACTTATTTATTTTTAAAGGTTTTATTCATGAGAGACAGAGAAAGGCAGAGACATAATCAGAGGGAGAAGCAGGTTCCCTGCATGGAGCCTGATGTGGGACTTGATCCCAGGATCCTGGGATCACACCTTGAGCCAAAGGCAGACACTCAACCACTGAGCCACCCAGCTGTCCCGATAAAATAATACTTTAACTGAATATTTATAGAAGTTAAAATCAAGACAAAATACCCACAAATGAACAGACTTTACTATTTTAAATAGTAAAATTTTAAATAAAGATGGAATCGGTATTACTGATTATTCCTTTCACATCAGGCTCTAATATGGCCTGGCACAGTACTGTTGATATATTAATTTTGATTTCTTTTTCTGATTCATTTTGAAATATGGATCTTGATCACTGCATTTTTGGGGAATCTTGCACCTGTGGGGGACACCTGGGTCTCCTCATCCCAGTCTTAGCACCAGCCTCGTATTACTATGCATTTGGCCCCTCAGCTCTCTGCAGCCCACGTGGAGATGACTGCCATAAGGTCTGAGGCCTTTTTCTGCCATAACTAATGCTCTGCCAGCCAAAAAAACTAATGTATTTTTGTACATTGAATCTGAATTTAGATCTAGTTCCTGGTCCAATTCTAGTCAGACCTTCTACTTGGTCATTTTGCCATGTTGGTGCCACACACATTTTGCTAGAGACTCTTAAATTAGGGTCCTGCTGAGTCCACTCCCTCCTCAGCCTGGGGCCCGTGAGACCCTGTGGGCAGGGCAGGAAGGAGAAGGGAGTGATGAGCAAGGCATTTTAGCCCTGTATCTGGGCCTTTGGCCACGAAAAGCATCAGATGGGGTTCTGATGGATTCCTGAGGCCCACCCTCTGGAGCACTTGTTTGGGAACAAAAAAAAATTTTTCTCTCGTGCTCGTGGACAGTTTTCTTATATGTGAGAACTTTCTTTTGCCACCTGCTCATTGTGCCATTTTTGAACCATACTCTCTAATAGGAAACTTGCTTGACGACTTGTGCTTTGCACCAACAATACTTTCAGGCTCTGTATCCTTCTGTTCCTTTGGAACAGCCCATCACAAATGTGTTAAGGTAGATTAAACTGCTATAATAAGTAGCCCTAAGAGTACAGTGGCTCAAATGCAGTGGAAGTGTGTTTCTTGCACATGGAAGAACCCAGGGGGAGTGCCGAGGTCTGCCATCCCAGGGGGGTGTCATTTCTAGGCAGCCAGTGGAGGGGGTCAGTGCAGAAGAGAGCAGACTGGGAGTGGCTCACGTCCCACATCACAGGACCACACCCAACAGCAGCTGCAGTGTGTGCCCAGAAAGAGGAAACCAGGTTTCAGTGGGTAGCTTGTCATCACCACTCAACGTCTGTTACCTACATTCAAAACGGAGTTGTATATGAGAAACAGAGATCTGCAGGGCTTATCATGATGTGGCATGTTCATGGCAGAATTGTTTTGTCCTCTCCCCGTTTTGTAACAGGTGAGAAGCTGGTGCCCGGTGCCAGAGAGGTGCTCACAGAGATATTTAAGAGCTGTGCCCATTCAGAGCAGATGCTGAGCCTTACACCAGCAAAGCCCATCAAAGTGTCAGACATTTATCTTAGCAAAGAGCAGATCAACTCCCAGACACCAGGCAACCTCCTCCACCTCTTCTTCACCAATGTCCGGCCTCCCAAAAAGGTGCTGGAGGACCAGCTCACCCAGGTAGCCACCCATCCCCACCATGCTGAGGCTGGGCCTCGGGCACGCCTTGAGGTGATCCTGAGGACCCCTATCTCCCTTTGGTGCTCTGCAGATCCTGAGGAAATATGGCGTGCCAAAACCCAAGTTCGACAAGAGCAAGTACAGCAAAGGCGGGAAAGAGCAGCACCCCGTGAAAGTGGTGAGCACCAAGCGGCCCATCACCAAGCCACCTGCCAAGGACAAGACTGTGCTCAACAGTGTCAGGTGGGCATCTGAGGAACTCAGAAGATGGGCTGGGCAGGGACCTAGGGCCTCCTCCTCCAAGGCTTCCTGCCAGGCTCTCTGGACCTCTGGGGAGTGGACACCCTGGCTCTCCTTTGCAGCTGTTATTTTTGTCCCCAGCTTCATCAACTGAAAAAGCGTGTTTCATTCTATCCACAAGTGTAGTAAAATCTGGACCACACAGGCAGACAAAAGCAGACCAGTCTGAAGTAATAAACCATCCCAAATGTACAGAATTGTTTAAAAAAAAATCTGACGACTTTTAACCACACAAATAATGCATAGTTATTATAGAAAAACTATAAAATGCATATTGAAAAAATATATAACTACCCCACACATAGCAAACACTTTTAACAGTTTAAGTACCTAAGCTTTTATTGATGCATATATATATTATTTTCTTAAATTTTAAATGGCTAAAGGGGCACCGGAGTGGCTCAGCCAGGTAAGCATTCAACTCTGTTTCGGCTCAGGCTGTGACCTCAGAGTAGTGAGGTTGAGCCTGGAGTCAGGCTCCACACTAGTCGTAGAGCCTGCTGAAGATTATCCTTCTCCCCTACTGTGCTCCCCCCCAAGAAGCTCACTCTCTCTCAAAAGAATAAATTTATTTTTTTTAAAGATTTTACTTATCTATTCATGAGAGAGAAAGAGGCAGAGGGAGAAGCAGGCTCTCCACAGGAGCCCGATGTGAGACTCGATCCCAGACCCTGGGATCACGCCCTGAGTCAAAGGCAGATGCTCAACCACTGAGCCACCCAGGTGTCCCAGAATTAATTAATTTTAAATGGCTAAAATAGTACAGAATTCAAAAGCATATGCAGCGAAAAGCTACTCCTCTTCCCTTAATCCTCCAGGCTCCCTGTCCCTCTCCATGAGACTGCCAGTGTTACTTCCCTAGCCTTCCAGAACTCTTCTGTGTATACACAAGAAATGGGCACATGCCCAGATGTCCCCATACCTCACATGGTGGCCTGTACCTTGCTGTTTCCATTTACTGCTAATCTGGGAGGTGATTCCATATATGCACAAAAAGAACTTCCTCATTCCTTTTTGAGAGGGGAATTATTTGAGTGAGAGCATGAGTAGGGGGTAGGGGCAGAGAGAGAGGGAGAAGGAGATTCCTTGCTAAGCAGGGAGCCTGATGTGGGGCTTAATCCCAGGACCCCAGGTTAGTGATCTGAGCTGAAGGTAGACACTTAATAGACTGAGCCACCCAGGCGACCCTCCTTTTTTTTTTTTAATAGCTCTATAATATTTCATGTATGGATATGCATACATATTTAATAGAATTTTCTGTAGACCTAGGTAAATAACTCAAGAAGTCAAAATTGAAACTTTGATAGCAAAATGTTACCTGGCGAGAATCTCCAATAGGAATTGTTTGAAGGATCAGAAAAATAGTGTCTTTATTAATAAATCATACATAAATTGTGCTCATAAATCAGTACAGTGCAATAAAATTTTCTACGATGGAAATCTGTGCAGTTTCCCTGTTTGCTATTGAATCCGGTCACCAGTAGTCACATATGGCTACTGAACACTTGAAATGTGGCCAGTGTGATCAAGGAACTGAGTTTGTATTTTTTTTTTTTTTAATTTAAGTAGCTATGTCTGGCTAGTGACTACTTCTTAGTACAGCTCTAAAGGTTGTAGAAGGAATGAAAAGCATGTCTCACAGTGAAAGCATCCATTTGTCCTCCTGATTTGCTCAGGGAACTTCTTGGTAGGAACAGAAGCCCTTTGGGAACCGGGGACTGTAGTTGCGGGAGTCCGAACTCATGCATGTATGAGGCTCAGTGCATCCTCTGTCAGGATGAGGTGTGAACACAGGAATTCTGATTGCAATGCTCTGGTCTGCAGCAGGACTGCCTTAAGTGAGAAGAAGCCAACTGTGAAGCCAAAGTCCCCCGAAAAGAGCAAGCCAGATGAGAAGGACCCAGAGAAGTCACCCACCAAAAAACAAGAAGGTGAATGAGCAGCTTGGGCCTGGACTGGCAGGCCCCTGGGACCAGCCTCCTGGCTTCTGCCAACTTGCCTGGGCTCCCTTGGGGTTTGGATTAGGCACGTCCTCGATGCCATCTTTGACCATGAATTTATGGAGGTCAAACTAGCTCCCAAGATACCATGCTCCCAGGGCAAAGAATAGATGATAGCGATTGAAAGTAAAGATCTGGAAATCTGTTTAGAAATTTGCTTCCAGAGGCATTTACCTGGGCATTAGAACTTGAGCCTCATAAAAGCCCAAGCAGAGCTGGAGAAGTCAGGCTGTGACTTGCTGACCCCATGAGGTCAGGGATTGTGGTTGGCCTCAGGTGGTGGGTGGAGGCCAATGACAGACCCTGGAGGGCCAGGAGGTGGGGCACAGGTGGATTGGGCCCCCTCAGAGATGCCACCAGGGCATTCCGCGAGGTCCCTGCTGTGGGAGGTTCTTCCAGACTCCTAACTCTCAACATTTCTCCATCAGTCCCTGAGGAGAAATATCTAACCTTGGAAGGATTTCACAAGTTTGTTATTGACCGAGCCAAGCAAGACATCCGTAGTGTCTGGAGGGCAATTTTATCCTGTGGTTATGACCTTCACTTTGAGAGGTAAGAAGTTGCCCCTCTACCCAGTTGATACCTTGCATAAAAATTGTTTTCAGCCACCAGAGGCATCCCCGAGAAAATCCCTGCTGGACACCATTTCATCTGCTGCTCTAAAGGCCTACTGAGTTTCTAACTTTTTGTAACTGTCAAAATGGGTTTTAGAACCCACTTGGAAACAAACTCTGTTCCAAACAACAAATTCATCTTCTCGCAGTTCTGGAGGTCAAGGCATCAACAAGGTTGGTTTCTGCTGAGGCTTATGGACAGTCACCTTCTCCCTGTGCTCACATGACCTTGCCAGTGTGCAGCCCGTCCCCACTGCTGCCCACCTCTGAGGAGGACGGCCGCCTGCTGGGCCTGGGCCCTGCCCTGAGGGCCTCCTTTACCTCAGTTAGCTCTTTAAAGGCCCCATCTCCTCACACATTGGGGGTTAGGGCTTCACGGGAATAGGGCTTCACACATTGGGGGGATGGGCAGACACACTTCAGTCCCTAACCCCTAACGAGATAGTTTCTCATTCCAAAGACCCTTTGTTCCTCAGAGTCCTGCTTTGTCTCTGAGTCTCCATTCTCACTCTCCCTGCCTGGCAGCTGCTCACCAGGTCCCCAGGGCCAAACATGGTTTCCCCTTTCTCCAGGCAGGCGTGGTACTTACAAACTAGAAGAAACCTCCCTGCCCTCACTCAGGTGCTCACCCCCAGGTGCACAGCAAAGAATGCATTTCGGGCATCAGGGAAGGAACATCACTTTTAAAGGAAGCATCTCTTTTAAAATCCGTTTTCAGAGTCTGACCCTGGACCAGTTTTCTGATTTATTTTAGAAGCCAGTAAGACAGATGACTTTGGGGTCTTTTGAGTAGTAGAATCCCGTTTTGGATTAGAAAGTGCATTTGAAGTGCGGAAGGGCACAGATTGTCCTGCAAATGAATTCCCAATTGTTATAGCTAGAGGGCTTGTTTGTGGGCCCCATGGGGCCCGTCCTGGCACCCTGCTGCCTCCTCCCTACCCCACACCTGGTCTAAGGGCCAGTGGCATCTTTTGTAGTCAGTCAGCTTGCAGGGGGTTATGAGGGGACCCTCCTGCAGAGGGGGAGATCCCCTTCTGGAGGAAGCTGTCTCTCTCTCAGCCCTCCTTGGGAAGGACCCAGGAGACCTGTCTCAAGAAGCTGTGCCACTGCCCCAAGATAGGCCCTCCTACCAGGGGGCACCCCGTGTGGCATGTAGCCTAGTGAGGTGCCATGGGCTCTGGAGTGGGAGGCACCCATCCACCCGCCAGCCAGCCTGCTTGCCTTTCTGGGGGCACACTCACCAAAAATCACGGACACAGAGATTTCCCATGATTCTGTGCCCAGGATGGTCATTTTGTAAAGCTTCAGTAAATGTGTCTCCTGACATTTTCTGGGGCTGGATTTTTTCAGTATTTAGAAGTGGGTTCACATAAGACCTCTGCTGAGGGTCGTGGCTTCAGTGAGACCAGTGGCTGGCACCTTCAGCCACCTCTGGGGACAACACACAAGGCCAAGCTGCCCCCTAGCTCCATTTCCCAGGGGAGGAAACCCGGGCTCTGAAAGCAGCCACCTTGGTGGCCCAGGTCACCAGGCAGCCTAGATTTCAGCCCAAGGACTCTAGAGCCCCATCCTGAGCTGTCTGCCCTCTGCCACATGCAGGATGCATGTGGCCAGAGCCCGGGGAGGTGGCACCACTCCTCCCTTCAGGCCTGCTGTGCTGGCTTCTCCGGGCGGTGTGGGGGAGCTCCTCCCTTCGCAGGGGCCGTCAACACCTTGGTCCAGCACCAAGAAACCTGCCATGAAGCGAGGCTCTGTTCCAGACACCTGTCGGGAGCTGGAACGTGGCCACTGCCCCACCTTGCCCTTCTTGCCTGGCCCCAGGTGTGCCTGCATCGACGTCCGACATGCACACAAAGCATCAAGGAAATGGACCCTGGAGATGGACGTGGCGCTCGTGCAGTATGTCAACCGGCTGTGCCGCCACCTTGCCATCACGCCCGCACGGCTCCACCCCCATGAGGTGTATCTGGATCCTGCAGATGCCGCCGACCCCAGAGTGGCCTGTCTCTTGAGTATGTGGGTCCTGGGGAAGTGGCTGTCAGGGACTGCCCCCAGGCTGCCTGGGGGCATCTCTTACAACAGTCCAGGGGGTTTAGAAAGACTAGATGTGGGATCCCTGGGTGGCTCAGCGGTTTGGCGCCTGCCTTTGGCCCAGGGCGCGATCCTGGAGTCCCGGGATCGAGTCCCACGTTGGGCTCCCGGCATGGAGCCTGCTTCTCCTTTGCCTGTGTCTCTGCCTCTCTCTCTCTCTATGTCTATCATTAATAAATAAATAAATAAATAAATAAATAAATAAATAAATAAATAAATAAATAAATAAATAAATAAATATATCTATCTTTAAAAAAAAAAAGAAAGAAAGACTAGATGTGCTTTTCGTGGCCATCGATTGAGTCCTTAGGATCACCTGCTATGAGCCATATGGGCAAAGAAGAGGGAGAAAGACACAAAGCTGTCGTTGCAACTAAATTAAATGAGTGAGGCCTTCTCCGTGTTCCTGTAAGCAAGTGGCAGACAGGCATGCAGCCAGCTGGGAGGCTGTCACACCCGGGCCCCTGCCTAGAAGCCACCACCAGTGCCAGGCTGATGTTGGGAGGGAGCAGGGACCAGAGCCGGCAGCATGCCTTAGAGGCATTATCCTTGATCTCTAGAGAGCAGCATGTCTTTTAAAAGCTAGGAATGAAACGAACTAGAACTAGGGGTGGTGGAAGGGGAGGAGGGCGGGGGGTGGGGGTGACTGGATGGCGGGCACTGAGGGGGGCACTTGACGGGATGAGCACTGGTTGTTATTCTGTATGTTGGCAAATTGAACACCAATAAAAAATAAATTTATTATTAAAAATAATAAAATAAAGGCTAGGAATGTTGGGCAGTCCGGGTGGCTCAGCGGTTTAGCGCCTGCCTTCAGCCTAGGGCCTGGTCCTGGAGACCCAGGATCGAGTCCCACATCAGGCTCCCTGCATGGAGCCTGCTTCTCCCTCTGCCTGTGTTTCTGCCTCTCTCTCTCTCTCTCTCTCTCTCTCTGTCTCTCATGAATAAATAAAATCTTAAAAAAAAAAAGCTAGGAATGCGCCTGCACACACACGTGCACACCCAAAAACAAATATTCTCCATAAATCCATCCCTGGAAGGTGACCCTTGTTACAACATGTTGACCATGATCCCCGGACCAGTTTCTGTGCCTGTGCACGCTTACCACGGGCAGCTTTTGAGTCTGTTCACCCTTGCTTGGCCACAAGTCCTGGCCCTTTGCTCTCTTCCAGATACTTGGAAGGTAGACATGGGCAAGAAATTGTTCCAATGTCTGTCTCTCACAGCTGGAGGGTAGACAAATGTGAGGCAAAACAAGACAGTGTTCCTGTGTCTCAATGTCCTGGTCTTGACCTATGATGTTGCCTTAGGGGAAGCTGATGAAAGAAAGATGCACAGGACTGTGTACTATGTTTGCAAGTAACTAGAAGTCTAATTATTTCAAAATTGATAGTTAAAAATAGCATAGGATGCAGCCCTGGCATAAGCCTAAAGATAGGCTCAGGGGGCCGTTGGAATCCCTGAGAGCTGAAGGCCTCCTGCATGGCCAGCCTGGGCCTCACCCTTTGTTTCTGCTTGGCACAGGCTCAGACAGATTGGGAGTCACTCACAGCATCTGTGGGTCGAAGGATAAAATCCCCTGCAGGATCCTCCTGCCCACCCCTACCTCCAGTGACAGGGGTGACCTGAGTTTTTTCACAATCCAAGAGTCTCAGCCTGACTGCCCCTCATGCTCTGCAGATGTGCCCATCGAGAGCCTGCGCCTGCGCTTCGCCCTGCTCCAGTCCCTGAACACCACGCTGGAGACCTTCTTCCTGCCCCTGGTGGAGCTGCGCCAGACACCCATGTATGCCCACAGCATCGCAGCCCTGCTGAAGGAGGCCAAAGGTCAGCACCTGCGCCCGCCAGCACCACACCCCACAGTTACCAGCCTGGGAGGACCCTCTCCCTACACGTAACATACATGTGTCCGGATTAACAGAGCCCGGAGTGGTGACTTCAGTTAATCTCTGAAAAATTAAATTTACTAAAGTCTGCAGGGGCGCCTGGCTGGCTCTGTAAGAAGAGCATGTGACTATCTTGGGGTCGTGAGTTCAAGCCCCACATTGGGTGTAGAGCTGACTTAAATTGGTTGGTTAAGTGTCCAGCTCTTAATCTCAGTTTAGGTCTTGATCGTAGGGCCATGAGTTCAAGCCCCACATTGGAGCCTACTTAAAAAAAAAAAAAAAAAGCAGTGGCTGATTCACTGTCTGCCCCCTGCATCCCAGAGATGATCATCATCAATAGCTGAGTACCTGTCCTTTCAGATTTTCCTGTTTACATACAAATAGACACACATGATACTTCTAAAAATCAAAAGTGGATGGTATCCTAGCCTGTGTTATGTTCTGCACCTTCATCTTCTGGGGTTTTATTTTTCACCACTTCAGAAAATGCTACAGCAAGCCTCCTTGTACTTTATGTATTTCTGCCAGCAAGGTGCTTCCTGGGCGTGACAGTCTGGGGCTTATGTGCTACCATTTGGGCCAGTACTGACAAAGTGTCCCCAGAAAGTCAGGGACCTGATGGGCATCCCAGGAGACCCCAGTCAGCCCAGAGAAACAGCATGTCCTCCGCCAGGCCTTGGGCACGACAGGGAAGGCAGGCAGGCAGGCAGCCGCATCTGAGCCTCTGGCCCACATTACTCCCTTCAGGGCTGATCTTTTACGACACGAAGGTGACCGTCATGAATCGGGTCCTGAATGCCACAGTGCAGAGGACGGCTGACCATGCGGCCCCCGAGATCACTCTGGACCCACTGGAAATCGTGGGAGGTAAGATTATGCAGAGCAAGAAAATGCAGAGTGGCCATGGTTGAACAAAACATGCAGTTGATTTGTTGCACATGAAAGAGGCCTGTAGAAGGGAGTCCAGACATTCATCTGGCTGCTTCTGTCCTCCTCCTCGAGTGTCCCAGCACGTGGCTCCCACCTTCAGGGTCCCCTGGTGAGCCTGCATCCTGGGCACAAGAGGAAGAAGGGAGGCAGAAGGAGCTCTGCATATCCTGGAGCTTCACCTCTCCTGCACGGCTCACTGGAGAGCTGGCACAAGGCCACAGCTAATGGTGGGGGGGCGGGTGGGATGTGGAGATTTGTTCTGGTTGACCATGCTAGAGCTGGGGTCCCGGCATCAAATGAGAGGGGGCAGTGGCTCATGAGGTGGCCATGGCATGTGAACACACACACAGCATGGAGGGCACATACAGGAGGAAGTGAGAGAAGAGCATGGACCTGGGTGGGGGGTGCTCCCCTAGGGATAGAGAGGAGGCTGGGAGCCGCGTGCCTGAGGCATAGAAGATACTCCAGGAACAGAGAGAAGGCAGGGTGGCTAGAGCAGGGGCAGGGAAAGGGCCAAGAAGTAGGCACAGGCCTGGGGAGCATCTGTCCTGGGTGTTAGAGCAGATGACAGTGCTGGAAGGGTTTCCCTGGTTCCTGTCTCTTTGCAGGGGAGATCAGAGCTTCGGAAAACTCGTACTTCTGCCAGGCTGCCCGGCAGCTGGCCTCGGTGTCGTCATCTCAGCTTTGCGTGAAGCTGGCTAGTGGTGGCGACCCCACCTATGCCTTCAACATCCGCTTTACTGGGGAGGAGGTCCACGGCACCAGTGAGTGTAGCCCCTACCCAGCTCCTTGCAGCCAGTTAGGGGCAGGGGGAGGGGGGCTTTTTCTTGAGAGTGAACATACCTGGGGTTATTTTTAGTCTGCGGCACAGAAGCCAGGACTGGCCCCAGAGCCACCAGCCTGTCCAGGCCCTCCAGCCCCAGCCCCCAGGGACTTGCCCCGGCCTGGGCGGGAACCAGTGCTTGCCAGGGAATTCAGCCCAGCATCACCTGGGCTCAGGGACTGCACCTCTGATCATTGCTGAGAGGCAACCATAGAGATGCCATCAGTGCAGGTTAGCCTTATCCCCTAAGCTCAAGGTTCAGCTGGGTTCTTGTGTGTCCCGTGAGAGACAGCGTGCTGGGGGAGCCCTTCTGTCGTTTCCCCGTGTGGTGATGAGGGATAACATCAGAAAATGCTCCCTGGTAACCCTTTAAGCCATGCTTAGTGAGCCCCAGACATTCAGGAAATACTTCCCACTCTGGATGAGAGAAGAGACCCAGTTCTTCAGCCAGACGCAGCGGGAACGATGGCCGTTGGGGCAACTCCATCTCCCATCCCCATTCACATCCTTGCATCCCGTACTGGCAGGGCCTCCAGTCCTCTCAGAGTGCTCTTACCCACTGAGTACAGAGAGTATGTCAGGCCCACCCTCAACACCTGCCCTTCCTCGGAGCACCAAGACTGCACAGGAGACTTGACTGATAGGGAAACTGGCACGCCAGCAGGTAGCTTCCCCAAGGTCAGGCAGGTGGCTGGGGCACAAACCCAGGTCTGTCTGATTCCACGGCCCAGCCCTTGGCGACTTCAGCAGGCAGAAATCTGCTTCTCCACCGAAGCTGAGTGAGGACATTTGTCCCTGAGCAGGTCCTCTGCCTGGCTCAGACCAAGCAGTTGTGTCCACGCAACTATCCTCAGAGCTTCCGCCCCTAGGGCACTGACGGGGCAGGTACAGAGAGAGAAGACCCAGCCACAGAGAGGAGTTGGCCAGAAAGCCAAAGGCACGTGTGGAGTTAGAATCACTGAGGACCACAGCCGCCCGTTGCCCTCTGCAGGCATCCCTGCATCAGCCTGGCATTTAGACACTTAGATGCTCTCTGAGCAGATCCTGAGCACTGGGGTGGCGGGGGGGGCGGGGTGCAGGGCTGAGTAAAATGGGTGGCCCTTGGTACAACCTATAGTGACAGATGTGGGTCAGACAAGCCCGCAAATCAGTGTGAGCTTCTGGCTGCAGGAGGCGGCCCCCATGAGGGTCTGCATCTCATCTCCTTGAATCCTTGAAGCCAGCCCAGGATGTGGGTCCAGTTACTGTTCCTGTTTGATGGATTGGGTCACCAGGAAGTGATTTCCGGGGCCACCCAGCTAGTAAGTGGCACCATAGGACTTGACCCAAGGTCTCTCTGCCCTCGGGCAAATTTTCTGTCCCCTCTGGTACCGCTGCATCCAGGTCCAGCTGGGGATGGGGCCTGCGGGCAGGCTGGGCTGCGAGGGTCTCGATGCTGAGGGACCCCCTCTGTCCCACAGGTGGCTCTTTCAGGCACTTCCTGTGGCAGGTGTGTAAAGAGCTGCAGAGCTCCTCGCTGTCGCTTCTGCTGCTGTGCCCCAGCTCCGCTGTCAACAAGAACAAGGTAAGCTGCCCGAGGCCCGGGCAGCTGTGGGGTAGTGGCCCCGGGTTGGGTGTTTGTTGCCATAGGCCCTGTGTTCTCTCACTGCACCAGCGAGAGGGCTCTGGCTCAGGGGCGTGAGCTGGCGGTGCTTTCCTGCTGCCTATTGCAGACTCCTGTTCCCGGGCGGGAGCTCTGGTCAGTCACCTTGCCTCTGCTTCCATTCACAGGGCAAGTACATCCTGACCCCTAGCCCCATCACCTATGGGGAGGAGCAGCTGCTGCACTTCCTGGGCCAGTTGCTGGGGATTGCAATTCGAGCAGATGTCCCTCTTCCCCTGGACCTCCTGCCCTCCTTCTGGAAGACCTTGGTGGGGGAGCCCCTGGACCCTGAGCAAGACCTGCAGGAAGCAGACATACTCACCTACAATTACGTCAAGAAATTTGAGAGTGTAAGTGCATAGTACATCCTGGGGACAGCAGAGCTCCAGAGCAGTGTCCCCCGGGCTCACCACTGCCTCTGCAGCCCGCTGTCCCCTGGTCCTCTGTGCCGCGGGAGCCCAGCCTTCTGCCTGAAGACCGATGGGGATCTCTCAAAGAACAGAAAGGAGCCTGAGCCATCTCTGCCAGCTTATGTCATACGGACAGAAGCCCCTCTGGCTTCTTTTCCTGTTTGATAGCGGTGGAGTAGGAGTGACTGACATGCCATGACAGGCCTTCCAAAGACACAGGGGTGAAGGGTTCCCAGCAGCTGACTGAGCGGAGGTCTGGGAGGGGAACTACTACTGGCAGACCCGCTTTCGCTTTTAAGAACTTGGTTTCAGGGCCTCAGAGCCCAGATTGGCTCTTGGGGGTCACCTGAGATTGGCTGGGGAAGGGGTTGGGAACATGGCCCTCCTCCTTCTTGTGCTTGAGATACACAGAGATAGCGAGAGCACAGCTGTCTGCACACACAGACCAGCCCCCGAGGGGCTGTGTGCTCAGTGCTCCGCCTGCCAGCTGGTCCACAGTCATGGGGGCCTGCCGTGGGTCAGGCTTTGGGCTCTCACCTGGTATGTGAGGCCTGTAACGGAGGGCTGTGTGTACATGTCCTCATGATGAGGCCAGAAGGGAGGGAGGCTCAGAGAGAGCTGGCTGGGAACAGAGCCAGCAGTGGAATCTAGGCCTGTCCAGCTAAAAAGCCTCCTCAAGTTAGAGACAGGGTGTGGGGGCACCTCTGCCCCAGCCCTCCCCTTGGAGGCCAACTGCCTGTGTTCATGGGGGAGGAGACTGTGTCTGAGGCCTGGCTGTAGCCTGCTCTCAACAGAGCCTCAGCCGAAGGAGGCCTTTTTGCCAGGTGCTCTGCTGTCCTCCCCTCAGCTACCACTTGAGAGCAGCCAGCACGAGGGAGCACCAAAGCCAGGCTTTTGGATCAATGGTTGGCTTCTCAGCAGAAATGGGGATGACAGTGAGTTGTCTAAAGTCAAAGCAGTATGGCCCCCATGGGCTGGGGATATGAGTCTCTGCCAGGCACTGCTTTGAGAAGTCCTCCCAGTGCTGTGGGTAGCAGCAAGGGCCTGGGGCACACAGGGGATCTGAGACAGCATCCAGGAAGTCCAGCCAAGGCCTTTCTGAAGGGGTTGGGCAGAGCCTCAGAGGGTGCTGGGTGCAAACTGTATCAGGATTGAGGCACACGAACCAAGAAGAAATACTCTGAATTTTGGGCATTTGTGCCTGTAGCCTTCACAGGTCTACTCTCCTCTGGGCCAGATCCAACCATCTTCTCGGTAGCCCAGCATGCACATCAATGTCTTTTGGACCCTGATTTTGGTTTTTAAAATGATTTGCTTTTAAAACTAAATATGGATAGATTTGGCTTCAGGCAAGGCTGAATGGCATTATCAGTAATTAGTTTCAATATGGCCCCCAATAGTACAAGATGTACCATCTTACAGTCACATCCACACCAGTGAAAGAAGGCTGCTGCTTCCAAATGGTAACAGAAAAAACCCGTGCAATTTGGGTCTCATTAGCCAGGCCTCGGCCACATACCCAACCCTGAATTCATGGCAACTCTGATTGGGCAGGCCTGTGCCATGTGCACCTTCATAATGACCGAGGGTAGTCCCTGTCCAAACAGTGCCTGGGGTTTACCCAACTGGAGACTGGAGTTCCATCTTCCAGGGGTCCTTGGGAGTGGGCCAGGCCGTTAGCCTCAGTCTTCCTCTGCCCTCCAGATCAACGACGAGACTGAGCTAGAGGCCCTGTGTGCCGAGATTGCCTCTCAGCACCTGGCCACCGAGAGCCCTGAGGGCCCCAACAAGCCATGCTGCAGGTTTACCTACCTGACCATGACGGGCGAGGAGGTGGAGCTGTGCAGCCGTGGCCGGCACATCCCTGTGGCGTGAGTGTGTGTGCACACAATGGGGACAGACCAGTCTGGCTGAAGGGATGTCCCAGCAGCACCTGGACTGTGGCAGCCTGGGCTGGGGCGGGTGACAGATGGATGTCACCAGTTAGAGGAATGTGAAGCAGGATTTGGGGTGCCAGCAAGGGTGGAATGTGTTCAACAAAAGGACTTTGTATTAAGAAAATTACAGCTGTGAGGTGGGTGACACCCAGAGGCAGGAGAGGAGTTCACGGGGTTCTCAGAACCAGGACATCCAGTGTCTGGGACAGTGGGTATGGCCCTGAGACCCAGGGGCCACCCTGGCACTCTCCCTCACCAGGTCCCCTCCCTCACTGCCCCCCTCCCCCCACACCTGCAGGTGGGAGAACAAGGACATCTATGCAGCAGCCATCCGGAGCCTACGGCTGCGGGAGCTACAGAACGCTGAGTGTGTGACGGCCGTGAGAGCAGGCCTGGGCGCCATCATCCCCCTGCAGCTGCTCACAACACTCAGCCCGCTGGAGATGGAGCTGCGTACCTGCGGCCTCCCTTATATCAATCTTGAGTTCCTCAAGGTCAGCAGCCTGGGTGGGCCGGGGAGTCAGGCTTTGGCAGCAGGGACCTGCCCGGGTACTCTCTGTGTGCCAGGTGCTCTGTCCCCATGTGTGGGGGAGCCATGCCCCCCCCCCCCACAGTTGAGTAAGCCAAAGCTTAGCAGAAGTCACTTTGGAGCATGTGGCAGGGTCAGCTTCACACCCAGATCACTGGCCTCCAGGCCCATGTCTTCAGCCACATGCCAAGGTGGAGGCCATTCTTGCAGAGCCCCATCCATGCCCCAACCAGCTTCTCTTGGGCTGGACCCTGGCCTCCCAGGGTTCCTTCTTTCCAGCTGCAAGACCTTGCCCCAGTGACTTCCCATCCAGGGGGAACAGTGACAGGACCTGCCGCCCCCCCCCCCCCCGTGTCCAGGGGTAACCTTGGTCGAGCCTCCCTGCCGCACTGATGTGCAGGCTGCAGTCACCCAAACAGGTGGCTTGGCCTAGGGAGGTCCTGGGTCTGCTCACATCTTGGGGGGCCTTTCTTCCTCAGGCCCACACCATGTACCAAGTGGGGCTGATGGAGACGGATCAGCACATTGAGTTCTTCTGGGGGGCGCTAGAGACGTTTGCCCAGGAGGAGCTGTGCAAGTTTATCAAGTTTGCCTGCAACCAGGAGCGCATCCCATTCACCTGCCCCTGCAAAGATGGGGGCCCTGACACAGCCCACGTGCCCCCCTACCCCATGAAGATTGCCCCCCCAGATGGCACAGCAGGTACTGGCCTCACCTCAGCATGTTCCAAGTGGGGACACACAGGCCCTATGGGAGGAAGGGTGGGGGGCAGGTGCCATGTGCCTCTCAAACCTAACCTTGGCCAAGAGGCAGTACAGGCCTAAGGTTGACATATTCTGATACTTAAAACATTTCTGGATTTTTAGCTTTTTAAATTTTCCAACTTTTAAAAAAAGATTTTATTTATTTATTAATGAGAGAGACAGAGAGAGCGTGGCAGACACAGGCAGAGGGAGAAGCAGGCTCCCTACAAGGAGCTTGATGTGGGACTCGATCCCGGATCCAGAGATCCCACCCCGAGATGAAGGCAGATGCTCAGTCGCTGAGCCACCCAGGCATCCCTCCAATTTTTAAATGTAGGAAAAATAAAATAAAGCCTTCTGCTGGCCAAACAAACCTATGTACAACCAGAGTCCCTCACAAGTCAGCAGTGTGGTGCCTGTGCTGTACCATGGTTGTGTCTGCCATTCTCTCCTCGGAAATCTTTTGCCCCCACCTTGCCTCTCCTTCTGGGCCTTGGGGTTAGTTCAGAGCTGCCCAGAGAAGGCCTCTCTGGGATCGTAACCCTGGCCTCCTAATACTGGCCTGGCGGGGTTTTTTGCAGGTTCCCCAGACTCTCGCTACATCCGAGTGGAGACCTGCATGTTCATGATCAAACTTCCCCAGTACTCCTCTCTGGAAATCATGCTGGAGAAACTTCGTTGTGCCATTCACTACCGTGAAGACCCCCTAAGTGGCTGAGGGAAGGGAGCCCCAGAGTGAATCCGTCACTGAGGCACCACTCCGCCGGCTTGGGAAGCCTGCCACTGAGGGCACGTCTCTCCAGGCCCTACGTGAGGAGTTGGCGACATTTTGCTTTTCTGAACTTCTGTCCACATTCCAGGGCTTCCTGGAAGACTTAACCTTTTGTATTTGTATGTTTCGTGATGGGTTGGTTCTTTTACTACCTGTTTGTGGTATGTTTGTAGGATAGCTTAGTTCCCAGGCAGCCTGTGTCTCATTTGATCTTCCTGGACATTGTCTTTCATGGCCACTGGATTCTGATGCTGAAAGGCCCCCCCCCCCCCCCCCCCCGTTAGTTCCACCCAGCAGGGAGTGGGGGGGGGGTGAGATGCCAATGGCCACACACAGCATCCTGTTCTCTGCAGAGCATCTTCACAACTAAGCCTGTGGCCCTGCCCTGGACGCAGCTCCTGCAGCCGTCCTTGCATCTTAAGGTGGCCGGGTCAGTTACTCAGACATGGGAGGCTTACACCGGGAAAGCTTCCCGTGTTAATCTTCTGGCTCTGGAATGTGGTTCATCGGCTGTATTTTTCTGAGGAAAAGCCCCCGGTGGTTCCCCCATCCCTACTCCCCCCAGACAACTCTCAGCTGTCCCTTCTGGGCCTCTGGTCTGACAGTTCTCTGCTGCGTGTTCTCAGAAGCCCACAGGTCCATCCTGACCCTAGCGCATAGCCAGGCGTGTCTAGCTCCAGGAGCAGAGGGGGACACTGCAAGGAGGAGGGACAGTGCTCGAGTGGGGCCTTTTTCTGAGATTCTGAACAGGAAAGCACATAATTCAAGCCAAACCCCCCGTTTTGTACTCAGAAGCAGCCCACCCTCACCATAGTGTTTGTGAACGGGCCTCACCCCATTTTAAAAAGAGCTGACTGAGGTGCTCTGCTCAATTCAGGGTAAACTTCAGTGACTAAGACCTTCCAAGGCCCACTGTGGGATCATTCTGCCCCTTGGGCCAGACCCACCCCACACCCCCTTGCCACCCCGTGTGAGCGTGTGTGCCAGGGCTGAGCTGCTCCAGGCTCACCCACTGCCCCCATTGCATTCGTGCCCCAAACAGGTCTTTGTCCGATGGTACTTTGTTCACAAGCAGCATATGCCATCTTGTTGGACACTGTCATTTCGGGCCCTGCCAGTTCTCATGGAATTGCATCACTGTATTTATTGTATAATATTGTGAATACTGAAAGTTTGGAGTGCGTGCTGACTAGAAGGCTCTGGAGTGTGAATGCTGGGGAGAGAAAGCTGTGCTTCTTTCTCTGCTGTGGCCCTGGCCTGTCAGAAAGATGTATGGATTTTAGAGTTAGAGCCATTAGGATCCATCTCCTCCCTCTTATTCTTAGGAAATGCATCAAGGACCATTAATAGAAGTGATTCCCCAACCTAAGGAAAAGCTAAAACCGGATTAATCCTTCTGGCTGCATTGGTTACATTTGATGCAGGAGCAGTCCGGTATGGAGGTGAGCGCCTGCAAGCAGTTTCCCTGCTTGAAAGGAAGAGGGTTGGCTGCTGCCTCCTAGCGGTGAGAGCCCCATTGAGTGGGGGTCACACCAGGATGTAGTCCTGACAAGGATCCTCTTATTTCTGCATAACGAAAGAGCCTCTGGATTAGAAGACGTGGTTCTTCCTCTCTGTATTTTTACATTCTTGGTCCCTTCCAATCCTTCCCATCCCTTGAATGGACTCAGAATTGTCAGCTACCTCCCCAAAGGGGGTTTGGGAAGCTTCTTTTGGCCCATCACTTGGTGACAGCTGTGAGTGAGATGCTGCTGCTAACATGACTGCTTCTCCCAGAGAGCACATTGAGAGGTCCAGACCGATTCAAACCTTGGCCCTAAAAAAAAAAAAAAGAAAGAAAAAAAAAAAAAGAAAAAGTGTGCTGTAAAGTTATTTGATGTATATTTATTATAATTATTTATGGTTGCATTTAACAAAGTTTTCATTCAGTTTGATGCTATTTACACCATTGCTGTGTAAAGGAAGCTCACTACAGGAAAAAAGTCGCACCAATAAATAACCTTCATCTAATTTTGATCTACCTGAAGAGTTGTGTGATCATCTACTCACTGAAAAGACTCAGAGGCTGACAGGCTTAGATGGCTGTGCTACTGAAGTGCTGGCCAGTGTTTGGGAATTTAGCCTCCGCACTTGATGTGATTCTTACTCCATCATGCTTACAAACTACCCCTTCCTCCCATTTGACTCTTTGAGGCTGGTTTTCAGATAGGAAGTGTGATTGAAGGGATGGAAACCAAAGTTGGAGCTAAACCTAACTGCATGTTCTGTCCTCTGCTCATAGTGGAGCTCCTGTATAGCCTCTTATGCCAGTGTGAGGATTTTCCTCAAGTGGATCATTGCATTGGAAGAGTCTAGGCCATTCTTAGACCACATATCCTCCCTTGGGAGCTGGCAGTGAATTTATCTACTATCTACTGTATGGGAAATGCAGAGACGATAAAAAGACTTCGTGCTGCTTTCCTAAGATCCATGGTTCTGTCCTCTTGCACAACTGTCCCTTGCCACCCCCAAAGGGAACCCTGTGGTCTGCATTCAGGAAAATCCAGTCTCCTTGACCTGCTTATCACCTCCTCCTGCTCCATGGGAATCCTCACACAGACCCACTTAATTCTTCTTCCTTTGACCGTACCTTACTTGTACTTAATAAATGCTAACTTTTAGTGGAAGTGTCCCACCTATGTCTTTATTATAGGAAGAGCAAGAGTCCTCTTGGATGAGGAACAAGCAACTTTTCCTTCTGTCTGTTGCCTCAGGGTGCTAGAAACAGCAAAAACAACCACTCACGGCTAAGAGAAGACGTCTGTGGGACAAGAGAAACTGGGGAGTGAGGTGCCTCAACTGGAGACACCTTGCTGAGCACAGCAATGATTCTCCTCTCCAGAATGGCTGAGGCCATCTTTTTTTAAAAAGAGTTCCTTCTTTAAAAAAAGCAAGTATATTCAAAACTACATTATCCAATAATAGATGGCATCCATCCTCATTGGTCATCAGGGAAATGCATAATAAAATCACAACAAAATCTATACAGCCACCACCAAAAAGGGCTAGAAAGACAATACTATGGTTGGGGGAATATGTGGAACCAACCACATACTGATGTGGGGAAGGTAACCTACAATACCTTTGGAAAACTGGTACCCTCCACTACACATCCCCTAAAGCCAGCAATCTCCTAGGTGTAATCCAACAGAATACATACACATGTTCACCAAAAGTCGTGTATAGAATGTTCACAGCAGTAATAGTAATAGCCACATTGGCACACACTGGAATACTGTAGAGGAAGGAAAGCAAACAATTGCTACATGCAACCATGTGAATGAGTCATAAACACAGTGTTCAACAAAAGAAATCAAGCATTGGATCAATATTAAATCATTTAATAATGAAAATGGTGAAAAGTAACTGATCTATTTTAACATTAAAAGTCAAGATAGTGGTTGTCTTGGGTCCCAGAGGAGAATGGGAGTCTTGAGGGGTGTTCCGGTGTCTTGGTGAATGTTTCTGATATGGGTGGTGAGGACAGATTATGTGTTCACAGTGAGCTGCATACTACCATGCACTTTTCTATAGGGATGTGCTACTGTATGGATAGTTTCTTAAAAATACAAGTACTCCAGGGCACCTGGCTACTTCAGTAGAGTATGCCACTCTTGCTCTAAGGGTCAAGTTTAAGCCCCATGTTGGGCTTGGTGTGCCTACTTAAAAAACAAACAAAAAAAATCCCAATGCCTCAGTGTCCTCCCACCACCACCATAAAATACAGGTATACCAAAATGAGAACATCAAGAAATAAAAGCACACATTCTATCATCATGAAACTAAAATCATTTCAATCCACAATTTCTGAAAGAACAACTATTGGAAGAATAAATGACTTAAGAGCACATCATGGGAAGCAATCTTATTTGTACCTTCCTCAAAAAAATTCAACACTGTAAAGGGAAGAAGGAATCAGAGGCCCCATGTGCCAGGAGAAAAACAAAGATTGTAAATTCATGTTAAGGTGCAGAAGTTCAACCCCATCACCCTGAAGAAAGCCAGAAGTCCTACTCAGGAGAAACCACCTGAGCAGCTGAGACTCCAGCCCCACCCTAGGCTTACACAGCAGCCTGGAAGACCCTTTTTTGGACACAGAGAGGCAGCTACAGATTCTGACAGCAGGAGCTCTCCAGTGAAAATACCAGCCTGTTGCCCTACAGTGAACAATTAAGGAAGCTTCTCATTTTTAGTGCCCCAGTCTTAGAGACAGCCAAGAAACAGATTTGAGGAAAAGTCTATAATACACCAAAACAAAAATTACAGAGTTGAACAAGATATCTAAGAAACAACTATGGCACAAAGTATGAGAACAGGTAGTGCATCAGGTGTCTGGCTGGCTCAGTGAAGCACGCAACTCTTGGTCATGTTGTGAATTTGAGTCCCACACTGAATGTAGAGATTACTTAAAAATAAATAAAATTAAATTAAATAAATAAATAAATAAAGTACTGCACCCATTGAGTAAAAGGCTGTGGAGAGAATAAAAGGTTTTGGAAATATCAGAAACATTTAATGTAAGGATGAAAGGATAAAGTTGAGGAACTCTCCCATAAAGTAGAGTAAAAAGACTATGAAAGAAAAAAGGGATCAAAGAGGGCCAACATCCAACTATCATTGGAATTCTGCAAAGAGAAAATGAGAGAAACTACCAAAATAACACAAGATAATTCTGAAAAACAAGAGGTCACAAGTTTCCAAAGTGCTAAGTGTCCAGCTCTTTAAATGGAAAAAATCCATACAGACATACAAGGGAAAGTCTTTAAATACCACATCCTAAAAAGCTTCAAGGGGAAAAATTACGTCCAAATCAGAATTGGCATCAGGGTTTATAACAATCTAAAAGGTAATGCTTTCAGGACACTTCCAATTCTTACCATGATAGAGAAACAGAAACCAGACTTAACCTCCCCACTTTAACAACTAAAATTAAAAAACCTGATGTGGGGCACCTGGGTGGCTCAGTTCACATGTCCGACTTGATCTCTGCTCAGGTCTTAACCTCAGGCTCCACACTTGGGTGTGGCGCTTTACTTAAAAAATGATCTGGGGGCGCCTGGCTGGCTCAGTCATGACAGCATATGATTCTCGAAATCAGAGTCATGAGTTGAAACCCCATTTCTGAAATTAAAAAATCTAGGGGGAGGGGCAAGATGGTTCCACCAACTTACCTAGATAACTTTCAAAAGATCCTGAACACCTACAAATTTGACCTGAGATTTATTTAAGGAGAGAACAGCCGGAACGCTACAGAGAAAAGTTTTCGCTTCTAATGAGATTGGAAGGCAAAAAAAAAAAAAAGGGGGGAAGGGGAACTGCAACCAGCAGGGCTAAAGCAGAGCCGTTGAAAGCCTCCAGGGTACGAAAGCCCAGCCCTGGAGATGTGGGAATTTTAAAAATCCATGCTGGAGTTTTCCCTGACAGAAAAGTGGTTAGCAGGGAAATCCGGCAGAATCGCAAGAGGGGCAGTGAAGCCTCAACATTCCGGGAAGGAATGTTAAGAGGGGGGGCACTCAGGGGATAGCTCACTGCAAACTGCGGTCCCATATTGGTAAAGGGCTGGAGCGCCGCAACCCTCCGGGGCATTTGGGAGAAGCCAGTCCGTTAGGTGGGCCAGCTCCGGAGTGGCCTTTACACTAGATCCCAGCAATGGATGGAGGTGGCTGGACCCTGTTCCCTTCGGGAGAGGCGGTGCCTGGGAGCCCGGGTCCAGCAGCACATGGCCCCAGAACCCAGGGCACCCAAATGGGCAAACGCGGTGATCTTCCATTCCCCTGGGATAGGCGGAAGCAGGGAGGGCACAGGAAAGGGAGAACTCTTCTGCCACTGGGCCCACCACAAGCTGTGATTAGTGCACCTGCCCCGGAGCATCTAGGCCAGTGCGGACTTGGGAGACTGCAGGGAGTTACTTGTGGGAACCTCGACTCCAACGCTGGAAATCTGGCCACTGCCAGTTTTTTTCCTCTCTTTGTTTCACCTTGTGCTTGGGAGAGGCAGGGCCTTTGGGGAACAAAAGTCTCACAGCAGCTTATACTGAGCCCAGCACCCGGCAAGGGGTGGGACATCTCCCAGTCACTCGCACCTAAGAATCAGCACAGCGGACGCCTCCCCCAGAAGAACTGCTAGAAGTTACAAGGAAAGACCAAATTTGGGAAGCCTGGGTAGCTCAGCGGTTGAGCGTCTGCCTTCAGCTCAGGTCGTGATCTTGGAGACCTGGGATCAAGACCCACATCAGGCTCCCCACATGGAGCCTGCTTCTCCCTCTGCTTGTATCTCTGCCTTTCTTTCTCTGTGTCTCTCATGAGTAAATAAATAAGATCTTTTTTTTTTCTTTTTTTTTATAAATTAATTTTTATTGGTGTTCAATTTACCAACATACAGAATAACACCCAGTGCTCATCCCGTCAAGTGTCCCCCTCAGTGCCCGTCACCCATTCACCCCCACCCCCCGCCCTCCTCCCCCTCCACCACCCCTAGTTCATTTCCCAGAGTTAGAAGTCTTTATGTTCTGTCTCCCTTTCTGATATTTCCCACACATTTCTTCTCCCTTCCCTTATATTCCCTTTCACTATTATTCATATTCCCCAAATGAATGAGAACATACACTGTTTGTCCTTCTCCGATAAATAAAATCTTAAAAAAAAAAAAAAAAAAACCAAGTTTACTGAACAAGCAGTACTGGAAAGCTCCAGGACTGAGGGAAAATAGTATATAGAACTAGAGGGTTCTGGGCAGCCCCGGTGGCGCAGTGGTTTAGCGCCGCCTGCAGCCCAGGGCGTGATCTGGAGACCCTGGATCAAGTCCCATGTCAGGCTCTCTGCATGGAGCCTGCTTCTCCCTCTGCCTGTGTCTCTGCCTCTCTCTCTCTCTCTCTGCATCTCTAAGAATAAATAAATAAAATCTTTAAAAATAAATAAATAAAATAAAAAGTAAAAAAAAACTAGAGGGTTCTTTTTTTTTCTTTTTCCATTATGACTCATTTTATATCAGACTAAAATTTTCCAATATTTTTTCTCTTTTCCCACCTTAACTGCAGTACTTTACCAACTATTTTAAGTTTTTTCCTTTTTCCTTTCATATTTCTAAAATTACATCTTAGGGATCCCTGGGTGGCGCAGCGGTTTAGTGCCTGCCTTTGGCCCAGGGCACGATCCTGGAGCCCCGGGATGGAATCCCACGTCGGGCTCCTGGTGAATGGAGCCTGCTTCTCCCTCTGCCTATGTTTCTCTCTCTCTGTGTGTGACTATCATAAATAAATAAAAAAATTTGGGATCCCTGGGTGGCACAGCGGTTTAGCGCCTGCCTTTGGCCCAGGGCGCCATCCTGGAGACCCGGGATCGAATCCCACGTCAGGCTCCCGGTGCATGGAGCCTGCTTCTCCCTCTGCCTGTGTCTCTGCCTCTCTCTCTCTCTCTCTCTCTCTCTCTCTCTCTCTCTCTCTGTGTGACTATCATAAATAAAAAAATTTTAAAAAAAGATGGAGTTTTTTTTAAACAAAAATAAATAAACTTAAAAAAATAAAATAAAATTACGTCTTAGATATATTTTTCACTTCTGGATCCCCTTCAACATATTCAATTTAATTTTGGTAGGTATACAAGATATGGGTATTTGTTTTCTG